CGGGACAAACACTGTGTACATTTATTCAATAAATTTTACTACTCGTAAATGGAAGCTATACGTCGCTTCCGTTTCCCCGTCTTTATAACGGTTTTATGGTCGGTGAATTGGTGGATTGGTCATCGGCGTAGCGGGATGTTTGCAAGGCGGAAGTCGTGGGCAGTTTGCAAAGGTGGAACGTGCGAACAAGGAATGTACACAGTGGGACAATCTATGGTTCTTCAACGCGCATCTGGATACAAGTACACGACCATCTTGCATTCCATATTGGCTTCTTCTCAACGGTATTCGCTTTATGGTTTGGTGAAGGGGTTGATCGGTGATGAGGTGTAATGGGATGTTTGCAAGGACGAAGTAGTGGGCAGTTGGCAAAGGTGGAACTATAGGCGGTCAAGTAAATACGTACAAGGAATGGAGAGTCCCACGCCTTTAAGAACTTCGCCCCTCAAATTCGCTCGTTCGCCACTTGATGGCGCTTCCTGCCCACCAGGTGCACATCAGTTACTGTAATACGCGCATAATAGGAACAGCCCAGACGAATGATATTGCATGAAAAACTCTCGGTGCAAGCAGCAGAACTCCTTAGGTGACGAACGGTCACGGAACTGGACATGCACGAGCACTGATTCCCAAAATAAAGGGAGTTGCAGAACACACTCTGTTACGAAAGCAATACGCCAGACACTCTTTTTTGCGCGCACGTGTTCCCTCCATTATAACACCGCACGCGCCTTCTCCCCCTCTCTCCGCAGCCGTACCTTCACAGAACTATTCAATTCTCGTATTGACGCCCGTCAGAAGAACTGCAGAGCTCTGTTCTATGTTGGGCTGCGCGTAAGGGTTCACAAAAGGGGGGGGGTGGCGCGTCTCCTTCAAGCCCAGAAGCCGTGTTCCCCCGTTTCAGTCCTATTCTTCGTCCGCTCTAATCGCGCCCACTCCTGCAGGCTCCTCATGCTCGGCTGCTTCGTTTCCGCTCTGTCTGTCGCGATGAGGGCTCCTCGGAGGCCGCCGCCGCGGTAGCGCCCAGAATAGCCTGCATGCACCCGGTTGCGGAGTCAGCGCCGTCCGCCTTTTACGCCGACTGACGCTTCACGTGTGCGCGCACACACGCAAACGAAGAGGCTCCTGTAAACGGGCCCGGCACACGCGCTAGGCCGAAACAATTTAAAAGGCCCGCTCGACGATGCGGCCCGGCCAGTGACTCAATGTGGCGTGTTGCTTTATTGAGACTCACACCGCGCTGGAATTACACACACACACACTGTGCTTCAGTGTGTCTTTTATTTGTGTGTGTAATTCCAGCGCGGTGTGAGTCTCAACAATGTTCAACCAACTAGCCCCCACTCTTGCCCTTCTTACCGTGTTGCTTTAGCTGCAGGGACCCCCTCGAGCTGAAACTGCTCGTGAGCTATTACACATAAGACCTCCTTTTTGCAAGCTGGGCGTATTATAAGTAACTTCTCGTAAAATGCGAACCTTACGCCAGAAGACCACCCGTCGTTTGGGTGTTTAACTTTTATTTGTATAGTTTGCTGCTCCTACCATCGTAAATTGTTGCGCGGCAAACGTGGGTGTTCATCGGGTAGATGTTCTAGTTCATTTATTAACTAATTCAGGCTATCTTGTCATTTTTTTCTCTTCCACTTTCTGCCTGAAATAATTCAGCTTTATAGGTGAATTGATATCCTGCAGCCATGCAGTGCTTGCTAATCATGAACCAAAATAAGAGCCAGGCGATAATGACAAAATAGCGCAAGCAACCAATCATACAGTGTCAATGATCTCGTTTTTTTTTGTGTGTGTGTTTTCTGCTTTGCGCTCGTCACAGAGTTTTCCAGCTTTCTTGCGCCTTTTTATTGTGTTGGGAAAGTACGATGAAGCCCGACTAGGGACTTTTTGTTTACTTTAATTAATAAATCCTGCATAGAGATCCTGGCTCGAAAGTTTACGCTTCTGTTGTGTTGTTTTTTTTGCACGCCATACTAAGCACTTCCCCTGAATATGACTGCCGTCTATCGCCTGTTTCATGAGCTTCTCGTGCACCTTCTTTTTTATGACATTTCTTTTATCGATATTGTCTCATTTAGTGATTTTCTATTATCAGTGCCCCCTCTTCCCCAACACATGCAGCACGCAACCAGTTAGCCTAAGAATTAACTTCCCAATGTTTCATTTATTGCTGCCCCTCTTTCAAGTTTAACTTGGCTCATTACTTTTCATTCGATGGTATCTTTGATCAATCAATCAATCAATCACAATAAATCTGTCAATCACAATCAATGAATGAATGAATCAATCAATAAATCTACTTGCATCTCGCCCAATAGAAAATATTACATTTCATTTCATTTCATTTCATTTTATTTACCCGCAGGACCATATGGCCATATGACATTGCATCATAAGGCGATGATTTGAAATTGATCCCATCAAAATGGCCAAACAATCGACTCCGACAGCCTATCCAATCACACACTTACGCAGGCCATACTGCAGATTTGATCTATCTTCCGAGTTTGTTGCGAAAATGAGAAGACTAAAACTACTGTACATGATGGCAATTATGTTGCTGGCATCACCTTTGAAACTGGGGGGGGGGGGGGGGGGTACGGGTTGCCACGTGAGCCTGTCCTTTTGTTTGTTAGTTTGTTTGTTTAGTTGTTACCTTAAGGCGTTCCTTCATTTATTGCACTCTATCGTTTTGTTTATGTTGTTCATTTAGTTTCTATGCCTTCGTTTTCACGATGTTTTGCTGTTACTTTCACCAATAACGACACTGCCCCGCCGCGGTGGTCTAGTGGCTAAGGTTCTCGGCTGCTGACCCGCAGGTCGCGGGATCGAATCTCGGCTGCGATGGCTGCATTTTCGATGGAGGCGAAAATGCCATAGGCCTGTGTGCTCAGAATCAGGTGCATGGTAAAGAACCCACGGTGGTCGAAATTAGTGGAGCCCTTCACTACGGCTTCTCTCATAGTCATATGGTGATTTTGGGACGTTAAACCCTAAATATCAATCAATCAATTACTTAATCAATCAATCAACACCTCCACTGATTTTGTCAATCTGATTTCTGTTCTTTTGTCCGAATCACCCTAATCGTATATAGCTAGCTTTAGTTACTCACCAGCTAATACTTCAATCCACTTTAAAACCCAGGACCTCTAAAAATTGACGCCTTCCACGTGTTCCGTTGCGAAAATATTCTCGTATTCATATTCTATTACGATGTGTGGAGTAGCTCTTGGAGCTTTATTTTTGCAATGGACAAATGACCCGTACTGCTGTAACCACTTGCTATATTGCCTGTTCGCGTGCACGTGCATTTGAGTGCACTTTTGCGAACGTGCTAACGAATGCGTCAAGCAAGTGTGGCTATAGGCGTGGCTGCACTTCGGGGCGCTCGCGTTCTAAGCCAGTTATCTTTACACGCTATCACCACCCAGCTTTGCATTCACCCGGCTTCTACACTTATCTCGATCATACTCAAGTGATAGTTGTATATTCGATGAGTTCCAACAACGCGCGGAGAGTGCCGTCGTGGAGTGCGCCGGCAGCGACGTGAGATAAAGCGCGCCACGATTGCTCGCAAATGAGCGAGAGCTGTTCAGCCGAAGCTGAGAATGATAGCGTCGATGGCTCAAACCATATAGTGAATCTGTTGCACTTAGGGCGTTACCTTCTCATCTTTCTGCAACCTCTTTTCTCCCCTTTATCCCTTCCCCAGTGCAGGGTAGCAAACCGGATGTGCGTCTGGTTAACCTCCCTGCTTTTCCTTGCATCTTTATCTCTCCCTCTCTCTCTAGGGCGAAAAGATCTTAGTGAAAGTATTCGTAACGAGAACGTGCCAATATTTTTTGTCGTTGTCGACGAGATCTCGCTCTTTCCACGAATGAAAGAGCCGGAGACCTTCATCAGCCCGAAGATGAAAAAAAAAAAAGCTATACGCCGCACAAATAGATGCATGCTTCGCGGGTATATTGTTCACTCGTCCACGCACCCGCCAGTACGGGGGAAAGGAAACTTTGCATTCAACGAAAGCGGCAGCTTTTGCAAACATTTGTCGCTGTCATGACCATTAGGACGTACGTTATTTTGTATTGTAACGAATGTCGCTTGCTAATGCAAGAGTTTCTTTTGTGAACTCTCTTGATGAAGAGGGGGGATGGAGAGGGGGAGTCCGTTGGCATTAAATAAATTGTAAGCCAAGTGTCTCGTTGAGCAAACTGCACTGTTCAGCGATGTGCACGATAGCGTCGACACTAAGTGCTTGTCGTTCGTTTTCTGTGCGCCTCGCGTGTTTTCTATAGTCTCTAATTTACTTATTATTTCCGCGTATTCCGTTCACAATGAAAGACCATGAAGAACATGGCGTTGAATTCCCAAAATCTTGAAATATTCGCTAATAGTTAAGTAAAGATGTCAAATATCTTTATTTAACTAATAGATTGAATAAAAAATAAGAGAAAAAGGCGGGCTTTGGATATAACAGTATATCACATACTGGTAAGATATTAGCGCCGTCATGAATGTGTAGCTATTTGTACACTAAAATACAGAGCCGCACACTCAGCAATATAATATGTTAACGACTACACTTCGTGCCCCCCCCCCCCCCCCTGAAACTAGGCTTGAGTGGACGTTTTCGCGATGCTCTTTAGACATTCCTGTTGTTTATGTCACTAAAAACTACACTGGAAACCCACGGGGTAGCTTAGCTGGTAAGTTGTGGCAGTGTGGAAGGGGACGACGTGGGCCTGATTTCCGACCACGGATTTCAGTAGGCATCGAAATGCAAGAGCACTCTACTTAGATTTAGGTGCGCGTTGAGGTAGCCGGATGGTGCAAATTAACCTGGAGTCTCGGCGTGCCCCATAATGTTGTCGTGGTATCGGCACGTAAAAAGAAATTATTGTTACATGTCGTAAATTTCCCGATGAGACATATTTTTAGTTTGGCTTATAGTGAATGTTCCTCGCCTTCTACCTCGATGTCTGTCGCAGAGTTGGAGCTTGCCGAGCGCTGGTACGGGCGGCCCTGTTGCCAGCGAGCTCGACTGGAAGGATGTCGCCGTGCATGCCTGCAGGTATGAGTCGCCGCATCCTTTCAATCAATCAATCAATCAATCAATCAATCAATCAATCAATCAATCAATCAATCAATCAATCAATCAATCAATTCAATCAATCAATCAATCAATCAATCAATCAATCAACCAATCAATCGACCAATCAATCAATCAACCAATCAATCAATCGATGAATAAGTTTTGTTTCTCATTTAATAATAAAAAAAGGCATTGCTTGAAGAGCCCCAGAATTCCACTCAAGTACCTGCTCCCTGCAGAACAAGCAACGGAATCAACAAATCATATTCCCATATACATTGATCACCGCATCTTTCTTGTTCCCTTCTGCAAAAATATTTGGTATTTTTGTTAGGCTTGAGGGAAACTAGAATGAGAAAGCTAGATCAGAGCTTGAAGGAAACTGGGAACTGTATTGGAACGTACTAAGAGGGGTCATGATGCGATGAATGCCTTTAATTGCACCACAGTATTAATGAGGACTAACACAATGATGAGCACTAAAATACACTGACGCCATGTCACTCAAAGGAGGGGTGAGCAAAAATAACGCAATACAGAAGTGCACAGGTTTCCCCTTTATTATCCTTTGCAGTGAGCGGTACTGTACGAGATGGCAAAGCGTTGCGCATACTATATACTGCTAAAAAGTATATACAACCTGGTATTTTTTAATGCTACGTGCGTAAACAAGCACATACAGTTATTATACCACTCTGCGTTTGAACTGTTGGACGCTAAAGCATTGACATCTGACTAATTCTTAATTCGTGGTGAGTCCAAAGGGTGAAAGCTCACTGATCGAGTAACTAGGAGTAAATCATGTGTTCACGCGAGACTTTGTAGTGTCCACTGGAGCAGATAAGCATTTGTGACGAGCAGCCATGTGCAGCTAGCATCGTAGCCACCAATCTATTTCGGGAATAAGCTGCAAAGGGGGGGGGGGGGCAACTCTTTATGTGTGTTTGTGCGGACGTTTGTATGTTAACTTGTATATTAACGCAATAGCGTTAAAGAGCTCTTTTCGCAGAAATTATAGTGTCGGCGACGTTGGTTATGAGCGAAAAATCATATTCTCCCCGAAAAACCGAGAAAGATGCAAGTAAAATAAATAATAAAATTCTGAACCCAAGTGAGGATCGAATTCAGGTCGTTTGCGTGGCAAGAAGGTGTTGTACCGCACATCCATGCGCCTCTTTGGATGTACAGTTAAAATGACTTTCTATGCTTAAAAAATACTGTGAAAATAACGTCCATGTTTTACAGACACATGCATCCTGTATACATGCAGGGTTCACAATACAACTTGTAATATCGCAGTAACATTGTGTGGTACAAGCGTACATTGCCATCGGCCGTCCAGAACATGTGATTCTCAGTAACGACATACGTAGTTTAAAGGTGGCACCCTATTACAAAAGGAACACACGTTACTGCGCGTATTCTCTTAAGACCACGTAGCGGGTGCTCAGCAGGTTTAAAAACATTTAACGCGCAAGTTACTCATGGTTTCAAGCAGTGCCACCTATTACATGAAATGACGGCATGCACGAAAGATTCACTGACACAAGCCACGCTCAACTTTATCGTTGGCACTTTCGTAAACCACAATTTAAACTTCTCTAGTAACTATCAAACAATAAAAGTATACGCAGTAAATGGCTGAAGTACACGCTAGAGACAGACTATCTCAATCGTGTTCAACTCTTAAAGGCGAAGCTTAGGGGACCCTCGATTTTTTTATGTACGCACGCCACGATGTAAATATACACAAAAATGAGCATCCTGCTGCTTCATCACTGTTTCCAGTTCGAAGCTCATTGATCATCGACCAGCACTGCAAATCAAATGCAAAGAACGTATTCCAACATTATCTCCCTCGATGAGTGCGTTGTCTTGGCTAAAGAATAATCTTACTTCTCGAATAGTTAAAATGCCATATTACAAAAAAACTTCGAGAGGGGAAAGTGTTAGAACCTCTCGGCTACGCCTGTATGTTAAGATGTATATGAAGTTATGACGTATGCTGTGGGTAGAACTTGGGATAGAAACACGTGAGTTTGAGCGTTCCGTCGCAAAGGGAACTCCAGCAACCGAGCTGTCTGACACCATCTTAGTATTTTTATTCGTTTCAGTTTACCATATGTTTCTCTTGTTCATGCTTGTTTTTTGGGTAGCCATTTATCGTTTTCTTTTAAGCTGCACAACGTACAGATTAAAATTAAAGTTCTGTAGGGGCAGCGACCTTTGCCAAGCCGCTATGATAGCGTGTTTTTTTGCTACTGTCCTAGCAGTTGTGTCAAATGAATGCTGAAATAAAGAATCTGAATCTGAACATAGAGCAGCCAGGGTGATATTAACGTCCACCTCTCCACAGCAAACATGTGAAAACAGAACAAAACTGACGAGAACTGAACGAGGAACGTGAACTTTGATCATTCCCGAGTAGGTGGGTCATTTGCTCTTCAACCAGGTAATTTACGTGAGCGCTCGTTTAATTTTGACCACAAACAGCGAGAGGTCAGACGTGATCTCGACGAAAAGCGATTTCGTTTAGAGCTTTATTTTGACCCCGATTTAGTTCGCTTACCTTGTTCATTTCCTTTGTCCGCTGTAAAAACATCTGTGAAGCACGGTGTTCACTTTGCTTGTTCCTTTGAAGTTTTTAACTGCAGATACCTTAATGAAATCCTTTGTGTTGCCGGCGCGCAGGCACGCTCAGCTGACGACCTGGAACCTTGGTGTCGACGAAGCGACGAGCTTGACCTGCAGGTGTGCCTCGAAGGCCGTAGCGGTGAGGGATCTTGGTGCATGATTGCTCTTATAAAAGTGATATATAATAATTGAAAACTAGCTATCCTATAACTATGATGCGCTGGTCACGAGTGAGTTAGTGAGTGAGTGAGTGTACAAACATCACATGTCATATTTTGGTGAACTCTGTAACAAAGTTCTTAGTTCTGGGACTTGTAAGCACTTTAAAGCGTTCATATAGCACTGCAAGATACAACTAAATGTTGCTTAATATTGCTCCCGAAGTATGTTAGGAAGTAAGTACGTGCTATCTCCAAGTCTTTGAAGAAAGTATATGAAATTTTGTATCTTTCTCTGTGAGTTTAATAAAGAAACGGAGAAAAAAATAACGATGGCATGAAAATGAAATCAGACTTTCTACCTATATTCTAATAGAAATCAGAGCGAAAAAATGAGAAAAGTAATGTAAAATGAAAAGGATGAGAATTTATGTGTGCGCGCGCACAGACAAGGACACCGAATGGCGTGAGGCGGTCTCCGCACCCTGTCGTCTTTAATAGAGAAATCCGGCTCGTTGTGGCCTTCTTTGCAAACGGAGATCTCGTCCATGGTCATGGCATACTCCTCTTTTCTCTTGTTGCCTGTCAGATACCTTAGTGATCTTGCATACGTGCACTGGACTAAAAATGTGCAAAACGTAGCCTGAGAGCCATTGCCTCATTACCTAATTGTCGGTTCTTAAGGCCAAGTCCCATGGTAGACGCTGCTATTAAGTACAATAATCGGACGCAGAAACATTTGCTAACAGGCTAATTGGCGGTGCATTGTTGTACAGCAGCACAAGAAACAGAAGAGAAAGGAAAGGCGAGGATGCTAACTAATCTATAAGGACCGGTGTGTTACCCCACACAGGGAAAAGGGGCGGGGAACTTTTAAAGATGGAGGAAGATAAAGAGAGGGGATAGCACGCACACACCAAGTCACACATCTCACAGTCATTGTAACCCCGTCAGTTAATAATCGTAGCAAGAAATTAGAAAGGCACAAGGCATCTTGTTTCAGCACTCTTGTACAGGCATGGTACAGATTCAGCACTCTGAATCTGTACCATGCCTTTTTGGTTAACTGTTACGTCTGTTTTGTTATGCTTTTTTAACTATCAAAACCAAACGACGAGGGAATGCTCCCGGGTCGCATGCTTGAACTTTCGCATTTTTGCGCCCTCTGATCATAAATTACATGTTAGTATTTCTGCTTTTGTGTTCTTGTTTATTATGCTACACATTAGCCTGTGCTATTTTTGTTTTCGTGCATACCGCAGTTCCGATGTATCCGGGGGAAGGGAGCACTGTCAAGCCGCCACTGTGTGACCTTTTTTCCCTTCTCCTCAGCCATGTATTTTTTGTATGCATGTCTGAAATAAAGACTCAGACTCAGACGACACACCTAAGTCTTGGTAGGTGCGTATGAATAGCTGCATGGTACGTGGCTAATGGTAGGTGTAACCTTAAGAGACAAGAAGAGAGCAGAGTGGATTAGGGGACAAACGGGGATTAAGGATATCATAGTTGCAATCAAGAAGAGGAAATGGACATGGGCCGGGCATGTAGCGCGTAGACAGGATAACCGCTGGTCAATAAGGGTAACTAACTGGATTCCCAGAGAAGGGAAGCGGGTTAGGGGGAGACAGAAGGTTAGGTGGGCAGATGAGACTAAGAAGTTTGCGCGTATAAATTGGCAGCAGCAAGAACAGGACCGAGTTGACTGGCGGAACATGGGAGAGGCCTTTGTCCTGCAGTGGACGTATAGTCAGGCTGATGATGATGATGATGATGATGATGATGATGATGATGATGATGATGATGATGACGTGGCCCAGGGCTGGGCGCTTTGCAGCGGACGGGCCGGCGTGGCCTGGAGAGCTGCTGCGCCCTGGCCAGTACGGCAGCCTGCCGCCGTCGCGCGTGCAACAGAGCGCGGAGTGAACAGCGGACGAACGAGAAGGGACACAGGGATCTCATGAGACTGCAGCAGCAGCACAGGCAAGAAGAGGGACAGCCGTGCGCCGAGCCCCAAGTGGTACGGTGCCTGCGGAACGTCACATCTACCAAGCAGCCACACAGTAAGTGCATTTATCGCTTACAACCTGTCTCCCTGATTCCCCTCTCCCCCGTGTAGGGTAGCGAACTGGACTTAGTCTATAGTTAACCTCCCTACCTTTGTGATATTTTTGTCTCTCTCTTCTCACCCCTTCCCCCAGTGCAGGGTAGCAAACCGGACGAGCGTCTGGTTGACCTCCCTGCCTTTCATTTCTTCCCTTCCTCCTCCTCCTCCTCCTTCTCTCTTTCTCTCTCTTGCTCCGGTGTGTGTTTACAAAGTTAAATAAAAAAAGGCAAAAAATGTCGGTGGCCGGAACATGTGTACCACCTACCATAAAGTACGCGGACAATTGAGGTCCGCCATGAGGTACGCGAGCGGACGCTACCCACCACGCAACAATTTAATGTGGATGTGTCAACAAGCGCGCACGCTGGTGTCTAAGCAAGTATGTGAACCCTATCATGACGTCACTTTTGTCGTCATCATTATAGGGGGTGGAACGTTAGCAACAACAAACAAATGATAGTATTAAAGAGGAACGTTCCGGGTGGCAACGAGAATAGTTCTCGGTTACCAATCTACGTAAAAAGAATGAAAATAATTTATTTATTTATTAGAATACCCTCAGGGCCCTAGGGCATTACAGAGGGGGGTGGGTACAAACATTTATAACACACAAGAAAAAAAAGAACAAAATACAGAAACAAGTGTCAGATGCGCAAATCAGGAAGGCAACATAAGTCAAACTAAAAAGGTATAAGAATTCAAGCACATACAAGACAAAGATAGATAATGGAAACTGCGTATAGTTACATGCACTTGCTGAGAAATTGCAGTCTTGAATAACAAATGGTCTGTTATTGTTTACAACGGAAAGGGAAGGTGGTTCCATCGGCGGCTGTTTTCGGTAAGAAAGGCTGCTGAAAAGAATTTGGTGCGGCAAAACGGAATGGCAACCTTATGCTGATGATCAATGCGCGATGAGTGGTATGACGGTTGTGAAATGAGGTCTCGCTTCATTGATGGATTGTGAAAAAATATCTTATGAAAAAAATGCAGTCGCGCCAGTTTCCTCCGGACAGTTAAATTGGGTAGGTCAAGGTTAGATTTCATTTCTGATATGCTAGCAGTACGGGAATAATTAGAACAAATAATGGTGCAACATGAAGATAAGAGAGAAAGAAAGAGTGACAGGAGGAATGACGTAGTCGAATTCTTGTTTAGGAGTGACAGCAGCATGCAGTGCATATAATTTTTTTCCCTTAAAAGCACAGAATCGACGTTTTACATGGGCGGAATGAGTATTGATCTGCATTCTGAACAGTTTGTGGGTGGCTATGCAGCCGTCCTCATGCGCACAGTATACCGAGATTCCCTCTTTCAATCGCATTCTAGTTAAATTATTGTATTTGCATCCTTTACCAGATGCAGTTAATTATTTAATAAATTATTCGCGATCAGTAGTTTTAGCACGAGGGAAGCTACAGTATTTTACATTTTTTCTTGAGTAAAAGTATACTACTATAATGTTCTCAGTTGAGTTGTGGCTGAGGTGCTCAACATTGAGCCGGTGCCCCTTCCTATATACGGCGTCCTCTCTGTCATATATCATGAGATGCTAAAAAATTACATCATATCCACGGAGTTAATGATGATGAGTGGGGCGAAGCGTCCATTCATACATCCGTCCGTGTGTCCACCTGTCCGTGCATGCGTCCATCCGTCTAATCGCGTTCGAGAACGCAAATGGCGTGCTGGTAACACCGACTAGACGCGAGCCAAGGAAGCCAAACGCAAGCCTTCAACGCACCCGCCGCTCTGCTTGGTTGATGCCCCACAAACGATTCGCCCCATACAGCGACTATCCAGGAGACTGAGAGAGACACTCGTTCTCCGTGCATTCAGGTAAAGCGCGCGCAGCATCCTATCGGAGAATAGTGACACTTCTATAGCCAAAGTAGTAACACCATCTAGGAAATGAGACGATAAATGGACATACGTTTCTTTTGCTTTCTTTTCTTTCTCGTCTCTTCTTCTCTTAGTTAAGCGCGACCGGTAACAAGGTTAGACTAAGAGGAGCTTCTTCATTAAAAGAAATAGGTACGCTTCAATAAGCATGTTTTGTTTTGCGAAGTCTGCCAAATTGATATTACATTTTAGCGCCAAGTTCATCGCAGAACGCAGACGGACTCACAATTCACGTTCAGTCATGGCCACTGTGCGCTGTGTCATGGTGTCCGTTGTGAAAGGGGCGCCAACATTGCACAGAAGCACTAACATATCAAGCAATCAGTGACGTAAATGCTGTTCCGACTACTGGTATTTACAAAACTAGCTTCACGTTTGCCGGCGCCACAGTGTGGGCATGGGGGCCGCTTCAACCGTGGTCATCGCGTAGCAATTCATATTGCGCGCCGTTGTTTACTTGACAAGTGTATGATACTGAAGGCGTCAAACGTTTTTTCGCAGAGCTTCACTGCTGTGCCCAAGCACCGAGCGGACAATGTCGCGACGCGTGCCTGCGAGTGCTGCGCCCGAAGGAAGTCGCACCCGATGACGTCACCGGTGATGAAGATGCCGTGGATGCTCTGCTGGCCGGAGGGTGTGCGGCGCCAGGTTTGCACGTGAGTGTCTTCGAGTACAAAAGGAAAAGTGAGAGAGAGAAAGTGAGAGAGAGAGAAGAATGTACCACAACATAACTTCTTTTTTTTTGCACTAAATCAAAGCGGACAAGGGCTGAGAAAAATGAGACATGCTCAAACACTTTTGCACGTTTCGAATAATTGTCACCAAGTAGCCGAAACCCGCATCCTAACACATCTACCGAGAGGAAGCAATTGCCGATCAATTATGCCACGTGGTATAGCATCACCCGTAGCGAAATCGCTATACCATAACCACTGCCACAACCACCCCCGGAAGCCTGAACTTCCGCCCGCAAGTAATCATTCTTCATTCAGACCGCAAAGGACTGGAATCGTCTTTCTGCTGACGTGGTTCACCACTCCTGCCATACACATTTCAAAACATGAATAAAAATCATCACGGGCTAAATATGGCCACCCTTCACGGACAATTTGATGTACAAATAAATAAATAAATAAATAAATAAATAAATAAATAAATAAATAAATAAATAAATAAATAATAAATAAATAAATAAATAAGGCACTACCAAAAAAATCTGACCATGCGACTATATTTTGTAATTGTGGGTCTTAGGACAATCGTATCTTTGCCCTTTCTTCTCGGTGCCTCATTGATTGAAAACTCGCAGTCCGTGTTCTACATTCGTCGTTCTACGGACGCAGGACGGTCAGAAGAGTCTATAGGGCTGAGCGTGTCGATATATACCGTGATTACGAATCATTTGCAGTGCGAAAGACAAGAATGGCCTGAAAAGTGGGCACGTAGTATGTGTGCGCTCTCTTCTGTCTTTTCGGGCATTACGCGCTGCTAAGAAGTCGAAACCGTGACCGTATCCTTGGGAAAATAAATCTGGGAAGAAGGGTATTGTTCAGAGACACACAAGAGAGAAATAACTAAAAGGAAGAGACAGGGAGGTTAACCTAGACGAACCAATTTTCTACCCTGTACAGGGGCGGGCAAAAGGGTCGGAAAGAGGATAGATGTAGAGCGATATAAAATAAATTAGGAAAAAAAACAACCACATGCGCACACATTCAGGGAGTTTCGATCACAGTCGTTTGGACAGGCCGGTTGAACGATAAAGCGCAGGAGCGCCTTCACAGCCTTCTTCTGCGACATAAAGTCCTGTCGGCAGCGCAGGAGTCTTTTTTCCGAAAGATGCTGGTTGTCCAGCTCATCTAGTGCATTGCAGAGTGACTGTCTCTGCGAGCAGTATTGTGGGCATTCACACAGAATGTGCCAAGTTGTTTCATCACTGCCACAATGGTCGCATGCAGCAGTGTCAGCCATTCCTATGCGGGAACGCGTACGCATTGGTAAATGCGACGCCCAACCATAATCTGCACAGCACGTCTCGTCGGCGTAATTCCGAAGGAATTTGAGACTGAGGGTCGGGTCTAAGTACCTAAACCGTGCATGGATGAAATGGTGCCTCGCTCCATTGTGACGTGGTGCGCTTGCGAGCAAGCATGCGGAGTTTTCCGTGCAGTGTCAGTTCTGTAAAGCGGATTGATATTTCATTGCTTTCAGATGGCAAAACGGGCAGCTCGATCGGCCCGTTCATTGCCAATTATTCCACAGTGACTTGGGAAGCCATTGAAAGGCTATTTCATGTCCTTCCTCATGAATTGGTGAGTCTTTTTGCAATCTCAAATACCGCTGTTCGTACGGGCCGTGGCGTAAAGGTGATAAAGGGATTGCAGTGCCGCCTTTGAGAACCCACACAACAAGTGCCACATGAATTTTCGGCTTGGGTGCAGGAGCGCCTGTGGCAGTGTCTTCTCGGCTGGCGCAGCGGACCCTCCTCGCAGCTGCTGCCGGCTGACGGAGCCAAGCTGCAGTGCTGTCTCAGGGCCGCCACAATCGAGTGCCAGAGGATGTGTTTGCGGGTGAGATTCATTTATACTTCGTTCTTAGGCATTGTCCTCACTTTTTTCCCCCTGAAGCCTTCAAAACACTTTTGGGACGTTAAGCCCCACATATCAATCAATCAATCAATCAATCAATCAATCAATCAATCAATCAATCAATCAATCAATCAATCAATCAATCAATCAATTCTTCGAAACACTTTCGAAGGCTTAAGGGGGAAAAAGGTTGTTTCTTCATACTGAATATGAAGGAACAAGCTGAGGCGAAATGCATCTTAAACAGTAGCACCTGTTAGCGGTTACCCCGTCTTGATCTAGGACGTGAATGTCTGCATTCTGTACGCCTCTAATGCAATTTACATAAACAGGCGGCCTGTTGATCGGACAAAGAACTTTTTTTGTGTGTGCAGCTCAATTTTGACGCGATAACATTAAGGAGCTCGTTGCGCAGAAGATCCGATGCCGGCGTCGGCGTCATCGACTGCGAGCGAAGAATCGGCATTCTCCGTCACCAAGAAATCGATAAAGACCCAAAACTCAATCCATAATAAAAATAATCAGCCCGTACGAATGGTGCAGCCAATGTGTGTATCAAAGACCCGCCCTGTACGAAGCGCTCTGACACATCTAGTTGTCATCACTTGCAAGACCATCAACAAAGTGAGCAGCTTCTTCGGTTAACTTGTTAGCTTGCGGATGCGTATAGTGGGCCATTCGCTGATTTCTAAAGGTAAGAATTATGGCGTAGTGAACCCCGTGTACTTGCAGCAGGCATTCTGGGATAGTTTAAAACGATCGATGTTAACGCGCACGGAATTTCGTTTCGTTGAGCTGCTGTCCGCCCGAGAACCGAAGTCGGGCCAGCAAGTGAGAAGGCGATGCGCATAGGGCCCGATTACGCCATCGCGTTCTACTTGAACCCTTTCAGCCCTAGAATTTTCATTTTTGTCAAAGACATTTTCAGTACGCATTTTACTAATACTTAGGGGCTCGAAAGACCGGAAATTAAAAAAATTTAGCGAGTAGTGTAAGTAATTATGCATTTACAGACATGGCACTAATTAGGTAATCATGGCCCTGTAGTCATGAAATAACCAGAATGACAAATTTATTCCTGCTATGCCTCAGAGTGCACAAAACCTGAACCAACGTAGTATTTGAAAGTGTGGAAGCTCTTGAAACAGCTTCAGGAATTCAACCCGAAAATGCCGACTTCCTACCTCTGCTTGCCCGCCTCGTCGTCAACGATGACCTCGGTCCAGCTTCTGATTTACGGCTCCAAGCTCCGCAAAAATAAAGCGACAGTTGTGTCAGTCGAAGTGGGGATAGTTGAAGAAGCGCTTCTCCAAGAATGAGTGGGCTTTATATCGTTTTCGAGGTTCTAGGTGAAATTTTGTTTGGTGTCGTCAATTGGCGACAGCAGGGGCTGAAAGTTAAAGGGAAACTCAGGCATGCTCTAAAATTCCTTCTCTTGCGTAGAAATTAATTATTAATAAATAAATAATCAATAATTGGTCAATTGATCAATGAATCGGTTGATAAATCAATAAACTTAAAATAAGTTTTCAGCTAGAAGCCTGTCGAACATGAGGCTTCGATAGGATGAGCCCATAAGCTTATACAGTTGATAGACTTCTGAGTATATCTATCACACTACGTAGTACTGTGGTAGGCCTTGGCAAAAATTGTCTTATAAGATCTTGATGTACTGCATAACTCAACTCGTATAAAAAATCTAGATTTATGAAACCACGTAGTACTGCGCCCTAAGGCAGGCTTTCAAAAAAAAATGTCTTTTAAACTGTTGATATACTGCCTAAATAAACTAAACTCTTATGAAAAAAATTTATTATGGCGCAGATTTCCATGTAATTAATGATTTGATTGATATGTGGGGTTTAACGTACCGAAAACACCACATGAATATGAGAGACACCGGAGTGGACAGCTCAGGAAATTCCGACCACCTGGGGTTCTTTGACGTGCATCTAAATCTGAGCACAGGGGCCTACAGCCTTTTCGCCTCCATCGAAAATGCATCCGCAGTCGATATTTGATCCCGTGACCTGCGGGTCAGCAGCCGAGTACCTTTTCCACTAGATCACCGCAGTGAGGCCAGATTACCATGTACATTGCAAATACTGCGCCAAAAGAAAGAAAGATTAAGATGAGAAATGTTATCGGCAGAGGAACGCTCTATATCTTCTTCTTGCGAGAGAAAAACATGGAATAAAAAGGTGATCGAACAAAACAAAGGCAAACTAAACACTCATAATTGAAAATTTTGTTCAAGCGCACTAAAAAACGGACGGATAGAAGAGGCTGAGAAGGACAGCGCTTGCTGTCCTTGTCAGCCTCTTCTGAAAGTATAGGGGAGTTTATAGACCAAATTGTAAGGTAAATGTGAAGAAAGAAAAGTGGGTGAAAAGACAGCTTGCCGTGGGCAGGAACCATATATACGAACGAAATATCATCATGATCATCATCATCATCATCATCATCATCATCATCATCATCATCATCATCATCATCATCATCAGCCTGACTACGTCCACTGCAGGGCAAAGGCCTCTCCCATGTTCCGCCAGTTAACCCAGTCCTGTGCTTGCTGCTGCCAATTTATACCCGCAAACTTCTTAATCTCATCTGCCCACCTAACCTTATGTCTCCCCTAACCCGCCTGCCTTCTCTGGGAATCCAGTTAGTTACCCTTAATGACCAGCGGTTATCCTGTCTACGCGCTACATGCCCGGCCCATGTCCATTTCCTCTTCTTTATTTCAACTATGATATCCTTAACCCCCGTTTGTCCCCTAATCCACTCTGCTCTCTTCTTGTTTCTTAAGGTTACACCTACCAGTTTTCTTTCCATTGCTCGCTGCGTCGTCCTCAATTTAAGCTGAACCCTCTTTGTAAGTCTCCAGGTTTCTGCTCCATAGATAAGTACCGGCAAGATACAGCTGTTATATACCTTCCTCTTGAGGGATAGTGGCAATATACCTGTCATAACTTGAGAGTGCTTGCCGAATGTGCTCCACCCCATTCTTATTCTTCTAGTTACTTCAATCTCGTGGTTAGGCTCTGCGGTTATTACCTGCCCTAAGTAGACATAGTCTTTTACAACCTCAAGTGCACTATTACCTATCTCGAAGCGCTGCTCCTTTCCGAGGTTGTTGTACATTACTTTCGTTTTCTGCAGATTAATTTTAAGACCAATCTTTCTGCTCTCCTTGTCTAACTCCGTAATCATGAGTTGCAATTCGTCCCCTGAGTTACTCAGCAATGCAATGTCATCGGCGAAGCGCAAGTTACTAAGGTATTCTCCATTAACTCTTATCCCTAACTGTTCCCAATCTAGGCTTCTGAAAACCTCCTGTAAGCACGCGGTAAATAGCATTGGGGAGATTGTGTCGCCCTGCCTTACACCCTTCTTGATTGGTATTCTGTTGCTTTCTTTATGAAGCACTATGGTAGCAGTTGATCTCCTGTATATTTCTTCCAGAATGTTTATATATACTTCATCTACGCCCTGATTCCTCAGTGTTTGCATGACGGCTGATATTTCTACTGAATCAAACGCCTTCTCGTAATCTATGAAGGCTATGTATAGTGGTTGGTTATACTCTGAGCATTTCTCTACTCTGAGCATTTCGGGAATTCAGAGTGTCGCTGCAGAACAGGTACTCGGCTCTTCGTGAGGAAGCCAACCTTAGCGTAGATACAATGAATGATAATCTGACGAGTATCATTACGGAGTGTGCAGTGGAAGTTGGAGGGAGGGTAGTTAGACAGGACACTGGCAAGCCTTCCCAGGAAACGAAGAACCTAATTAAGAAGCGTCAAATCATGAAAGTCTCAAGTACAACAGACAAAATAGAACTGGCAGAGCTGTCGAAGTTGATTAATAGACGTAAAGTATGCGATGTAAGAAGGTATAACATGGAGAGAATTGAACACGCTCTGAAAAACGGAGGAAGCGTCAAAGCAGTGAAGAGGAAACTTGGGATAGGCAAAAGTCGGATGTATGCACTAAGGGACAAAGAAGGCAAAATAACTACCAATATGGATAGGATAGTTAAAATAGCGGAGGAGTTTTACAGAGATCTGTACAGTAGCCGAGACAACCACGACCTTAATACTATAAGAACTAGCAGTAACCCAGATGACACCCCACCAGTAATGATAGAAGAAGTCAGAAAAGCTTTGGAGAGCATGCAAAGAGGCAAAGCTGCTGGTGAGGATCAGGTAACATCAGACCTGCTGAAAGATGGAGGACAGATTGTGTTAGAAAAACTACCCACCCTGTTTACGAGGTGTCTCCTGACGGGAAGGGTACCAGAGTCTTGGAAGAACGCTAACATCATCTTAATACATAAAAAAAAAAAGATGACAACGACTTGAAGAATTACAGGCCGATCAGCTTGCTCTCTGTAGTATACAAGCTATTTACAAAGGTAATTGCTAACAGAGTAAAGAAAACATTAGAATTCAATCAACCAAAGGAACAAGCAGGATTTAGAACAGGCTACTCAACAATTGACCACATTCATACTATCAATCAGGTAATAGAGAACGAAATATACGAGGGACTACTGGTCAGCCTCTTCTGTCTGTCCATTTTTTAGTGCGCTTCAACAAAAGTTTCAATTATGAACGTAATCCAACTGGCCCAACTTTCCATCTTGCGGCAAACTAAACACACGTCCGATTAACGATACTGCGCATTAAATGGAGTACGGAAGGGCAAATCAGGAAAAAATATGAAAGCGAGAAAAACATCTGATAATCAGCAAGTGCACGCAGAGGTAAATGTCTGCTTACGGTGGAAATTTATTGCGATTGCGACATAGTTTCCTGAAGGAGAGAAGGTCGATTTACAAGAGTAACTGCGCCATTCGTTTCGGGTTGCGCAACGCTTTGCCGTGCACCTGCGTTAACCGGATATCGCTCTGCTGGTTCTAAAACTGCACGGCATTGCTGCAGGCGTTTGGATCCGAGTGGGAGACCTCGTGGGAGACCTTCCACAACCGCTGCCGCTACCAGCCAGCCGAAGCTGCCCTGCGACAGTGCCTTGACGACGGTGTGTGTTCCCTTTCTTTCTCTTCGAAAGCTGCTCACTTCTGATGACCTGAGTAAAAACGGAACAGGAGAGAACGAAACGCCACTTCTTGCTCATACACAATGGGGAATTCGTTATTTCCAAAATAGATCCTACGGATTCCAGTACCGACGTTACTGTAAAGAGGCGCGAAAGCTTTTTTTCCCCCGGTCCCTGAGTGCAGCAATTTTCACTTTCTGATTGTACAATAAAGTTGTAAGGGGTCGAGAACTCTGCAGACAGGTGCTGCTTTTTGTGTCGGGCAACTGTCGTGTTCTGTGATGTGCGCGAAAGACACGTCTCAACAAATAGATAAGAAAAAATCGATGCACCACGCGTTTCCCTACATCGTCGGTTTTGCAAGCCATGTTTACGTAACTAAGTTGTTAATAGCAAACAAAACAAAAACAGTTACAGCACGAACACCTGAACACCTAAAGTAACGACGAATGGAAAGAAAGATTAACATAGGTACGTCACAACAGCTAACCATTATGTGCGACACTTAGCCCAGTGGGTACATAAGAGCCAATACCCCCCCCCCCCCCCCTCCTCATTTCTTGTTTTTAATATAACGGAGCCATCGCAAACCTGTTGAGACCACTCAACAGACACATTACGCTCGAAAAAAATTACTTGGCAGATGTGCGCCCGAAACGACACTAAGGGTCAGAAACTTTGTTTGCTTTGGCCATAAAATTAACCGCGCGTACCCTCGGTTAACTTTGCACTGTGTTAGCTTACTTTAAAGCTTGAAATATTATACCTTAAAGAGTGGCGTGCAGATCGTTCGTTGAGCGCACAAGACCCTCCGCATGAGACTGATTAGGAGTGCGCTTGAGCACTGGCGCAAGGAAACGTCGCGAAGCGTATAACCCCCGACTTGCGTCACTTCAGATCGCTGTCACCGCAACTATCAACTGAATGATTAATCGACCGGGTTTTAGCGCTGCAATGTAATCACCTTGAACATGGGAGTGCACTTAGTGGGTGTATTCAAGCATTTTTCGATCACCAAATATTTTGTTAACGTACATACAAATAAATCGAAGACGCAAATGCTAGGAGACCAAGTTTAAGTGTTGAGGCCCACACGTGTGCTTGCTTCTCGTTTGTCTTGCCAATTACGATAGTTATAGCGCGAGAACAAAACGACGACACAGAGACAAGAAGGACACGAAAGACACGAGCGCTCGTGTCTTTCGTGTCCTTCTTGTCTCTGTGTCGTCGTTTTGTTCTCGCGCTATAACTATCGTAATGCCATACCAACTAGCCCAAGCTGCCACATGTCTTGCCAAATTGTGAAAGTCAGCACTGTTGCGATCTGGAGCCTACCTTGCTTTTCGTTCACAGTATCTGCAAAGCACATCGGAGATAGAGCGTTAATCAAACTTCAAGTTCCTTACCAGCCTGTTTACGTCGGCTTGGCCTTTTCAACTGTGCCACCCACTCATTGGATATAAAATGAAAAAAAAAAGATATAAAATGAGGAAAATAAGAAATAAGAAATAAATTGTGGGTTTCACACGCCATAGCCTTGATACGATTGGATGTTGAAGATACATAATAAATTATTATCACACATTAATCGGGTTTTATGCCCCAAAACCACGATATGATAACGAGAGATGCCGCAGTCGAGGGCTCCACAAATATCAACCACTTCGGAATACGTAAAAAAACGTCTAAACGTAAAAACACGAGCCTCTAGCACCCCCCCCCCCCCCTCAACTAAGTGCAGCCGCTCCGTGCGGGATTTGATTCCTTAACTTTAGTACGAAATTGAATGACCGGGTTAAGCCTCACCTCTACACCAAAGCCTTGCAAGTTTGTTTCGTGGTAAACGTTGAGAGGACTCATTTTCGCTTCACAATACAGCGCAAACCGCGCTACGACTTTTTCATCGCCGTCCGGTTCTCCTTTTTTTCTCATTCTCTTAAGTAACGCCATCCAGTAACGCCATCTTCTGCGCAACCAGCACATGGCAGCAAATAGGAAACTCCACCCTATGGGTAGTTTCCTTTCCATTTGCTCTCTCTAGCTGCATGCCGTCGTTCATATTAAACTTGCTTGTGTGAGTAATGTCTCGTGGTATAAATCAGGCAGCCCCCAAACAAAGCTAGGAGAATAAAGCTCCATTGTTTTGCAACAACGACGATATTTTTATGCTGGAATCGTTAGTGGATCACAGGACACACACGACGTTGGAATCGCACTTTGCTTCGGTGAGACAATACCCGCTGTCATTCCGAATAAAGGGCAACAACTGCGGAATCGGGTTGAACTTTCCGCGCGTCCAGGAAAGCCGCGTATAGTACTGATTTACCGCTGTCAGGCCTTCGTCTTTTCACGACGTCGCTGAACGACGCAGTGCATGCAATAAGATTTGCGGACGGCTGCGGTGGGAACGGGGATCTTGCCGTGGGCAAGAGAGACCATCGCATTAGGGAGCGGGCGTGTGCCCTATATTTTCACGCTGCATTAAAACCGTAGTTTGACGGATTGAGAAATAACACGCTAGCCAGGAACATGCGGGTTTTTTATTTTATTTTATTTGTTTTTTCTGAAAAACTACACACACACGCGCGCGCGCACACGCACACACACACATGCGCACGCGCACGCACGCCCACGCACACACGCACGCACGCACGCACACTGCGTCAAGGAGGCCTTACCGAAGCAGCACTATACTGCGACGGTGAAACGCAGTTCTGACCGAAAGTCAGTGCTTTGCTCCCCGCCCACCACAATTTATAGAGTTCCCTTTGAAGTAGAGTTACACCAAATAATCGCCACTTTTTAAATTGAAGTGACAAATAGGGAATGTTGGCGACGTTAATACGGCACCGGCTACATATTATCGCTTAGCACACGAAATATAAGTGATGAGAAAAAAAAAGAGGGAGAGATAGCAATGTAACGAAATTGGGCAATAAAATATGAGACTGGGTGAGGTCACTATTTTTTTAACGAAGCGCAGAAGACAGCTACACAATACGAGGACCTCAGGGCAAAGAGCTTAACTAACGTATTCAACTAAGATCTGTGCTTTTTTATGGCTGATGTTTTTACCTTTCTAAACTGCTTTAAAAACTGAAGTATGGTGGCAGGGAGGGCACTATGGTCGAAAGTAACTTCATAGCTGTGCGAAATGTTCTGAAAGATGGATCCTGAACAAGAACTTCGTCCTTGTTCAGGGATCGAACCCGGGACCAACCTCTTCCTCTGGTTGTCGCTCTACCAAATGAGATAACCAGGAAGCTAGTTAATGGCAGCACGAGGGCGAAATAACCAGTTAACCCCTAATTTTCGCGTAGTTCAGGTAAGGTAACAAAGTGTACATGTGAATGTACTAGAAAGCAAAAAATATTATCAGTGCCATATAATGGTAATTAATGGTGGAACTGCATTACATAGAAGTCCAACGCCGTGGTGCAGCGGATCCCGGCTACGGTGGCTGCATTTCGACGGGAGCAGAATGGTAGAAGCTCATGAACTGTGCGAGGTCGCCGCACGTCGAATAACACCAGATGGTGGAAATATTCGGAGCCCTCCACTACTACTACGACCCTCATGATGAAATCGTAGTTTTTGGGGGGGTGAAACCTGAGATATCATCACCACCACCACCACCACCACCACCACCACCACCACCACCACCACCACCACCACCACCACCACCACCACCACCACCACCACCACACCTTCATCATCATCATCATCATCATCATCATCATCATCATCATCATCATCATCATCATCATCATCATCATCATCATCATCATCATCATATCATCATCATCATCGTTATTATTATTATTATTATTATTATTATTATTATTATTATTATTATTATTATTATTATTATTATTATTATTATTATTATTATTATTATTATTATTATTCATCGTAGTGGACGAGCCATGCGAGTTGGGTTGCGGAGGACCTCTGACTTTCTGCGCACACCTGGGAGCCAGGCCGTGGTCGCTGTACCGGCGATGCGACGCCAGCGCCGACCGTGTGGCGAGGGAGAGCGCCCGGCTGTGGATGCGCAGCGGACCGCCGACGGCGATGGAGAGCGGCGTGCGGCGGGAGGACCCAACTGCGCCCTTGGGTGACTGTCCCGCGGACGCGTGGAGAGAGCTCGCCTGCACGCTCAACCTCAGGCCGTGCCACGCGACGCACCACTCGAGCACGCTCTGCAGGTATTCCGCGTTTGTAAATAGCGGTGGGCGCCGCCGACGCACGAGGGCGCTCGTAGCGACGTCCCTACAGAGCGCGACTCCGCGAACTAGTCGGGGCAGACGGGTTTGATGACGTGGGAAACTAAACTGCTCAGGCGGATAAATTTTGCGACGCGAACAGGACAAGGACCAGAAGGGACACAGAAGAGCGCCGAGTTTGAACTGAATGTTTAATTATCGTGCGAGTGCGCACATCTTCAAAAAAGTCAGTCGAAGGCTGTCATGAAAGCAACCATCCTTAAAAGAATGACAGTTACGGCGTACTGACCTCCCTAATTACCTCAAGATTGATAAAATATGCCTGAATAATTTAGCGTTCGAGCTTATCGTGGGTCTGTTTCGAAAACGTGGTTTTATGAAAAAGTAGAGTGCATTTACGCCGTTCGCTCTGAAAATAGCTGCGCTCCTCACTATATTCGTTCCTAACAGCCAAACTGCATTCACGTTTTCGTGTGTCTTTTCTCGTCCTTGTCTCGTTCGCGCTGCTTATTATCTTTGCTGTGAACCAACTATAGTCAATCCCAAGATAGCTGTGCTCACGCGCGCTTAAGCAGCGCCCGTACACAACTGCATAATGAACGACACATCTGTTTCGCAGGGAGGAGTGCCTGGCCCTGGCTGCTCGCTGTAAAGACGGACGCCAGCTGGCACCTCTGTGCGACTCCCTGGCTCCTCCCGGGGCTGCCTGCTTCTCGATTCTCCGGGTGGACACACGTGCGCCGCTTTCCTAGCTCTCTGTTCTTGTGTTTGTTCGCATGCGTCGGCGTAGTGGGCGAGTCTAATTACGCGCTCGCACCGAGATTCGCTTCGCGCATTCATCGCAACGGTGACTAATGAATCATTTCGTGTGTGTATGATTGTTTCACAACCCCATTTCCAGAGTACGTGTTAGCCAGTTGTCAAAGCGCTCGTTAACTCTCGTGTTTTTCCATCGATTGCCCCCCTGACGCTTTAAACTTAGTCTATTGTTAACTTAACATCTCCAAGTACGTTCCCACAGGGTGACTTTGCTTCGAGACACGCTCAGAGCAGTCGTTGGCGCGAGCACCCGCTGCACAGGTAAGGGCAAAGCCCTTTAAACATTCTCTCCGTGTGATTAATAACGGGTACAAATTATGGGTCGAATGAAGCAAGTGCCCAAGTTTCCAAAGAAATATCGTTGGTGGCCGAGGAATATTGTGGCGAAGGGGGCCGAAAAGGGAACAGGGGAGAGGTGTGAGGACGGTGGGCGTTTACGAACTGCAGAGACATGGCAATGAGAATAGATGTGAGGTCAAAGGGAAGGCAAAGAGGACATTTACAGGTGGCGAGAAAGAGTGAGCTTATGACTAGCTGCTAAGAAAGTGATGCCACAACTGGCATGGCAACGCGCGCTACAAGTCCAAGTCTTTACATGCATGCATTTGCATTCCCCTTTCTTGAAGCGCCCCTCGGAAAATCTGTCGATGAGTTTTAAATGCCAATCTTAGTCGGGCTATGTCAGGCGTCCGTCGGGATCCGTCCACCGGCCTCTTCCTTAGCAACAGCTGTGGACGCGCGCGCTTAACCTCGCTCCTAGCAACCGGAGCATGTGGTGCGAAAGAGTGTAGGGGCAATGCTTCGCCACTCCTTCTCTCGCCGCTCACTGAGCTTCATCGATTTACTAGGACCCGGATTACTCACGGATGGCCCGCGGACTCCTCGGATCACAAGTTGTTACGTCACATGCACGTGATCTAAAAGTCCCGAGCGGCCTCGGGCCATCTGCGCGCTTGATGCTGACTGCATCCGCTGTGGCGTCTGCTATGCCTGGCTATGCCGTCTGCTCCCTCCATAGCTGAAACACAGGCCACAACGCTGACTCATTTGCAACCTAAACAGCAGTTAGGTAGTGAATTGTACCTATTTCTGTTGTGATGCAACTTACTGTAAGTGAACTACTCGAGCGCGTGCGCATAGTAGACCGGCGCGGTCGTTCCACCGCTGTTTCTCCTAGCGAGTATAACGCGTGTTTGCCCGACCTTCGGGAATACGCACATGCTCGACGTGGCTCAGAACACCGATGACAGAAACTGGGTGCGCTAACAATGCGAAATCCAGAAGCATGCAAGAAGCGGACAAAAAAGCAAAGAAAGAGCAAGAGCGGATCGAAAATTTCCCGTGTCTAACTTAAGATGGCCGTACAGCATGTGCACCACGCTGTCGTCTGCCAGCGGCCCGAAAGAAATTGTTCGGGCGGTCCCGGGCCGCCCGCAGGCCGCCAGGCACGCGAAAAACGAACACGCGTCCGAGTTATCCCGGACCAGTGGGCGGAGCTTCCAGTTGGTCTCCGAGAAAAACGAATGTGGCGCCGGCGTCCGGGGCTGTCCGGAGCCGTTCGGGACGTGTAAATCGATGAAGCTCATTGTCTCTCCTCCCTGCGCCCCAGCTTTCCGTCCACTCGTGCCTCACTCACGACCGTTCGCTGGCTGGGTGCCTTTCAAGAACTTCCAAAAATGTGTGCATGAGACGCCGCTGTGAAACGCCAACGCTGAGCCAAAAACGCTATTTGTTTTGTTCACTTCTTAGTATTTTTTAACCGTGCACGCTAGCTACTAGAGCTGGAAACACATACTGCGTTTCTCGCGACAGAACAATGCCACGTGCGGTGAACGGCGCTATTGGCTGCACGGTTTTAAAAAAAAAGAAAACATTTTTCTTCTGCCGCTCGGAAAAAGACAAGCTTAACGCCCTGATACGCAAGGCGTACAAGTTCGCGTTGGGACAGGCGCCCGGAGTTAGCACCAGCAAACTCCTAGAGCTAGGGTTGCATAACACCCTCGAGGAACTCGTGGAGGCGCAACAAGTTTCCCAGCTTGAGCGCCTATTCAAGACCCGCCCAGGCCGACACCTACTCGAAAAACTCGGCATTACGTACCATTCGCAACACGGCATCAAAGTCAAAATTCCAAGATCGGTACACGAGAAACTATACGTATCCCCATTGCCTCGCAACATGCACCCCAAACACCGTACGGGACGGCGTAAAGCCAGGGCACAACGCATTACTCAAGGCTACTCCAACGACAATGAAGCGGTTTTCACTGATGCCGGGCGTTATATACCAATAAAAATAGCTTCGTGGCGGTAGTTACCGGCCATCACGGCAAATACATCACAAGCCTCACTGTGAACACGGCACACGCTGAAGCGGCAGAGGAAGCGGCTATAGCACTGGCCCTCACACAGACCAATGCCACATACGTGATTAGTGATTCGCGAACAGCAATTCGCAATTTCGCCAACGGACGCATCTCGCAAGAGGCGTTTCACATACTCCAACGACATCCCATACATCCAGGAGAGGTCGACTTCGATAACCGAAGGCACCTGTTATGGATCCCGGCACATACCGGACTGAGCACCCCCAACGAAGCGGCTCACCGCGTTGCTCGAGGCCTCACTCACCGAGCATCGCCGGAGGACGACGAGCCCCCGCGGGGAACTGCAGACATCTGGGCATGGGAGGATCGTATGACCAGGTTTCACGACATCACCACACATTACCAGTTACAAAGACGCATATACCCATCTCCTCACGAAAGGCTAAACAGAACCCAAGCGGTACACTTCAGACAATTACAAACAGATTCATACAGAAAGCCCAGACGCCATGTATCCAGACATAAACAGTACAAACAGATGCACGTCATGTGGCAAGGTTGCCACCCTTAGTCACATGCTGTGGGAGTGTCAGGGCCTAAAAAACTCCCAAGCATTTCCCCGAGGGTGAACATGGTTAAGTGCGAATGCACGGGGTGATGCTATGAGAGGTATTTATTAATTCGCACTATTCTATTTATTAATCACACTATGGTGCCTTTATGGTGTAATGGTTCCTGGGAATCGCAATTTGATCACACGGGGGAGTTTACGTTAACTCACTGGCGAATGCCAACGGATTTTAACTTTACTCCCTCTCATAGCATCACCCCGTGCATTCGCACTTAACGATGTTCACCCTCGGGGAAATGCTTGGGAGTTTTATTACTGATGATGATGCTTAAAGTGTAATTAATGAATTTAAGTGTTGTTTGTCATGAAGCATTTGTACACAGATACATTATATACGAAGTATTATTTATTTACACTTCACGATTTTCGTACGATGCAGTAAATGCACACATCGCGAGCGCATCACACACACACACACAAACTACACTACAGATTAGCATCTATTCGTGTTATCGTTGTAGCTTACGGTTGGTACCAGCGCTTTGCGGAGGAGCGAGCGAAGGGGGAGGCGGACGCGCGCAGCGGCGTTAAGGATATAAGGCGCGTTACTCACACCGATATCAGCGTCACGTCCGGTGCTTATTCGGTAGAGCGTCGCGCTGCGGCCCGCTAAGTCCTCTAAGTCCTCTTTCTTTTAAAGATAGAGAGAAGACTGCGGACGCCGCCGACGGCGGCGGATGGTTTGGAGTCGCTTATAAAGTGTATTCACACTTAATAAACAATTCGAACAGTGCCGATTCGTCTCACTCTTCCACCACCAGCCTCCGATCGCGTTGGAAGGCCGCACTGCTCAGCTCGAACCTGAGAGCACAACTCTGGGCCGTCCAGCGTGCCGAGGAAGCCGCGGTGGGTGCCCAGGCCCACTAAAAAATGCCGGACTCGAATCGTCTGAATTCGACAAATAAAGTTTATGTTCTTCTTCTTCTTCTGCCGCTGGGTTCCCACGTGCGAGACGCCGTTATGGACGCTACGAAATGCATTCGCATTTCCTCCCGATTCCCTTCGGGGAGGTGAGGGCATTTTTTAAAGGAAAGGAGTATGACATATGCACGAGTTGTCTTGAAAAAGCTGAAGAACAAAGCATTTGAGAAAGGGGAATAAATAAACAAACAAAAAACATGGTCAATTTTCGCGCACCCATTGTCATGGAAACGTTGTCATGAAGTTGGCTTCTTCACAATAACACTACTTGAAAGGCAGAGCCTACCTATGCTTCTCAGCGATATCTGAGGTATAAGCCTTGAAGCGGGAGTCATAATTGAAACCCGACGAGAGAACAACTATAAATAAACTTAAAATGACAAAATGAGCAAGTAAATAAACACCACTTTGCTTTACGTTATTTTGGAAATTAGCGAATGCAATGTGTCATTCATCATTCACGCAACCCTTCAACTCAGGTGCTCGTGAGCGCTTCAAAGTAATTATAAAATTATGGCATCGGTTGCTATTCGTACAGGTTGTGAATCGCTAGAAAAACAGAATAGACTGTGATTTCTTGAAGTTTCCGTACGCTACTCATTGAGCAGCGGACTTCTGGATCTGGATACCCGCACTTCACGGTGTCCCTCGTAACTTACCGAAGTTTCTTAAAGTTAAACTTGCAACCTATTAATTTGTACTCATAGAGTTCCGTTTATTTAATTATTCCGTGCCTCCGCTTTCTCTTTTATTTGATTTCACTTCAACGGGCCGTATATCTCCCACAACCCTGCATCGCATGAAGTGTGCTGCGCATGAGCTGTCATTCGCACGCGCATATTTGTTCGGCAGAGCCCCTAATCTTGCAAGCGCGCGTGCCTTCGCATACAAATCAGTTGGGATCGGAGTTACCACTGCTCTGCTGAATGATATTAATAGCCGCCTATGGGTATGTGTTCTCGGCGTCCTGGAAAGTATTTCTTTTTTTTTTCTCGACTTGGTGAAGAATGGGCAAGATGGAGGGGCACCGAACGAACGAAGTTGCTCGGAGGGAACAATGATAAAGCCATGCCACACTTTTTATATTTTCTTTGTAACTTCTCAGTCATAAAATCAAGGAAAAAAAAATCAAGAATAGGAACCTCCTCGTCGATTATTGTAGAACGCCTCGTGGGTGGGAAGCACAGGTAGAACTCACGAAGGTTCCAGGCCGTCGGACTTTCCAGCTGCCGTGTTTGTCGGATTCGCTGAAGCCCTCAATTTCTGGTCGGTGTCAACGTTCCTAGCTCCCTTTCCGGCCCCACACAAGTGTGCGTGTGTGGTTTAAATAAATGCTTCGTTCTATGTTGCTTCTAAGATGGCATCAAAATAATGGCGCGTATTTTCAAGCTGGCCGCGTCAGTCTTCTCTAGACTTGCTTTTAGGCACTTCTAACATTTCTGAACCACGCACGCGTAAACTACATTCCGCGAACTACATTGAGTTCGTGTGCTGAGACAGTGTTAACTGGAAACTCACCGCGCTGGTCTAATGGTCAAGGTGCTTGATTGCAAAACTCGGAGGTCGTGGGTCGAATCTCGGCGGCCAGTTTTGAAGAAGGCAATATTCTGGAGGCTGGAGGGTCGTGCACCTACATAGATATAAGCGAGCGTTTAAAAAACCTTAGGTGGTCGACATTTCTACTGCACTCCACTACGTCGCCCCTTATGATCAGATCGTGGTTCTGGTACGTAAAATACCCCAACAATGGTATTAATCATAACGGCTGGTATCAGTGAATTTCGATGCAATTTTTATTCTAGTCACTTCTTTCATATAACAGCAACTTGAAGATGAAGTGATACTTCCATCAATATCCAACTGACCACGCTGAAACGTGTCGTAGATTGATTGATATGTGGTGTTTAACGTCCCAGAACCACCATAAGATTATGAGAGACGCCGTAGTGGAGGGCTCCGGAAATTTCGACCACCTGGGGTTCTTAAACGTGCAGCTAAATCTAAGCACATGGGCCTACAACATTTCCACTTCCATCGGGAATGCAGCCGCCGCAGCCGGGATTCGATCCCGCGATCTGCGGGCCAGCATCTGAGTACCTTAGCCACTGGACCACCGCGGCGGGGCGAAAACGTGTCGTAGACGATTACACCAGTGCCACATGTTTCCGTAAAATCCTTACAGATGGAAATCGAAAACGTGCGGCAAATATATGAAAAATGTATGCATTCCGCAAGAGTAATTGTATGGGCATGTAGATTGTTTCAGTGAGAAAACCTCTCTCATTCGCACTTCTGCCGCATCGTCTTACAGAGCGAACAACAACGCCACCGGTGGCTGAGTCTGCGACGCAACCGTGCAGATCGCGGCCTTGCGGAAGCTCGTCCATCTGCGTCGTGAACAGGCATTGCGGTCCGGGACAGTCGTGCAGCAAGTACCGCTGTCTCAAAGGTGAGCGTGGCCGATAACTTCTTTCTTTTGTTTGGTGCCATCGGGTGATGACGTGTGCGTGTGTGTGAAGACAGCTGTGCGAAAAAAATACTGCCAATGTCGGGTTAGTTGATCTCACAGTTTAGCTAAGGTAATCTAAGGTTTGGCGTCAGCATAAGCACCAATATCGTTATCACCTTCTTTCTTGATATTGTTTTACTGTACACAGCTGAATGGCAAAGCCGAAAGTATTAGGTATACGCTGGTGTCTACCGGCAACAGGAGCTCCACGCTTATTGAGAGACTTCAAAAAAGAAGTAGAAAATGGTAAAAAGAGGTGAAATGAGCCTTAGAGTGAACAAGATAACAATAACTACATTAACACAGTGATAAGGAAGACAAAACATCGGTAAGGACGGGCGCAATACAGAAAATAGAAAGGGCAAGTTAACTTTTCGATTGCTCATATGTCATCGTATCTTGGCCCAATACCCAGAGCCCCGCCGCGGTGGTCTAGTGGCTAAGGTACTCGGCTGCTGACCCGCAGGTCGCGGGTTCAAATTCCGGCTGCGGCGGCTGCATTTCCGATGGTGGCGGAAATGTTGTAGGCCCGTGTGCTCAGATTTGGGTGCACGTTAAAGAACCCCAGGTGGTCTAAATTTCCGGAGCCCTCCACTACGGCGTCTCTCATAATCATATGGTGGTTTTGGGACGTTAAACCCCACAAATCAAATCAATCAATACCCAGAGCAGTATAGGTTCTCAGAGAAGCCTGATGGAGCCGTTCATGCGTGCAAGCATCATCACCGAAGTAAAATAGAAACTAACTGGAGCATACAAGAACTCACTTCTTTAGCTTTGTCATTCTCTCAAATGAGGAAAACTAACCTCGCTTACATTTTGATTCGGTGTTGTTGGTAATCGTGCTGCGATGCCAGATTCTCGCTGCGAAACTGCGGGTGTTCACAAACGACGATTTGTAATCGACCCGAGTGAGTGATCATTTTGCGCCCGTAACTTGATCCACATATACGCCGTCGAAATATTCTGATACTGCGTCCAATCCTCATCAGTGGAGTTACCCCGACAGCGGCTGCCTCTCTTCCTTTGTCTCTTCCATCGCTACCATTACATGTGTAGTAAAACCAACCCTAACATGGCGAATGACCACGGGAAGTTATTCTAAGACGATCGTTTTCCTCAGACGTAGCGACAATGAGAATGAAAAGCAATGAGAATTTCTTTCTTTCTTTCCCCGACACGTTAGTCGTATGCACGCAGTGCCAGTTCTCACGAAAGTGAAACGGTCCACGGAAGTGAGGGTCAGTACTCCAGGTTCCAACTAGGGTGACCAGGGTCTCTCACGATTCGTACAAACAGGGACAAATAAATACAGAGGGTGAAAGAAAAAGAAGTTGGTAGGTTGTTTTACAGAGCATTTTACACAACTGGGCAAAAAATAGTCAATGTTTTTTTTTTCTCGCACAATTTGTGACGCAAACCCTAAAGAAGCGATGGCCTAGTACTGCCCACGTGCTTGATGTAATCTGAAGTAAAACAAGACTCACAGAGACACGAAGTGTCTTAACTTGTGGCATAATGTTACGGGGAACATTTATTCGCTGAACGTGAACCCAGCTAATGCCACGCAGACCGCACAGTATTGCAGACCAACAGGGCAGCACGAGAGTTCAACCCACAACAAAGACGTTGTCGTCATTGGGTGTCATTTCAGTGCTTGCGCCGGAGTGACAGTTTCATACACGGGTCAATATGTTCACAAAATCACTTCTTTACATTAATCGTGGCATCAAAGGCAAGAATAGTGTTTTTATTTACAGTACCATACAGAGCCCTCGAGGGGCATTGTGTAAGGGGTACAGATAATATGTTAGAAAAATATATATATACATATATATCTACACATAGATAGGCAAATATTGAATATAACAGGAAATGCAGTTCAACTTATGAACATGTAAGCAAAATACGTACTAGAAAAGTGAGTTACAGTATGTGAAGGTCAAATAAAACAAATATTATGAGAGTAACTACAACCTAGCAATAGTGCAAAAAACATCGGCAACAGTCCTATAAGCACAGATGATGACGAAGATGTGATAGAGCAGTTTTTGGTGCATAAGTATTTTTTAAGAGTATGATAGAACTTTGTGTGGTCTTGTTCGGACGCAAGATCATCTGGCAAATCATTCCACAAGCGAATAGCTCGTGGAAGAGCCGACTGGTTGAAAGCGTTAGTATTGCCGTACATGCGTGATAAGCTAAAGGTGTTATGTAGTCTGCTCGAAGTTCGATGTGCTAGATTAAGGTGCACAGGTGGACACTTTCGACGGTATGCTGTGACGTAGACTTCGTAAAACTTAACAAAATTGTTTCAAAATATGTTTTGATTGCATTTTACAAAAAATATACGAGATTTAATTAGTCTGCACATACTTACATAACATTGATTTAGAGCACACACGAATGTCTGTAGCCCCGCCACGGTGGTCTAGTGGCTAAGGTACTCGGCTGCTGACCCGCAGGTCGCGGGTTCAAATCCCGGCTGCGGCGGCTGCATTTCTGATGGAGGCGGAAATGTCGTAGGCCCGTGTGCTCAGATTTGGGTGCACGTTAAAGAACCCCAGGTGGTCAAAATTTCTGGAGCCCTCCACTACGGCGTCTCTCATAATCATATGGTGGTTTTGGAACGTTAAACCCCACAAATCAATGAATCAATCAACGAATGTTTGTACATTAACGTAAATTCATATTTTGTGAACACACAACCCTGCGTTCTGGTGACTTGAGATCTCTGCTTCCTGTTCAGTACTGGTGAAGGACTACCCGTGACCATCCTGGCATTAGGCACTTGACAGTCTGAGAATACATCGCCTCGTATACAAAAGTACGCAACGTACGACGATAGATGCACTGCGGTTTCTCACAGGCTGCCCCGTGGGGTCTTCGTCGGGAACATTGGTGCCTCAGGGCTCACCTGCGCGGCTGCCGCGCGTCGAAGGCGGCCGACTCTGCTGGAGCCGGTGCCGTTGCTCCGAGTCGGGTGCCTTGACCGAATGCCTTCACACCGGCTGCGATGACGCCACACCGAAGCAGTGCTGGCTGGATGGGCGTGCCCGCTGTAAGCAAATCACTTCAATACTGTTTGACCAGAGTGTTCATGCCACCATATGGGCATCGGCGTAACTGATCTGTCGTAAGAAGTTAGTTCTCAGTTAGTGAGTTCTCAGTTAATATTCATCATCATCATCATCATCATCATCAGCCTGACTACGTCCACTGCAGGACAAATGCCTCTCCCATGTTCCGCCACTTAACCATGTCCTGTGCTTGCTGTTGCCAATTTATACCCGCAAACTTCTTAATCTCGTCTGCCCACCTAACCTTCTGTCTCCCCCTAACCCGCTTCCCTTCTCTGGGAATCCAGTTAGTTACCCTTAATGACCAGCGGTTATCCTGTCTACGCACTACATGCCCGGCCCATGTCCATTTCCTCTTCTTTATTTCAACTATGATATCCTTAACCTCCGTTTGTCCCCTAATCCACTCTGCTCTCTTCTTGTCTCTTAAGGTTACACCTACCATTTTTCTTTCCATTGCTCGCTGCATCGTCCTCAATTTAAGCTGAACCCTCTTTGTAAGTCTCCAGGTTTCTGCTCCGTAGCTAAGTACCGGCAAGATACAGCTGTTATATACCTTCCTCTTGAGAGATAGTGGCAATCTACCTGTCATAATTTGAGAGTGCTTGCCGAATGTGCTCCACCCCATTCTTATTCTTCTAGTTACTTCAATCTCGTGGTTAGGCTCTGCGGTTATTACCTGCCCTAAGTAGACATGGTCTTTTACAACTTCAAGTGCACTATTACCTATCTCAAAGCGCTGCTCCTTTCCGAGGTTGTTGTACATTACTTTCGTTTTCTGCAGATTAATTTTAAGACCCACCTTTCTGCTCTCCTTGTCTAACTCCGTAATCATGAGTTGCAATTCGTCCCCTGAGTTACTCAGCAATGCAATGTCATCGGCGAAGCGCAGGTTACTAAGGTATTCTCCATTAACTCCTATCCCTAACTGTTCCCATTCTAGGCTTCTGAAAACCTCCTGTAAGCACGCGGTAAATAGCATTGGGGAGATTGTGTCCCCCTGCCTTACACCCTTCTTGATTGGTATTCTGTTGCTTTCTTTATGAAGCACTATGGTAGCAGTTGATCCCCTGTAGATTTCTTCCAGAATGTTTATATATACTTCATCTACGCCCTGATTCCGCAGTGTCTGCATGACGACTGATATTTCTGCTGAATCAAACGCCTTCTCGTAATCTATGAAGGCTATGTATAGTGGTTGGTTATACTCTGAGCATTTCTCTATTACCTGATTGATAGTATGAATGTGGTCAGTTGTTGAGTAGCCTGTTCGAAATCCTGCTTGTTCCTTTGGTTGATTGAATTCTAATGTTTTCTTTACTCTGTTAGCAATTACCTTTGTAAATAGCTTGTATACTACAAAGAGCAAGCTGATCGGCCTGTAATTCTTCAAGTCCTTGTCATCTCCTTTTTTATGTATTAAGATGATGTTAGCGTTCTTCCAAGAGTCTGGTACCCTTCCCGTCAGGAGACACCTCGTAAACAGGGTGGCTAGTTTTTCTAACACAATCTGTCTTCCATCTTTCAGCAGATCTGATGTTACCTGATCCTCACCAGCAGCTTTGCCTCTTTGCATGCTCTCCAAAGCTTTTCTGACTTCTTCTATCATTACTGGTGGGGTGTCATCTGGGTTACTGCTAGTTCTTATAGTATTAAGGTCGTGGTTGTCTCGGCTACTGTACAGATCTCTGTAAAACTCCTCCGCTATTTTAACTATCCTATCCATATTGGTAGTTATTTTGCCTTCTTTGTTTCTTAGTGCATACAACCGACTTTTGCCTATCCCAAGTTTCCTCTTCACTGCTTTGACGCTTCCTCCGTTTTGAGAACGTGTTCAATTCTCTCCATGTTATACCTTCTTACATCGCATACTTTACGTCTATTAATCAGCTTCGAAAGCTCTGCCAGTTCTATTTTGTCTGTTGTACTTGACACTTTCATGCTTTGACGCTTCTCAATTAGGTTCTTCGTTTCCTGGGAAAGCTTGCCAGTGTCCTGTCTAACTACTCTTCCTCCAACTTCCACTGCACACTCCGTAATGATACTCGTCAGATTATCATTCATTGTATCTACGCTAAGGTTGGTTTCTTCACTAAGAGCCGAGTACCTGTTCTGCAGCGACACTCTGAATTCCTGTACGTTCCTTCTCAGTGCTAGCTCATTGATTGGCTTCTTGTGTATCAGTTTCTGTCGTTCCCCTTTCAAGTCTAGGCGAATTCGAGACCGTACCATTCTATGGCCACTGCATCGTGCCTTCCACATCCTGCACGATTCCTGGGTGTGCAGTCATTATAAAGTCTGTTTCGTTCTTATTTTCGCCATTAGGGCTCCTCCATGTCCACTTGCGGTTTTATCGTTTGCGGTAGAGGGTATTCAAAATCCGCAAATTATTGCGTTCTGCGAATTCTACTAGTAGCTCTCCTCTGGCGTTTCTAGTGCCGATGCCATAATCTCCTACTGCCTGGTCTCCAGCCTGCTTCTTCCCTACCTTTGCATTAAAGTCGCCCATCACTATAGTATACTGTGTTTTTTACCTTACTCATTGCCGATTCCACGTCTTCATCGAAGCTTTCAACTGGAGCGTCATCATGGCTGGATGTAGGCGCGTAAGCCTGTACCACCTTCATCTTGTATCTCTTGTTCAGTTTAATTACGATACCTACCACCCTTTCATTAATGCTATAGTATTCCTCGATGTTGCCAGTTATGTTTCTGTGAATTAGAAACCCCACTACCAGTTCTCTTCTGTCAGCCAAGCCCCGATAGCAAAGGACGTGCCCATTGTGTAGCACCGTATAGACCTCATCTGTCCCCCTAACCTCACTGAGCCCTATTATATCCCATTTAACACCCTCTAGCTCCTCGAATAGTACAGCTAGACTTCCCTCACTAGATAAGGTTCTAGCGTTAAACGTTGCCAAGTTCAGGTTTCAATGGCGGCCTGTAGTCCAGAGATTCTTAGCACCTGCGTTGCAGATCTGACCGCCGCCATGGTCAGTTGCTTCGCAGCTGCTGGGAACTGAGGGCCGTGAGTTATTTGACGTATGCATGTGGGAGGTAGTGGCCAGATACTGCACCAGGGTGGCCCATCCTTCTCTGGTGAGGAAGTGCGTTCCCGGCGGTGGTTACCGGTGAGGCCGCACCCCAGGCCTCTTAATGCAGTTCCATCAACACGCGGATTTTTTTTTTTCCGGTTGGGAAATGCGCGGCACCGGGATTTGAACCACGGACCTCTTGCATGCGAGGCGGATGCTCTAACCACTACGCCATCGCCGCACCCGGATTGTTATGTTCTAAATGTAGGTTTCAGCGGTGTATCAGTCAAGTTTGTGGTTATTTTTATAAAAATTTTTTAATGAAATGAGATTTCTGCTGATTACCCCCTTAATTAAGGGTCTAGAGAGTACGGAGTTGGGCCTCCGATTAGCCTATGGGGTGATGTTTATTAATATATTAAGCGGACAAAATTTAAATTCGTTTGTGAGGTGATGTTACCAAATTAATCTTTTTAGTGAGTAGGCTTAATTTTGGTCACGAAATAGTTCCGGTACTATTACTCCTGTCCTGATGAAACCTGAGCGGCGACAGGTCTACAATTAGGGATTTGCACTGTATGAGTTAGAAGTCTCCCGGTAGGTTATTAGAAGAGTTAAAAGCGATCGTAAGGAAAAAAAACACGTGGTTCAAGACTTTGATCTGACGGGCGTACCTTTCTCCCGAGCAGTGAGCCACCCTCCTCCTCTGAGCGAGGGAAGACGCGGGCGCCACACGTTTATTAGCGGTTTTCGTTATATTCTAACTCTGTATCTTCCGGTTACCTTAAGCTGTCAAATTTATTTTTACACGGAAAAAACCAGACTGTTGTGTTCTAAAAGAAGATATTAGCTATTTTTGGTGGCGTTTGTAGCTCCTTTTGAAAAATTGTTTTAATGAAATGAGCTTTTTGCTGATTACCACCTTAATTAAGGGCCTAGAGTGTACGGAATTGGGCCTCCTGGTAGCCTATGGGGTGCGGTTTATTATTATATTAAGCGGACAAAATTTAAATGCGTTTGCGAGTTGATATTACCAATTTAATCTTTTTAGTGATTAGGCTTAATTTTGATTGCGGAATAACTCTGGACATATTAAACCTAGCCTGATCAAACTTCAGTAGCGTCAGGTCTACCCTAAGGACTTTCAACTTTATAAGTAAGAAGCTTCCCGGTAGAATATTAACGAAGCTACAAGCGATCGTAAAAAACACGTGGTCCAACTGTTGTTGTTTTCACAGATTCACACTGTTTTCCGCTCCTAAAATTTAAAATTTTCGTTTGTAATAGCAGTATTTGTAGCGGTTGAACTCCTTGTATCTTCGCGAACAAATAGACACCACTCTGACCCTCCTAGAACCAAAATTGCTAAAATTATAGGTAGATATGTGCAGAGCTCACTTACCCATGCTGCTGACGCGGCCGCCTTTTTTTAGGTACGAAGCAAATTTGAAGCGAATAGTGATTTTGATCGAATAATTTCTAATCGGATTCGAATAGTATGTATGGCATATAAAAAAAGGGAAATATTTATCATGAACTAACTAACCTGCACAATATTTCTTTTGAATTGAAATAGGGCCTCTATGCAAATGCCATTTTTTCTCGTTCAAAGGAAGTCGAAAGAACCTTGAGTAGTAGTTTGGGTAGGATGCGAGTGATAACCAGTAAGATACTTCACGATTCACATAAAAAACAGCGCCAATAACGAGGGAAAAGAAAAGAAGGTGACAGACAGTGACATTATGTGAATCATGTCGTACCAACTCACTCAAGCAACAACGTAAGATACTTCATGTTTTAAAATTTATCATATTTAGAGCATGTAAGCTGTCTAACAAGCTTAATAAAATGAAGATTGATTAGGGGGTAACATGTTCCCTTAAAGGGGTCCTGCAACACTTTTCAAGTAGCCATGGAGCCAGTAAACATGCTTGTTGCCTCACAAGTTTGCCGCCATAAAGTTTTTAGAATCAGTTAATTACGAGCAGAGTTCCAAAAATTGGTCGCACGCTGCAATTGCATTCTCTATTCTCATCCCAACGAAATAGCTGTAAGCTTAGCAGGGATGAATGGCACTGCGAAAGAAAATACAGCACACGCAACTTGTGATCTTGAGCACCTGTTATTTGCCTCGCGTGTTCTCGGTAGCCTCGACTATCGATCAGCAGCATTTTCTGACCATGCTCAGTTAGTGTTGCAGGGCCCTATTAAATTTGAAAAAGAGATTTGCGGAAAAGTGAATTTTTTCTATTTAGGTGTTTTCACCGCTTGGCACCCTTACATTGCAATTAAACCATCTTTACAAGTAGTTACATGCAGATTCATATACACCTATTCGTTCATTGGAATACTTCGAAAATATTCGATAATTTAAATTCGAATCAAAGCAAATTCGTATACTCAACTACTAGTTCGAATATTCAACGCATTCGAATATTCGCACAAGCCTAATTAATTCGAACTTTTCAATAATTTAAAAATGATTCCAACAAAATTCAAATACTGAGTTTTTCGTTCAAATATTCAAAGCATTTGAATATTCGTGCAAGCCTAATTAAATCGTGTTGAAAGAACCCATGAACATAAATTGACCTCATGAACTTAAATCAATGAGAACACAGTGATATGAAGGCGTTATTTACTCACGTGTGCCCATAAGCTCATGCAGTGGGACCTTTCTTTGATGTCGGTTTTTTGTGTGAATTCTGAGTGCACAAAAACAAGCGCGGCAGGATATTCAGAAGGGAGCACAGCTCTTTCTAATGCAACTAAAATGGCTGCTGTAGGAAGTGTAGAACAGAAACAGCATGGCGCTGAAAATGCCCATTTTTTGTGTGTCCACCACTAAAGATTAATCTTGCTAATGTCACATAAAATGCTGTCAACACTGAAATACAGGTCTGAGAGGCATAAAAATAGACAAGGTTGTGCATCACTTGTGATCCCCCCCCCCCCCCCCCCGGAACGCTAAAAATTTTCAAACATTACATTTTTTTAAATTTTAACTCTCATAGACCATCTCCTTCCCCCTTTACATGACTTTCTTTACAGTTGCCCACACACCGTAAAACTGGGCGGCACAGTAAAAATAAACATCTGATGTGATCATGATATGCATGAGGCCATAAGAAACTATGTTGTAAAGTAGAGTGACCAAAAGATCATTAATATTATGTCTAACAAAAAAACGAGCTCTTAAATTCACATTTTACTTCATTAGCATGTTGAGGGATTCAATGTGAAACAAATGAGGACGGATGCGCATGAGGGGCACTTATTCCAGTGCTGCCTCACAGCTACTTTTATTGCCACGAAAACGTGATTTTTAAATGCGAAGCATTTTTTTTTGCCTACTGTAAGCACTTTTGGCGTCTGTCTGCGTATCTATCTATTTAGTCGTTATGTCTATGTGCTCCCGTGACCACCCCTTTAACTTGGCATTAACCAAAATTAGTATGGAAGTGTAAGATGGCTTAACGATTATATAACACGGTGGTCAAAACATGAATAATGTCACAATCCCATCGCGTACGTCGTCAAACCATTTATGTCAGACGTGTGGCACATACCCGTGGGTGGGTATGTGCCGCTTTTATGCGGATATGTGCCGCAGGTGATTGACACTTCATAACTACTCATGAATGGCGAGTACAGACATCGGTAGTTCTAACGCACGAGCGTTAAGAAAGAAGCTGACATCGGCAACGTTGACCCGAACAAGGCAAAAAATACATGCCAGGGCCCCAGCAGGAATCAAATCCCAGCATCCTGCGTGGCAATCAAGTATTCTGCCACACAGCCAATCCAGGTCTCACAATTACTTTTCAAATCGACCCTTATGTTCGTTGAACGTCAATTGCGGTTGCAGTGCTGTCTATCAAATTTCATAAACATTAAATATGTACTCCTATCATACAGCCGTCACGTCGGGTTGACGCCAATTGTAATTGGGTGCCACCCGCAAAGTTGATTCTTGTGGCAATGTCCAGGGCTACTTTCCTCGCGAGCACCAGTGCTTCATATCAGCTTATCACTGTTGGCGTTGCTAATGCCCGTGTTCCTATTGGCGTCGCTGCGCAAGTCCAAAAACTGGTTATGCAAACAGTTGGAACTGTTCAACATATGTATGTGCGTGTAACATTGGTAGACATATATCGCGTCATTTTATAACGTGTCGCCCAATAAAAAAATACAAGCGTCACCTTCCCTCTCCATGCTTCGCATAACGTTGATTCCCGAAGTACGTGGGATGTGCTCTTTTTTTTTTTTTGAAGAGCGACCCCGTTAACGTTCGCCAATGACGTCATATTCAAATAACTGCAAACGCGCTGAACCGCTAGACATGTTTAACCACATCCACCTCGCGCCGATTTCAGTTATTCTATAGTGATTTGTCATATAGTCTGTGTGGTATTGCACGTAAGTAGTTAAAAATAATTTTACTGCTTAGCTCCCATCAGAATCTGGCCGCGCTGGCCGTTACCGGGATTGAATTAAATTGATTTTTATTTAAATGTACTAAATTGCTCCTAAAAAAGAGAGGACTGAAGGCATTAACGCCTGACGAGGTCCTCCGATCTGTAAAAACAGCAGTTTGTACACAAGCACTAGCAACGCAAGCGGAAGTGATTGAAAACTTACATAAGAAAGCACACATAACAGTAACAGTGCACGTAAAGTATTGAATACTTATACAAATATAAAACACTATCTTGCAGAATAGATATTAGATTTGAAAGGTATTCTTCTAAATTCAAATCATCAAACACAACTAAAAGCAATATACACAGGGCCTAACAAAGAAACTATTCAAGAAGTAGTTGGCTTATTTTTGCTTATTTTTCTTCCAGATTTGTGTTTGTGGCGTCGTAATGTGGTAGTGCGGTGAAGTCTGGTTTGCTCTGAAGCTGCCATTTCTATAGCTAACATGTCGAAATTCTGAAGGCAAAAATTTTTAAAGGTCTTGTAAGTCGAGTGAAAAAGCAAACTCGCTGATCCAACGACCTCGAGAATAGTGCCATAACGGTACCGAGTCACAGCCAGGACATCACAAACGCCTCTAACTGAAGATGCGCACAACGGCAGAAAAGAACGAAGACACATGAACTTATCTGCACATGCCCATTCGATATGCGGACTTATCAATCTGGCATGCGTGGTGGCCTACGTACGTGAAAGATAACTGCTGTTACATTCGATTTCATCTTTAAGCAAGTTAACCAACGGTTGGGTCACGCATGTGCTATCGCTATCATGTCACGCATGTGCTATCGCTATCATGTCAAGCCTCGATCATCAGACTCGTTTCTTCATTCCTGTTCCGCTACAAATCAGCGCATTCATCGAATTTGGGCGTGTATTTACATTCTCGGCAATGTAAAAAAATATTACATGTTGAGCCTCCGGTAAACGATCGCTTGCGTCCCCATACTATCGGATTAATGAAGCAGCCTGTCTGTCCTTTGTAGACGCGGTCACAGCTGGAATGGACATCAAGGAGTTTGTGGTGTCCTGACTTACTCCTTGTGTCCGTGTTTGCACACCCCGTCTTTTTCAGAATCAATACGCACCAGCTATAGCTCAGCTTTGTATTATTCTAATCCTTCCTATGCCTGGCAGAGTATACCGCCAAGTGCGTTCGCCGCCGATTGTGTTCCTTCCGGCATTGCTGTGAAGCGCATGCCCAAAAAGCTGAAAACAGCGCAGAGAAGAGAGAGGGCACTAACTGATACGGCATTGCATGTCTTTGCAGCGCCGGGGAGCCGCTTCCTGGTACACGGCTGCTTACGCTGTCGCTGCGACAACTCCGGCCACATCAGCTGCACCAGAAAAGCTCACAACTGTCTTCTCCATGACGGTAAGTCATGCATTTGTTCCGTTTAGCAAGCGTGCATCTGTAGTCTTGGCGCTGCTGCGCAAGAAGTGCACGCCCCGCCAAACTCACGCACTCGTGACACCAGGGTCTACACTATCAATGAGTCTACACTAAATGTGTACTACATCGCCCGACCGTCCACGTTCCCGTAATGCATGTACTACATCGAAATGGCGCATGAAATGTGGTGCCTCGCAGCTCCCTGCGGCTGCCGTCCTGAAGACGACGAGGAAGAAGTGGTCTGTGGAGTCGACGGACGTACACACCGCAGCGCCTGCCTGGCCCGCTGTGCTGGTCTCTCCGATGGCCAGTGGGAGCCGGGTCCCTGCCACCACACAAACCCGTGTGCAAGGCGACCTTGCCCAGCGGGAGCTCCCGTGTGAGTACCGGGAATCTGAGATTACATTATACCACAATTTACAGGGTTGGAATTTCGCGCCTGCTACACAGCTAATTCAAAGTTGGTACGTCGTGATTGAAAAGCGATGAACTGTGCGTGCGACTCTATACAGCATTCTCGTCGGCACAGGATCGCGGGAAGCTCGCAAGCGCAAGTTTCCCGCTTGGCAGATGCAGGGCTCCCCCGTTAACTGGTGGCGTCTGTCGCGGAAAGCCTTCTCAAATGAGTAAGAAGTGGCGCACGTTGTTTCACAGAGGAAGAACTAAGCGCCGACTTGGTACACGGCGAGTATAGGAGTACCCTACATTTACTGGCTTTCGCATCGCTTGAAAAAAATGGGCAAGGAATGCGGTGTTGATGTGCTCTGCACCGGATAAGCTGAAGCGGCTGTGCCCTGCTCTGGAATGGCAATGGTAGGCAAGTATGCTCAAACGTGCCAGCAGGTTCGTTTCCTGGGTTGATGGTGTTGTCGATAGCATCCCTTTGTTCCGCTGAAGCTGGTTCGTGGGACAAACGGGGAGCTGGCGGAATGACCGGATAAGAGAGCAACGAGCAGGGGCTTCATCGCTTGCTCCGGGGGAGCACCATGCCGATCACTGCACTATGCGAGCACTATGCCGATCAGTGGTGTGGGTGCGCTCCAGCATTCGGTGCAACTCGAGTGTTGGGATGGCGTCACGGCCAGATCTGACGTGAGATTTGTGGGGTCATGTATATACACAGGGAGGCAGACAGGTAAGTGTGCCCTCAATCCCCCCCCCCCCCCCCCACACACACACACAAGAGAGAGAGAGAGAGAGAGATGAGCTTCCCGGAAGAACGCATGCACGATGCGTGTAGCTGGGCACTTGTAGCTTGCATTGACGGCAGATTAGTGACGTTACTATCAGTTTACATTTGTTTATGTTGTTTTTCCCTTTACATGCCTCGTGCCCAGAGTCAAGTTTTCGGTTGAATTCTAGCTGTCATCCTGTGCGCATTTCTGTTCTCGCTTTGTTCAGCTATATTATGTATCTAAACCGTGTGCCTGTCAGCACGGTCAACTCGAACACTCCGCCACTTGGTCACAACCGGCTTCGACTGACGCCAGTGGTGCAAAGCTTTGAATACGATGTGTTTGCAGCAGCTAACGATTGGTGGCACGTGGGTTGATTTCACTATTGATGTCTGTTTCTCTTCTGTCTGACGGGCGGGTCGAATACTCACTCGTCAGGCCCGTTTTCGCTCCCTTATCATCTCCCTCGACCGCTGCTTAATAAATTCTAAGGTCACCCTGCGTGGTGAAGGAAGAAGCACCATGATAAAGCCACACATACCATGTATCTCTGCCAATCTCAAAATCTAAAAGAGCGCGATCTGCAGCCCACACGAGAAGGGCGACGATGACAACGGCACAGCGACTAACAAACGAAGTCAGCACGACGCATTGATACGGTGACGAGAGCTCTCAAAAATGTCAGCTTGGGGTTTAGACATCGCGTGTTCGACTAACACTCGAATGACGGTAACATGGGTCACTAAATTTTTTCGGCCAGACTTCTCAGTATGCGCACATTGAACTAGATAGTAAATCCATTTTTTTCTAAAAGTGGCACAGTGGACGTTACGAAAAACAAAAGGGCGAAATAACTAACAAAAGACGTTCTACCAGGTTCACTGTTGAAGGTATTGGTGCTTCCTTGAGTGCTCTTTCTTCCAATATAACGTGATATGATATGTGGGGTTTAACGTCCCAAAACCACCATTTGATTATGAGAGACGCCGTAGTGGAGGGCTCCGGAAATTTTGACCACCTGGGGTTCTTTAACGTGCACCCAAATCTGAGCACACGGGCCTACAACATTTCCGCCTCCATCGGAAATGCAGCCGTCGCAGCCGGGATTCGAACCCGCGCCCTTAGGGTCAGCAGCCGAGTACCTTAGCCACTAGACCACCGCGGCGGGGCAACATAACGTGACGACAATACTTGCCAGGGTTTCATGGTTTGATCCCGTAAATGTTAAAAAATACAAAAATGATAGAAGCATTCGTTATAGCTTAGCAAGCTGCGGACACCATGATTGTCTCGATTAAGCATGTCGATCGCCATTGCGCTTGAATGATGTGGCGTAAAAGACAACAGGATGTTCGTCCGTCTTTCCAGCGTTTTTCATGTCTCATCTCGTCTGCGCTATAGACGTCACTTATAGCACGAAAACCAAGCTGCTCAAAAATCTGTACTCTCTATTGATTGATATGTGGGGTTTAACGTCCCAAAACCACCCCATGATTATGAGAGACGCCGTAGTGGAGGGCTCCGGAAATTTCGACCACCTGGGGTTCTTTAACGTGCGCCCAAATCTGAGCACACGGGCCTACAACATTTCCGCCTCCATCGGAAATGCAGCCGCCGCAGCCGGGATTCGAACCCGCGCCCTTAGAGTCAGCAGCCGAGTACCTTAGCCACTAGACCACCGCGGCGGGGCAATATAACGTGACGACAATACTTGCCAGGGTTTCATGGTTTGATCCCGTAAATGTTAAAAAATACAAAAATGATAGAAGCATTCGTTATAGCTTAGCAAGCTGCGGACACCATGATTGTCTCGATTAAGCATGTCGATCGCCATTGCGCTTGAATGATGTGGCGTAAAAGACAACAGGATGTTCGTCCGTCTTTCCAGCGTTTTTCATGTCTCATCTCGTCTGCGCTATAGACGTCACTTATAGCACGAAAACCAAGCTGCTCAAAAATCTGTACTCTCTATTGATTGATATGTGGGGTTTAACGTCCCAAAACCACCCCATGATTATGAGAGACGCCGTAGTGGAGGGCTCCGGAAATTTCGACCACCTGGGGTTCTTTAACGTGCGCCCAAATCTGAGCACACGGGCCTACAACATTTCCGCCTCCATCGGAAATGCAGCCGCCGCAGCCGGGATTCGAACCCGCGCCCTTAGGGTCAGCAGCCGAGTACCTTAGCCACTAGACCACCGCGGCGGGGCAATATAACGTGACGACAATACTTGCCAGGGTTTCATGGTTTGATCCCGTAAATGTTAAAAAATACAAAAATGATAGAAGCATTCGTTATAGCTTAGCAAGCTGCGGACACCATGATTGTCTCGATTAAGCATGTCGATCGCCATTGCGCTTGAATGATGTGACGTAAAAGACAACAGGATGTTCGTCCGTCTTTCCAGCGTTTTTCATGTCTCATCTCGTCTGCGCTATAGACGTCACTTATAGCACGAAAACCAAGCTGCTCAAAAATCTGTACTCTCTATTGATTGATATGTGGGGTTTAACGTCCCAAAACCACCCCATGATTATGAGAGACGCCGTAGTGGAGGGCTCCGGAAATTTAGACCACCCGGGGTTCTTTAACGTGCGCCCAAATCTGAGCACACGGGCCTACAACATTTCCGCCTCCATCGGAAATGCAGCCGCCGGAGCCGGGATTCGAACCCGTGCCCTTAGGGTCAGCAGCCGAGTACCTTAGCCACTAGACCACCACGGCGGGGCATCTGTACTCTCTAATTCCGTTTGAAGGAGGTAGGCACGCAGAATTTTTTCTGTTGTGTGCCAAGAAAAATGGTACGCGGAACAAAAAAGAACTATACACCGTACAAGAAAAGATGGTCATGGGGCAGGCAAGACGAAGTATTGTGCGAGTGGCCTTAGTTGCGCTGGCCCGAGAAAACAAAAGAGTCACGTGACAAGTCTACACTAACCTCAATTGCTGATACCAAAGGTTGAGGAAGGAAGAGAGCGAGGCTAGGACTGTTGTATCTTCTACAAAAGGCGTGCAGTATCTTCCCAATTCAGGTGAGAAACGTTGACGGCCCAAAAGGAGGGAAGAAGTGTGCTGGGCACACCAACGAAAAAGGAGTTACTGAACACAAACACGTGCATCGCGAAACCTCGCCTTATTCTAGGAAATTTGTGCAGTGGGCGAACCGTGTCTGCGGTTTTAGTGCGATCCCTTCTGGCGGTCTTTATCCTCCGCACGGTGCCTCTTTCCCGCAGTAATGCAATCACTTCCCCCGCACGGGAACTTCCGGCTTTCTTGAATGCTGTGCCTTGATTTTTCCCGTTCTTCCGCGGCAACCGCAGCGCCTCCATACGCCACAACATGTGCCGAATCGCCGTGCGGTCTTCGTTAACCCGCAGCATCGCCTCCGCATTTACATCACTCTTGCCGAGTCGGTTGATTAGACGGGAGAAGAAATAACGGCAGGCCGGTGAATGTGGAAGGACCGGAAGTTTCGGGCGTTGATTGGTGCCTGGTTTATTCACGACAACTCCGGCTGCTCCTAGCTCTGCAAAGGTACCTTTGCCACATCCTGCAAGAGCTCTAAGATGATTCGTTTACTCGTTTTTTTCTTTATTGGTGTGAAGTAATCTGCATAATTTTCTCTGTTTCTCTTTCTCCTTTCTACAAACCCCACGAAACAGGGTGGCCTTTATCTTGTATAAATAAGCCGTAAATTGTTCCTTGCTATAGCAACATTTTCTTTTCCTTAGCATAGTCGAGGAAAAATGACAGCCTCTCTTCGTGGTGTATACTTGAACGTCCTTTTGTTGCATTAATTTTTGAGCATACAGTGAAGGTGCTTTTCTTTCTTTAGGCTTTACGCCGCAGCTTGTAATCAATTTCCTTGACCTGTATTTGTATACCCGACGTGCGGCATTTTTTTCTTGTTCCTCTTCGTATAGTTAGGTAGCACAACAGGTTTACTACGCATGTGTTTCTAAAATGTGAGTTTGGAAGGAGTTAGGTTATTCGTATGGAACGAGTGGAAATGTATGAAGCCACCGACATACAGATGGTCAGGATTTTATTGCAATAACAATTACAGGGATACTCCAGACCAAGTTTCACCATCTGCGTAGCCGTTGGTGTAGTTTCAAAAAACGAGCGTGATAAGCTTCTATCACGTCTCGCACGTTTTACGCTGTGGGCACGAAGGAAGGGAGCCAGTAGGGAGATGTGCAGTGGTGAGAGCGTACCCTATTATGGTGTGGTTGAATTTGCAGCATAGCTATTCGGCCAAAGATTGATTTTTCGCGTATGTCTGGACTAAAATTGATAATATTCATGGTCATACTTAACAAGCTGTGTGCGAGCACCTGACCTTATTAGCATATATAATCTGCACGATTTGTCGGCCTGCACAGGTGCGTGGCCTGGAGACACGCCTGTCTGGGTCCGTGCAAGCAGTTCATCTGCGTCGGCAACGCCACAGGCGGGCATTGCCGCGGCAGTGGTCCCGTTTGCGACACAGAGGGTCGGGAGCATCCGAACGTGTGCGCACTGATGTCGCAACGCGACGGGGACCCAAACACGTGGCTGGCGCACCTCGGTCCCTGCGAACCTGGGTGCCGTAGGCGAGGCTCCGTGTGCGGCATAGACGGCGAGACGTACGCCAGTGAATGCGCTGCCTGGGCGCAGAGGGTCCTGGTAGACTACCGCGGACCATGTCTACACAGACAAGCGAAGGAAGGTTGCCACCAGGTGCACTGTCCCATTGTGCCGCCTGGTGGCTGCCAAGCGATGCTGGTGCGTCTTCCTGGTACCTGTTGTTCACACTGCGGTGAGTGCCGTGCTGTTGTGCGCGCTTCCACTGTTCCCCTTTAAGTACTTGAAAACTGCGTGTGCGGTTTTCTGTGCGCAATATATAGCGGGACGCATATATTTGTGCGAACTTGCCGCTCGAGGCCCTATTTCAGCGTACGCACACCCAAACTTTTTTCTGGCGGGCCGATGTTTGTTGGAATAAACCAGTGCGCGCATCTTATATCTGCGCCATTCACCCTGCGGCAGGTTGGGGCTTGCGGCTGGTTCTGGGAAGACCCTGGCGCAATGGTAGCAGCGACCACAAGGAAGAGAGGTCATTGTCCGAGCTCCTGTGGTGGCTGCGCACGCAACTGTCCAGCACCCAGTGTGACTTGTTCGGCCACCTGGATCCCGCGCTTCCCGATTTCCTCGTGGTGCTCGTGGTGCCAACGTCGTGGCCTGCCTCGTGGACCCTCTGTCGCGCCGAGGCGCAGCGCCTGGACGCCTTGGTGCGCGTACGAAGTCCGGCACTCTTTAGCCTCCTGCCCATGGAAGTGGTGGCTGGGTCTGCGGGACTGCTGGATGAAAGCGTGGAACATGCATCGTCAGCGCCTGGTGTCGGAGGACTCGTCAAGAACGCGTCGTTCTGGACCCTTCTGCTGCTGTCTTTGTTGTTAGCGGCTGCTTCGTGTCCAGCATCACTGACCGGACTGCAGCTCGTAGGCATGGCGGCTGTGTTCTATCGACACCTGTCAGTGCCGGCGCTGCACATGACGTCGCTTGAGAGAACTATGAGCTATCAACGGACAATTAGTGAGAAAGTGTGGTAGCAGCAGTGATCGGTGGACAAAACGCGGAAAGTGTGAAGCGTAGCTTGAACAATGCGTATTAACGAGAAAACGCTTCTCACAGATCTAACATCAGAGATAGGTTTATACTCTTAGTTTTGTGTTCCTTAGCAAGGAGTCTTTCAAGTCTTACTCTTTGCATCTTCTGCGCAAGCGCCCATGAAGACCGAATTAGCACACCAAAGAGAACCTTTCACTCATTGAATTGCCCACTATCGATTTGGAACGGTCTCTCGCACCAAGACTTTGTCATTGCGCTCAACAGAGGAGGTAGATGCGTCTCTACAACTTGCCATAGCATGTGTTTCATTTGGTGTGGTGTACCTGCTTACTGATGTTGTGCGAGTATCAGAAGTCATCAGAAGCTCACTGTTAAAAGGGGTCAGATTGTGTGCCCTGGAGCACATGTGGGAATACCTCTGCTGCCGGAACCTTTGTGGCATTTCATCTGGTAACTGCAAAGAGTAGCCATAGAAGGAATCCACGTTTGACTATTGACTCGTGCTACATGGCTTTCTATTGGCCTCTTTTTTTTTTGGTTACACATATATTTTGCTTTTATTTTTCAAGATGGTGCAATAGTATACCAAAGATAATCTTGATTTGGTGGTTGTTTGCATTCTGTTATCTGCGACAAGATGCGCGCATGTTTTAGAGCAAGAAAAAAAATTATGTTATTGGTTGTAATCTTGCGTATTTGGCTTCATATTTTTATCATGCATTCATTCTTGTATTGCGAGAACCCTTCTTGTTTGCAAGAACTTTTTTTTATGTTGCCACATAGCGCCCACTTTATGGTTCTCTTTCCCAGACAAAAGCCAACTTGCAGGTGCAGTTCAGAAGGCTGCATGTTAAACGACTGCTGCTACAGTGGGGAAGACGCCTTTCACTGCACAGCACTTTCCTTACAGAACACCAAGGAAGCCTGACTTCTTGAACATTTAAAGAGGCTTTTTATTTATTTCTTTTTATTTAGAATACCTGAAAGGCCCCGGCTGGGGTATTACAGGAGACATGGGTATTAATTACAGAAAAGAAAGTGACTCGAGGGCATCTTAAACTGATGAGGGTTGGAATGGTAAACGGTAGAGGCAGGCAAGGTGTGGGAGCGGGCTAGTTGGTATTCCATGTCTTGAAACAGCTGAAAGCGCAAAAAGGGTCACAACGGACTAAGAGAAAAACGCTTGTCCTCGTTGTTTCTCTTAGTCCGTTGTTACCCTTTTTTGCGCTTCGGCTGTTTAAGAAGCAGGGAGACGGTTTCAGTCCCGTGCGGTGGTCACAAAAAAGGAGCGAAGATGGGTGGTGTGGTGGTTTGTGTTGGCGGAGGGTATACTGCTTTCGCTGGTTTGTGCGGCTGGATGTGCGATAGACTGGCAAGATGAATGGAAGTTCAATGTGAGTATGATAAAACTTGTGAAAAAGGTGTAGTCGGGATATGAGACGTCGTGATTCTAGATCTGAAAGGTGAGCCCTGGTTTTAAGTTTAGAAACACTGGAATTTAAAAAAAAAATATTCAGAAAAGATAAAGCGTGCAGTGCGGTTTTAGATCCATTTTATAAGGTTGGATAAGTTAGATTAATTGGGAAGCATAATCCAATTCCGGACGAACAATTGTATTATATGATAATAATTTGATCCAGAGTGCGATTCGCGAAGTCGACAATGTTAGTTACATAAGATGACCAGGAAATGCTACTTGAGAATACCACGCCAAGATATTTGTAGCATTCAGTGGATGAGAATGCGGAGCCGGAAATGGTATATGCTGCTGACTGGTGATGGGACCTGCTATGAAAAGATACCAATGAAGTTTACTTTGCGTTAATAGACATTAACCATGCACTTATCACACCATGATATTATAAGGTTGAGGTTGTTATGTAAAATCCTAATATCTGCACTGTTTGCTATGGAACGGTATACGATGCAGTCGTATGCGAAGAAGTGAATGCCACAAGAGATGTTGGATAAAAGGTCATTGATCTAAAGAGAAAAAAGTAACGGTCCGAGCACTGTATCATGCGACACACCTGAGATTACAGAGAAACGGCTAGATGAGACAGAATTAGCATGCGCAAAACTGTTGGTGATCGGTAAGAACGCTTCGAATTCAATTAAATACATTTTGTATTAATGTTTAATTAAGAAAGTTTTAGCAGTAGCTGGTTATATGAAACCTTGTCGGAGGCTTTTTCAATGTCTAAGAAGAGGGCGTCAACGGTTACGTTTAACTCAAGGTTGGAAGTGATATTGTGATAAAATAGAGCTAGTTGTGTGTCACATGACAATCCTGAGCGAAAGCCATGCTGTCTGGAATGAAAAAAAAAAGTTATTGCTTGCTAAGAACTTGCCAATGTTAGAATAAATCACGTGCTTCATTAGCTTGAAGCAAGCGCTAGTAAGGAAATTGAGGCGACAGCTGCTGCAACTAGATGAAGGACATTTCTTTGGGGAGTGGAACGATCCTGCCTGCTCTCCAGTTTTCCGGCACCACTCCCGATAACATTGACTGCTGAAAAATGTAAAACAGTAGTGTAGTAACAAGTGATTTTGAGTTTTTTAGCATTTTTTTCGCTGATATTGGCGATGCCGTGTGAAGGTGAGAGTTTTAATGAGTTTATTTTAGTTTAGCGTTGCTGTTTGGACAGAATATGATGTCAGGCATCACACTATAGTTCTAATTAAGGAATGAAGGTAAGTTGCGGACAGGTTCAATGGTAAACACGGAAGAGGATGAGCTGTTCTTTGTTCAGTGGCCTCATGGTAAGGATTTGATGGTTCTGATCGTTGTAAAGCGCTAACAGTTGGGAGTAGATAGCGCTAATTGCGTTCCATAATTTTCTCGGGTTGTTGCTTGACACAGCGGGTATAGTGTTTGTTCTAACTTGCCTGAAAAAATGACATTTCAGTACGTGATACCGAAGAGCTTTACACGGATCTTACCGCATTTTGAACTTATCAGAAAGAACATAATGAGTGGGAAAATTAATCGAAGCAACAAAAACAAAATTGATATAACAGCTTGAACAGTACTTGGCCGAAAAATGTAAATTACCTGGATAACTTCACTCACTACATCATGGTCATGTAGGAGCAGTGTGATAAGCGAGTAACCAGGTAAAGATAGCTCTCCGTGCTTTATCAAAAAAAAAAAAAAATCCCATAAGGTCTCTTCAATTCTCCCGCTGTTCAAGTCAGAACGAAGCTACTCAAGTACCATATGACATAAGATATTTTTTTGTGCAGCCAAACACAAAACTTAGAGGGCCAAAAAGATGACGCAAAGCGCTCAGTGAATTTTGTCGAAGCATGAGAAAACGGCTGTCTGGGAAGAACAGCGTTTGAGTGGCTTGCTATAATGTGTTATAGAGGTTGTGTAGCGCTGATATTTTCTCAAAAAAGAAGAAAAAAATCACAGCATATCCACGAAATGAATGATGATGAGTGGGGCGAAGCGTCCGTCAGCCCGTCCGTGCTTCCGTACGTACGCCCATTCGTGTGTCCGTCCAAGCGTCCGTCTGTCCGTGCATCCATTCTTCCGTCCGTGTGTCTGTCTATCTGTTCGTCTGTTTGTCTGTCTGTTCGTCCATGCGTCCATCCGTCCATCTAGTGAACACTTCAAGTACCGCCATCTCGCTTCTTTTTACCATACATTCATCATATGCAAATACCGCCATCCAGCGGACAATCCAAGGACTAAACGAGAGCATGGAGAGTATGTATCACATTTCTGCTGTCAGCGCTTTGTTAACACCGAGAGCGCGATAACGACGCGGTGATACGTTTTTCGTAACATGTGGACATGCGGATATATGCCACAGGGTGGGTATGTGCCACTGGTATGCGGGTATGTGCCACAGGTTACGCACGACGACAACGGTGGACGTACAAGCCACGCCATAAGGAGCTTCGCCCCTGAAAAGTACGGCATATGAGGTATCTTCATGATTATTGTGTATTATCAACGTGGTGTCCCTGCGTAAGGTCTCCGCGTTCTTGCAGTGCAGCTTCGCCCCTTAAATTTTGTGTATGTGGAGAAGCCTGATTTTGTATAGTTTTTTTTTTTTCATTGAAAAAATCATCATCGTGATAAAGCAGACAAGTAGGTCATTATGTGCCACACATAGAGTCCAGAGCATGACTATAGTAGTAGCTATCAGTATCGAAGTCCCAGTCACAAAAGAAGCTAAAGAAAAAGTAAAGTCGCAGCGTACAGAATCAAACTCGGTCGCATTGACTTCGATATTGGTGCTGTGCACATGTTGACTACGTCATCAGGCTTTTAAGAGATTTTCGTTGATAGTTTATAAAATCATTATGGCCTGATCCCTCCGAAATGTGGCGTGCGTGCACCGTGTTTTTTTTTTTTCTGATGACGCAGCATCCTGGTCAACGCAGATAGAAATTACGAGGGCTATACATGCAGATGTCGTACAGTGAAGACGCGATAAAAACAAAGAGGTTTAAAGAAAAATTGCTGGAGTGAAAGCTCCCGCAATGCCTTGCCAGCAGAAGTGAAGCCACCCTTTGCCACTGCCAAGATGGCGGAAACGTGCACTTTTCTGACAGTGCCCATTTAAATATCAAGTGGCTTTGATACGTTATGTAAAGGCTACGTTAGTTCTGTAATAAAGGATAGTTGTTCTAGATGAAATAAGAAACAGAAGCAAGTGTGAATGACTGAATCTTCAAAGAACTTTGTCTCCAATCAGAGGCTCACTACGGAAAACTAGTAACTTTAGGGCGCACTTGGAGCACTATGTGACCCAAAAAAGTTCCCACATTGAACTCGTGTGGCGTGCGAGGGAAGCGCTTCGTTTTTAATCGCTGAATGGTGATACTTTACCATGCCCCTAGTAAGATGGCCGCCACAGACGCCTTCTTGCCAGAGGAACGGCTTCACTTCTGTGCAATCATTTCCACTCCAGTAAATTTTTTAATCCTCCTTGGATAAAAAGGTTGGTAGTTTGTGCATTTTGTTTTGGGGAACGCAAGCTGCCGGGCATACAAATAAAGGCAGAAAAAGACGTTGAAGACGTTGCTTGCCAAGGTTTCTACCCCTGGGTTGCCCACGGTCTACTTCCTGTGCGCTCGCCTTTCTTTGTCTTCAGTCCTAGTCATCCGCTCCAAGGCGTAGCCAACCTGAACGTTAATGACTAGTTTTGCCTTAAAAAAACAACGTTTATTTCTTAGCCTATACATCAGCATGTAGCTCAGAATATTATCAACCACCTATTTCGTCTTAAAGTTTTCATCCATAGCTTCATCCAATTACTTAAAGGAGCACTGACAAAAAATATTTTTTGTTTTTTTGTTGCAATATGTAGGTAATGACTGGAAGTTTCATTGTTAGCTTGAGTGCGTGACGGCTAATTATTTGGAGGCAGTTTTATACCTCCCGTTCGCAGTTTCGGTTTCAGCGAGCAGTGAAGTGGGACCCAGAGTGGTTTTTCTGCGTAAACACAGCTGGCTACGTGAGCACAAAAACCCCCATGCACGTGAGCATGCATTCACAACTATTGTCAGCGAAACCTCCCTTTAAGACAGGGGCGTAACCAAGGGGTGGCACACAGGGCCCGTCCTCGTGCCTCACTCCCGAAATTTTTTTTTTACCATGACGTACGAAGCTTAAAGGAGTGTCCTCCCCGAAATATTGGAAGTCCCCCCCCCCCCCTTCTCATCCGAAACAAATCCGCTCCAAGACATTGTAAATATGCGTGGCGACCCAAAAATGAATTGCTGAGGCATGGGCATCAGCCGTTTTACTCCTCTGCATGCCTGCCTCTTTCTGTTGAAAAGGTCATCCAGCAGAGCGCACTCACAAGGATCACGGCAGTCAACGCTAAACCGTGACTCAGGGGGCGGCTAGCTATTTACACGAAAACCAAATTTGCATCTCATGTGCGGTGCCGCGACACGCACTTTAATATCAATTTTAGATATGTGCTAGGCTATTATTTTGTAGACATCGAGTGTGTGTTCGGGCAAGTGTACCCCGCAAGCTGTACTGCATTCGAAATATCAAGAGAGTACTCCTTGAAGTTTGGAAACGCGATCAGTGGGTTCAGAGCTGACGTACGTGTTCCGAATATTATATTCTGGATTGCCTTTCCTAGTGCGAAATACGATACACTTAGTTTTGCCGATATTTAATGCTATCTCGTTGCGGACGAACCATGTGGCAGGTGTTGCTATTCCTTTGAGAGCGCAGCGCAAGTGGAACACGACATTAGGAACGAACACATGATAACGCAAGTGTGTTGTGTTCGTTGTCCTGTTTTATTTGTGCCATGCTTTTGAAGAATTAAGGTCTGACCGCACGCACCCGCTGCAGCGCCTCTGCGCGTGGCTTTCTTGACGCGCCGCTGTGCCCTCTCGCTATGGAGAGAAAGGGCTCGTAGCATGGCGTAGCCACGCGCCCTCTCCCTCGATGTAGCCCCATCGAGGGAGAGGGCGTCGCCCCCCTCGATCAACGCGCTGAGGCGCTGCGGCGGGTGCGTGCAGTCAGGCCTTTATGAATAACCAACTCGCCTAAAGCTGTCCTGCTGCAAGTTTGCTAGCTCTGGCGTAATTTGTTCTTGTAATAGAGATATAAAGAATTAAAAGTTTTGTCAGCATTCATAATAGTTTTGCTTGACGAATCAGATAGGAGATCATTCATGTGTGAAGTTCACTTCGGTATCTCGTAGGCGATATTCCGAAATTGGGAGTTTGTTTGGTAAAATGCCTTACATTGTTTTTTGGTGATTCATAGATTAAGTCTTCTCTGCCATCTGGAATAGAAGCGATTGTAAAGATAAAACTAGCATTGCGATTTCACCACTGTGGGACTCTCAGTAGATAAAAAAGAATTTCATCGATAATACGGTAAAGAAAAAAAAAAGACGAAGCTTGCACAAAATTGCGCAAGCTTTGAAACAGCGAGACTGGACAATCCTGAAGTCCAATAGTATTGCTCTTTTGGTTGTTGCTAGGCTTTAGCTAGGTTGTTTGTAAGGTGATTCTCAGAGCAAATAGGGTCTAGTTAAAGCCTAGACAGTCAGAGACGTGATACGGATCCCTAAACTCCAGAGACAGAAACTCGCGCTGAAACCAAGCGTTCGCACAACTCTAGATCTACTGGTACGTCCTCGTTGTCGTACGGCTGGCTTCCATCGTTTCGGAGCAACTTTCGTTGCCTTCATCTAGCTAGCATTCGCATACTAGGCCATCGCTTCACAGCCACTTGTTGGACTAACTTTTGTTTTCTCTTTTTCATTATCAGTGGACTGGTGATGAATGATAGGATTTACCCAATATCTGTGGCACATACCCGTTCATGACGGTGCTTTTTTTTTCATGCATACGTTTTACCTCAAGCTTTAACAGCTTAAGTGTTAAAATAAACTTTATTGCGGCTCGTTGCTTAGCTTGCCTTGTCGGGGACCCACGGATGCCCTTGACGCGCAAACGGGAGCTGCCTCAGAAATGCAGTCATCAATGCCTCGAAGCATTGTGACGTACGCACCTGCATGCTGCCCACCTCTGGAATATCCAACGCATAAACGCTCATTACGAGCCTGGGTAAGCGGTTTTAGAGGAGGCATCTCAGGAGTAAGAAAAATGGGTGTTTTCTCCCGACATTTTAAATTAAACACGTTGGAAGAATCAATTTTGTAAGCGCACCGGATTCTGAAGTAAAGAGTGGGATGGCGAAAGAAATGGAAGTGCATCGAGGAACCTTAAACAAGATAAAAAAAAATTGAATGCCAATTTAAGTACATATACATTAAAATACTAATAAAACTACGATGCCATTGCTACGTTTTTTTTTTCAGCTTGTCGTGATTGCTTTGTTGCGCATGGTAAAAAAAAAAAATAAGCATAGCACTAGGTAATTGAGAATGCAGTTGGTGACCCGTCTGTGCCTTCCACCTATGTATCTCCACTAAAAATATAATGACTCTGGTGACTGGCATTTGCGTCGCTTTTTGCTGCGCCACGCTACAGTGTACTTTCTAGTACACTGTAGCCACGCCGTCAAAAACACCGCGGTGTTTGGGGACGTCTTGAACCAAGGTTGGCAACGCTGCTTGCGCTTTTCAGAGAGAAAAATGATCAGATGGTAAATAGCGATATGCCCATCCTTCGGCGAAAGAGACCGGCTTGCTTACAAGCAGATATCTTTATTTGGTAAGCTCTAAACGATGTCTTTTCTGGTTCTTAATTACAGTACCATTGCTCCAGTCCGCGGCTATGGCTACGACTGTACTCGATCAACGAAACGGTTTGTTTGATGCCAAATCGGCTGTTTATTAATGCAGTTTCAATGAACTTGTTTGGGTCTTGACATTCCTTTAGCGCTTAGACAACGACCTGTCACGGTTCCTGGGCACCGGATGGGCTTTCTTCTAAAAGTTCAACATCCAGTACGTAATGCTGTCATGTCAGCGCGCTGTAGGAAAGCTGCAGAGCCGGCTTTTCTAGTTGGCAGCCAGCACGGGCAACTGTATTTGCATAAATACGCGCAGTCGTGACGCGCGCAAGATGTCTCCGTCTCTTTTTCCCCGTTTCATCTTCTGACAGTACGATGTCCACGCACGAGAGAAAGGCATTAGGACATACATCTTAATTTGGTTTTTAAGTAGTGCTGATTAACTCCTAACGAGCTCGCGCATCTTTGGCTCAGCAGCGCTTTCGTTTTAGGCCAGTTGCATGGTGGATTCCAGAAAACGGCAGGACATCGCGAAAAGAAACGGACGAAGAAAGGTACGCCTGTACTTTGTACTACCTTACTTTGACGTTTCCGTTTTGAAGGTTTGACATTTGATCAACTACGCAGAACTTTCGGTAGTACACATCTTTCTTGTTATAGTAACTGGTGCTTTGAAAAATGTTGTTGTGGTACACTTACTTTCTACACTGTCTCATGATTACGTTTGCTCTGTTTTCCTTCAGGCGGGCTAATGTGGAGGACTAGCGACTTAATGAAAAGCTAGTCGCCCAGTGACCCGAGGGAGTGTCGCAACCATGGTTTCTGCAAACGAAGCTGTGCGCATTCATTTCTACACACCGCGCGATCCCGTAGTGATTCCAAACGATGGTGAAGTGCGCATTGCCGAAGACTTGTGTGTCGTAGCGGCCAAGACATGCGGCATCAGTCCCGTTACGTGTCAGCTTTTTGGTCTTTACTGCCCGGACCTGGACATTTGGTTTGCACCGTCAGCGGCCGTGAAAGACAAGGACAAAACTGTGAATGTTCATTTCCGCCTGCGTTTCAAGCCTCCCAACATGGACAGGATCAGAGTGAGACAACTTTTTCATTTTTCACTGATTTGGAGTGGTTTCGCTTCTTGACTGAAAGTCGAGTTAGAAGTGTCATACTTGCACTCGGCTGCCTCCATCACTTTTGAGTGTAGCTGAAAGTTGTTATTCTTGGTAGAAGAAAAAAAAATTGACGAGACGTGATGGGTGACACTTTAGAGTATGTATAAGAAGTGCACTTATGGAAACCTGAGCAAGTTCACCAGATGTTGAAACATGTTTCAGAAGTATTCAGTTTAGGTTAAATATTTTGGATGACCCGTGTTTCTCTATTTTATTAGCTGTGATAGGAACTTGACAGGTGGCTGGCAGCATACACACGCATTTAGCACACTCTCAGTGAGGAAACAATGTTGTGAGAAACGTTCATTACTCAATGACAAGCACTTGTCTTGTATGCAACTTTTCGTAAAGCCTGATAAAAATTGAATTTTCGGATTGTGTTAGATTTCATTTGCAGGTAGTGCTGAGGAACCAGTCGCGACCACAAAATTTGTTGTAGACTGTGCTCAATCAGGATTGGAAGTTCTTTGTGCGTTACAGTACATCAGCCTTTCTACTCAAATTCTGCCCCTGTTTCCCTTTAAGATGTCTGCTAGGCGAGAACTTTCTCAAGGATCATGCCAGCCAACACAAACTCGTCATACAAGTGGTAGTTGGTTATATGCATTAAAACTAAAGGCACGTTTCGCATGCAGTGGTGTAACACACACTTTAAAATTGATTTTAAACATTTTCTAGGTTCATTATCCTTTGATGTTTTGTAGACGATAAGTGGATGCCCACACAAATCTATCCTACAAGTCATACTGCCTTTAAAATTTTGTGTCACTACTCCTTTAAGAGGTGATAAAAAAACACTGTAGTTTCTGTGAGCATCACAGCATGTTTGAAAGTACTTGTCAGGTGTCACAGTGTCATTCTCCGTCTCAACTTTCAGGATGATGAAGCAGTGCTCAACTACCTTTACCATCAGATGCGACAAGACTTTGTGTGTGGTCGTGTACCTGAGCTGCACCAGAGCAAAGTTCAGAGCCGAACTCTGGGCCTAGTGATCACAGACGTGGTGCGTCATCTCATCGAGATGGGACAGACCCCTCAGCAGGGCAATTATAGTTTCAGGTTTGTGTTCTGCTGTGTGGCCGCTTTAGTGTTCTTTACCATGCCAAAATTACAGTGACTGGCATGGTTTAAAGATAGCAACTTCAAACTGGAATGTGAAGTCACAGCTCGGACTTATGGCCACAGTGTTTATACTTGTGCAGCTGCATTGGCTCATGCTTTCTTAGTTCCAGTGGTTAAATGAAGTTGATGTCATGGCCCCTTTATTTTTGTTTTGTTTGCAGTGACTTCATGCCTTCAGTTCTCGTCGGACCGTGGAAGATGCGTGTGCTCAAGACTAGAATGACCACTGCCCTCAACGAATGCTGGCAGAACAGCCGGCAAAATGCTCAACGTGTCAAGGCAAGTGTGTTTGTCTTTTTGTCAGTTTCTATGTTACAAATCAATAAAGTGTTTCAACTATTTTTCAACAAAAGGTCCAAAACTTTTTTGAAGCTTGGGAAGACCAGAAGTAATTTCGCATGAATTCCTATCTAATGTCAACAATCTTCCCAAAGCAAACATGTATGAAAGTGTTTAACTGGAAGGCTATGCGTGTTCTTTTGGAGTCTGTGAAAATTAAAAACTCTTGGTACTGTATTTCGTGTGAACTTTGCTTCTTAATTCCATTGTTCTTTTCGCCAACCATGCATAGCGGCCATTAAAGGCTCGTTCACACCGAAGGTGGGGCCGCCAAAGCGGTGAGGCGGCAACGCGAAAAATCGGCAAAAACCTCCTCTCCAGGCGGCAACAGCACGAGAAAAATCAAGCGGCAAGGGCGATCGCTCTCAGAGCAATTTTTCGCCACCTGCCGAGGCTCGCTGCTTTGCCGCAGCCAATCAGCATGGCACGCAGCGGAGGCGCGGTGGTGGCGCGGGTGTACGTTTGGGAGAAGCATTGCCATGTCATACTGACATGTCCGCAAAAGCCCGAGATGCCCACCTTTTCTGCCACGCGGCCAGCCGAAAGAGGCATGCAGTCTGAACAGGTCCACGCGCTCGCCGCCTCACTGCTTTGAAAAGCCGGCTTTTCCGCGCTGCTTTCGGTGTGAATGAGCCTTAATACTGGCAACAGTAGTGCTTCAGGGGCCTGAAAGTCAGTGATAAAGGAGAAAAATGATACATAGTTGTTTTATTCACTAATACCTTACAGGCCTCACGGAGGCATTGAGTAAGCTGGATCCAGAAACAAAAGTGGAAATAATGTAGGCTAATATCAAAAAGGCGACTGCACGAAAGGAAGCAAAAGGTAGGGTAACACAAAAAATATTGGCAAGTTCCGCAATATAGGTGTAAGGAGAAAGCGATTGATGTCTGACATTAGGTTACAAGACATTATGATACAGACAGACACAGAACTTTATTAAAGTCCTGAGGAACACTACCTCAAGGAGGTAGAGCAGCGGGCTGCTCCCACGTCGGAACGGGTAGGCCAAGCCTCACCGCCGTGTCGTGGGCCCTTTGGGCAGCCCAGAGTTGATGTGCAAGTTTTGAGCTCCTGAGCACAGAGCTCCATTCTTCTTCGGTCATGTGCCGAGAATCGCCTGATAAGGGGCACTGCCAGAGCATGTGTTCTAAGGTAGATACAGCGCCACAATCTGGTGTTAGGAATTTGCTCTGTCGCGATGGTAGCGGTGGCGAAAAGCGGCGAGCCGTCGAGCGGACTTCGATGAAGCCTTAGCCCGAAGAGGAAACAGGGAGGCAATCCGTTTGGAAAACAGCAACAAAAGTAGCGTTTACAGTAGCAGGTTGTCGTTTTACAGAGCCGGCCAGCACGACAACGTCGGCTGGGGCAAAATCTAACATGGGGCCGGCACGGCCTTAAATAGCGTTTTTGGTCCATTCTCTCAGACCAGTTCTCGGGCTCGGAGGGGGGAGACGTAGCCATACCCGGAACTGCAAAGTGGTTCGGCGGAGGAAGGGGCGTTATCCCCGGAACTGCACGGAAGGCGGCGCTGGGAGGGGGGGAGACAGCTCGTCGGAACAGGGCTCGATCTAGTGAGACATGCTCCCGAACGAGGAACATGTCTGTGGCACAACAGCACCTCCGCCGCCAGACAATGCATCCGGAGTTTTGAGCCGTCAGCGCGGCTCGGAAGGAGGGATGATGGTTGACAGTCGGTAGCCGTTCCGCTCTCTCCGCTCGTTGAGACTTCCCTAGGCCTGCAGAGGTTCACTGGAACGACGGAGTCGAACACAAAGGCGAACCACTCCGGCCAAAGCAAGCACCCTCCAAATGCTGATCAAATCGCCAGACCAGCAGAAACCAAATGTTTCGTCGAGATTAGGCTGAGCTAATAAATAGCATCACGAGCAACGAATCTCGGGAGGAATACACAATGCCGACACTCCTTTACAGTGCATGACACTGCTAAACCAAACAGAATTTTTTTTTGTTTTTCGTGAGCGATTCTCGATTGTGACCCGGGCAGATTGTGGACGATCGAAGCTGCTGAGGTTAACTCAATTTGGCCCCGAATCTACAATTTAGAATACTAAGCAATTCTGAATCACGCACATTGGCGTCGCTTGCAAGCGTCAGACTGTTAAACATAACAAAGTTTGTCATCCTACAAGCAAACATTCAATGCGCGCCGCCAACGATCATCAAAACAAGGGAATGCACGCTTGAAAAGGTAGGAAAGTAACACTAAAATTTAAACTTGTGCGCGTTACACAAAACAAGGCGAAAAGTTGACCTACATTTACGTACATACTAACACGTAATGCAAAACACAGAAGGTACTTTAAACAGGGGTTTTTATTAATAAATTATAAATAAAACACACTGACTATTACCTTTTTGAAATATTATGAAAACAAATTTAATCAAACAAACATATTAATGTGAGCTTCTGCGATGACAAGGCAAGTAAAACTTACAAAAATTTAGAACCATTCCTTGCTCATTGGCAGACGACAAAACTAAAAAAGTTATTCTCAAATTTAAATACAAAAAAATACACTCTTGGTATCAGCAAGGTGGCACTCTCAGACGAACTCAGGGAAGTCGCCCACTCCATAGCTTTCGTGGGCTGCGGTCTGGACAAAAGGACGACTATAGAACTTGTTCGCCGAACTCAGTAGTAGCGACTTTTGACCCGCAGCCGCTGGACTCGAAGAAAGGGGCATCTGCACTGCATCGCTTACGCCGCCCGTTCGACCAGTAACCCCCTCGCCACGGTGGCGAACTTTAGCCTTTGTTACAACTCAGAGGTACGCGATGTTTCCTCTCGTGGTTGCCTCTACGCGGCTTCAAAATTTGTAAGGCCAGGCGAAGATCTCGGCGTCCGAATTTTTCCGAAAGCCGGTTTTTCTGAACACGCTGTCCGCCAAATCTTGATGTGCGTGACAATCTGCGCTTCAAACATTTCATGGGGTGCCCTTTCGTGCGCCTAGCCTTGAACCTGGCGTCTCGAATGAAGACGTCACGGGGCTTAACAGCGGCTCTAGCGCACGTGGCGCGCGTCGTCTTTACCACGTTACGCTTACGCAGATGCCTCTTTTTGACGGAATGGCTAGGAATGCCGGCTGTTTCGACACACCTAATTTCAAGTGCGCTGCCTTTGACAGGCACTGCCAAGACTCTAGTCTGTTTAGCTAGCCTTTCTTCAGGCCCGTTGCTAGCTGTCTCTGCTTGCGACAGAACGGGATTCCCGATGCCATCAAAGCCAACCAACACGCCTAGAGAGCTTTTGATGTGTGAGGGTCTATCACTGTCGTGGATAGCCCTAATTCTCTGGCCTTCGAAATTGGCCTCATGCTCTCTTTGACGCGATTCATTCTGTAGCGCTTTATCTCACGCATACTGCTCAATATTTTGTCGACATGCGTCAACCTCTAGCGCCTTGCGATGCGACTCGCCGTCAAGCTCTTTTTGACGCGATGCATCTTGATCATGTGCGCTGCGAAGCGGCTCCGTCTCTGGCGCTTTACGATGTGCCTCTGCGTCCCGAGGTTTCCGATGGGCCTCCGCCCCTAACTCTTCGTGAGGCTCCTCAGTGCCCGGATCTCTCTGACGCACTTCGGTGTCTTGCACCTTGTGACGGGCCTCAACGTCAGATGCCTCGCGACTTTCCTCATCCTGAAGCGCTGCGCGACGGGCCTCCATCGCTTTACTGCGCGCGTCGTCCTCCAGCGCTTTACGACGCGCCTCGTCCTCTCGCTCTTTTCGGCAGGCGTCTACCTTTAGCGCCCTACGGCGTGCTTCGGCGCTGTCTTTATCACTCCGACTTTCAGCAGGATTTGAAAGAAAAAAATATCTTATCAAATTGTATCTAGCCTGGCCAAAATCTCCTGCTTCCTGGTAGGGTAAACAATTCAAAGCATGCGCAATCTTGCGCGGCAACAACGTGGCTAGCTTCTCCACCCAAAGGTCGCGGCTAAGACCAACATTACTGCAAACAACTTCAAAATCCTCCAGAAAGTGCGCGATGTTTTCGCCTGTCTGAAAGTTGTGGAGCTGCTGTTTCGCTTCCTCCCACTTAAGTGCTTGAATTCTAAGATCAAGCTCTTTCATTTTGAGAGCATGCTCTGTCCATTTTCGTCTCTCCTCGGACTTTTGCCTTTGCTCACAAACGAGCTCCCAAAACTCGTCAGCTTCCTCGGCTGTCACATTCTCTGCCCGCATCACCTCGAGAATCGCTTCCTTTGTTTTAGCGGACCCGGCGGAAATCCCCATGGCTCCACAAATTTCATGGAGGTCCTGCACCAGGTACTGCTCCATCGCGATCTCGTCCCTCGTGATGCTCTACTACTAATATTCATCGTACTCTAAAACTAATCTCGTGGTTTAAAGTAGGTGAATATTTAAAGTACAACAAAAAAACACAAAACGCTCTCCTAACATCTGCCTGTGCTAGAGAGGTCTGGCGAAATGAACAGTAAACGTTGGGCACTCACCCAACCAAAGTAGCCGACGATTGTCCAACTCCTGGCTGCCTTCGAACAGTGCCGTGGGTGTCGTCAGGCCTGCAGGGATCCGGTCCAACTTGCCAATGTTGAGATCCGGGGTTGCTTGTCCCAGCTTGCCGAACGATGAGAACAGCGTAGCGTATCGCAGCTTAGCCAAACGCTATCACGGCGGTCGTCCTCGTGCTCAGAGATCCAATCTAACTTTTCAGCCGTTGAGATCGGGGTAGCGGGTCCCAGAGCAGCAAAACGTTGAGGACAGGGGTCTGATCCGGCGTGCCAAACGTAGGATGTCGTATCCCACCGCTGCCACCACTGTTAGGAATTTGCTCTGTCGCGATGGTAGCGGTGGCGAAAAGCGGCGAGCCGTCGAGCGGACTTCGATGAAGCCTTAGCCCGAAGGGGAAACAGGGAGGCAATCCGTTTGGAAAACAGCAACAAAAGTAGCGTTTACTGTAGCAGGTTGTCGTTTTACAGAGCCGGCCAGCACGACAACGTCGGCTGGGGCGAAGTTTAACATGGGGCCGGCACGGCCTTAAATAGCGTTTTTGGTCCATTCTCTCAGACCAGTTCTCGGGCTCGGAGGGGGGAGACGTAGCCATACCCGGAACTGCAAAGTGGTTCGGCGGAGGAAGAGACGTTATCCCCGGAACTGCACGGAAGGCGGCGCTGGGAGGGGGGGAGACAGCTCGTCGGAACAGGGCTCGATCTAGTGAGACATGCTCCCAAACGAGGAACATGTCTGTGGCACAACACTGGGCATGTTGGATTAATGCTTTTAATAAACTGGCTGTGGGAACGAAGACTGGAGTACGACCTGGTTTGAAGCATGCGGAGGGTAAATGTCTGGGCCCTACAAAGTTGCATATGAGGAAGGAGGAAAATCATTCTGTTCAGCTGATAATGTTTGGTCACCTCGTTGAAAGTGAGGAAAACATCCCTAAAGGCCATTAGGTTTGAGTCTTAAGGTCCCGCAGGCTGCCCAGCACGGTGAGTAAGTTCACGTGCTCGCGCGTGGGGGATCTCGTTTAGGTTTGCCATGGAGGCCAGATGTGATCCGAGGTGAGCCGGAAACCAAATTATGGCGTGTTTTGAAATATCCCTGTTACCTAAGATGCAAGTTACTTCAGCCGATACCAATCCAGGTGCAAAGGCTCGCACTGCCGCTCGTGAGTCTGTGTAGATGTGTTGCCGGGAGTCAACAATTATAATTTTGAATCTGGGCCCCTGAATAATCATCTGCTTTTTTTTTTCACTATTCTTTTGTAGTCTGCTAGTGCATTTGCATCTCCTGAACTATAAAAAAAAAGGAACAAATGCATTTGTAATTTGGTTACATATACACGCCCACTATGACTACGTGTGTCCCCGGGTTTACCTTTTTCTTATGATGGCGCCTTTTGTAATGTACATGTTGGTTTATTAACTTTATTTTGAAATTGGAGATGTAGGCCTCTCCATAAATAAAAATCATTATTAGGCGTCTGCAGAACTTGAGCCAGAAAATGCTACCAACGAGCGTAGAACATTCGATGTCTGAAGTTAGACAGCTGCAATTCACTACTGTAGCATTGGAACATGGTACAGTGCTGTGAATTCATGAATCACTGTAGTAGCATCGGCGTGTAACATATGTCAATCGTGTTTTCTCTGTCTTGCTTGCAGGAGATCTACGTAAATGAATTCAGAAGCATAGTACCTGATTATGTATGTGAGCAGTTTGCTTCTCAAGTAGACACCGATGGTCGTGTGTGGGAAATAATCCTTCAGGTCAACCCATACCATCCACAGCTCCCGGGTCTGCGAATGCGCCCAAGGGGACCCAAGGAGGTGCGTCTTTCTTCCAAGCAACTCATAATCTTGCTTTTGATTTTTCATATCTGGTAATGCAGAGAAGTGTGGCAGCTTGGGCTAGTTGGTATGGCATGACGATAGTTATAGCGCGAGAACAAAACGACGACACAGAGACAAGAAGGTAATGTAGAGCTTGCAAAAATTAAAATACGTTAATAATGCGTAACCCTGTGATGCCCACAAACAGTTATGTCTTCAGAAAAATTGCAAAAAAAAGCTGACTGTTTTTACTCTGGTGTACAGTTACATTTAATAAAATATGAATGAAATTTTGTTTGAGGCATAATCTAATTATTAATAATTGCAAATAAATAATTACTGTTGTATAATATGCAAGTCACTGTACCTTTTTCATAACACGTCACATCTACAACAGCTGCTTCTCATGACACTTATAGTAGCTTTAGTGAGGTATTGAATGTATCAAATATGTTACAGTGGGCATTACAGGGGCATTCAATTACCTATATTTTGCACAATTATTGTAAACATATACCCGAAATGCCATAGGTACTAGGCAAGCTTCATGAGCACTAGGAGAGGACAGCGTCTGGTCACACTATAGCTGTTGTGCACTGTCACAATAAGGCTTTGCTAACCTTCCCACAGTTGATTCATCCCTTTACAGGCCAGGGTTCTGCAAAGCTTTTTGCGTTTGTCTTGTGCGTGCCGACTTGTTTTCTCGTGGCTTTCTTCTGTACATGTGTCATGAAAGCAATGTGTGATAGTACAACCAGTCAAAAAGCTTGTGGATATCTTATGTATTCCTGTGCTTACAAAATAAGCTATACCTGATCATAGCATAGAGATTTTTGATTCAGCAGTGCTTGGTGGCCCATGAACTGAGTAGCAATCGATATTTTTACGGTGAAAGCTGTTATGAGCTCACAACAAGGGCGGTGCGCGCCGTGGTTGTCCGCCACCGCCACTGCTGATACCCATAACCACCATCGTGCAAAATAAGAAAAAAACAGTAAATAAACACCACGGACACAATGGGATACAAACCTGATTCCCCGGCGTGCCAGCTCAGTGTTCTACCTCTGAGCCACGCGCGTGCTTGAAATTTTGTGGCAAACTGGCCTTAGGCAGGCTTGATATCGGCGAAAGAATTGTGTTAATATCAGTAATAAAGCATTTTAGAAAATCAAAGGAAAAAGCGGGCGTCACACATTGCGAATTGCCTAACGAGTGGGTCGTCCTATGCTCCAACTCATTACAAAATTATCAGGCATAATTCTTGATCGCCGTAAGCCACAGCACAAAAAAATGGGACAAAATTCCTTGCAAGTCTGTAGCAGGTACCATGCTTATCTGAAGAGTGTTGAAGGATGCCATAGTGAGTGCCTCTCTATTATGCAAGAACTATGATGATTAATGGTGTAGTGGGTACCTTGCAAGTGTGCTTGTAGCAGTTACCAGATAGTTTTTAAAGAAGGCTTTGAAAGGTCGCTCTCCCAGCTTTAGCTGTGATTGTGCTGCGCATTCTGCACAGGCCTGGCAGTCTTTTATTGGTTCAGAGTCTGCAGAATTTGAGTTTGCAAAGAAGAACTGCAATTTGAAAAATAAAATTTATCTTTTTTTTATTTACAGAACATAACATGGACACAAATCTGTTCCATCAGTGATCTTTGCTTCGTAAACATGGTTCCATCTAACTGCACAGTTGAAATCAGTCGTCGGAATGGCATACCTCAGGTGAGAACTTGCAGTGCTTCTTGTTACCAAGTGACATTTTTGTTCTTATTGATTGACATATCATAAGGACATGTTATCAAAGGGAAGTGTGAAGTTGAATTGGCAGGTTGTAATTCTGCATAGCCACAAACATCATACTTGAGTTGAATAGAACATTGATAAATTAGAATAGGTGTTAGCATTTTATGAGTGAGTATGATTCTTTAGTGTTATGCAGAAATTACAACATGTCTCGAGAGAATGAGATGATAAACATAGTGAGTTTTGTTGAGTACCTCTTGAGAAGCAGCGGGGGCGTGAAGTTGCGAAAATGTTGAAGTTTAAATTATATGTATGATTTTCTACTAATGTGTGGGTGCTGTGGTGGGATCACAAAGATGTACACAGTGTAAGGAAGACAGCAGTTCTTGGGCTTAGGTGCATGCTTGGCTAGGGCGAGGATGAGGAAGATGAAGCTGAGAATTAGCACAGCCCATGCAGAGATTTGCTTCACAAACAATTTTTATTTCCAGTCTTATTTTTTTAATCATAGTGGCCGAGCTTTCCAACGCCTCAAATTGTTGGCATACAGAGTCTTCTTAACGCTATAAATGTTCAAATTAGGGACGTGACTTCAGTCAGTAATAACAGTAACTATATTACAGCTGAACCACTATAAGAAACACTGATATAAGAGACAAATGTATAAAGACACCAGTGGGCCTACAGTAAAACACGGGTTAATAAAAAAATGCATACGAGGTACCGTGCTAATGAGAGACATCTCATATAAAAGACAAGAATTGCTGCCCGGAGCATGCCTCTTATAAAGGGGTTTAACTGTATACAATATGATGACATCTCTTGAAGAAATGCTAAGCTAATGTTGTACCAAATGTTATACTCCATTTAAAGAGATTACCTGGCACATACGCCAATAAAGGCAGTCATTACAACTGATGCTTAAAGTAAGGAAAGATGTGGAATTGGTATTTTCTCTCCTACTCTAAATTGGTCTTTTTCCCTTCGCTTTCCAGATTTGTGCCCATATTTGTAGTCCATCTTATAGCAGTCATTCTAGCACTCGACAAATTAACAGCATTTATAAGTTCTATGGTAATTTTGACAGATTCCTCACCGGTGTGCTTTTCCCTCTCAGCAAATGAGAACTCGCATGTTTTGAGTGCATTGACATCCTTAATTCCTCCACATATAAATTTGATTAAGTTGGTATTTCTTCCAGGACACAAGGGCCTATTTCTGAATGAAATGGCAGATGTGCTAACAAAGGGATCATTGAACGGCCCAGTTTCTCATGTATTGCCGGCATCCAAATTCATAATAGATGCCAGAATAAAGAAAAATTATGTTAGCTGCTTTATTGTTAACGGCCACATTACGATTTCAGTCAACACTTCAAACATTGTTGAAACAGTAAAATATTTCAAACAAGAGAAATTGAAGCTGCGATCACTAGAATACATTTTCAGACTCCATATCTAAATTTTTATTTACAAAGAACTGGTATGACAGCTTCCCCTAACTGTTATTTTTGTGGAATACATGAGACAACAGAACATTGTCTCATTTCCTGCAGCAGGTACTCTACTTTGCTGAAAAATACTTGAGGGGCTATCTGCTGAATCCTTAGACTAGATCTAAATGTGCCAGATGTGCTTTCATACGGGGCTTTGTTCCTTTGCCAGTGACAGGAAAGTTGTCAATGCCTTGGAGGAGTTTATTAAAGGTTCAACGAGATTTAGATCGTGGAGCCAACCGGTACTCCTATTTTCTAAATTGTGTTTTTTTTTAATTCTTAATTATCTATTTTCCTCTAATTGCCCATCTCAGCATCACTATCCGCATTTTTACTCATCTATGTTTAGTATTTGCAATTTTTTACATGATTACTTCTTTCATTCTTAAATAAATGATGTCTAATTTAATAATTAAAGGGGCCCTGCAACATTTTTCGAGCATGGTCAGAAAATGCTGCTGATCGGTCGTAGAGGCTCCCGACAACACGCGAGCCAAATATTATAGTGCAGAGTGCCACCTGGAATTCACAATAAATTATCAAAGTCAGCTAAAATTGCTTTCTCTTCTCTCGAGAAATCACGTTATATGCCCAAAAATCACACGTCGACGACCCATCTGTCAGCCATTGGCTTATTTGAACATGGGGCACTCGCACGTTACAGAGATCGCCGTGGGAGGCCGCTACTTGTCCATGCGTGCATGATCGCACTGAAGAAGCGGCACATTCGAAGAAAAAAAAAGTGCTCAAGGTCGCGAGGCTCGTGTGATGTTTTTCTGTGGCCCTGCCATCCCTCCCTGCTTAGCTTCCAGCGCTTTCGTCGGGACGGGAGAAGAGAGAATGCACAAAGCTCTTCCAGTGAATTCATTTCAGAGTTACTTGAAAAAGTGTTTCAGGGCCTCTTTAAGAACTTTTTTCTAAACTATCTGGTTTTTGCGCAATCCCCCAGTGTGTGCGTGTGCGTGTTCAAGTTTCTACTCTCCTCTACTCTATTTAACCTGAATAACATTGTGGCCATTCATTACTTCTTTTACAATTAATGCAAGATGAGGGATCTTTATTTGAAATGTATCTAGGCAATGAATGTAAATGTTTAATACTCTTTCTAGAGAAGCAGGGCCACATTAAGCAGTACAGTGAACATGTCTACATAATTATCTGTTCAGCGTGACAGTAAATTTTACTATATTGAGGAAATGGTGTTTATGTACACGTTTTCACTTGAGAGCAGCATAGAAATTTATTTACGGTTAGTCATCGTGGAGTTTTGAATAGTCGAAGTTGTCGTAGCCGAGCATTTGAATGCAGCAGTGCATGTGCAGCTAAACAAATTTGGCCAGCTTGCATGTGTGTGTTTGTGGGGCTGACTCTATCAATTGTGTCCCTCTTTACACAGAACCTCAGATTTGACAGCGTCAGCCAGATGCACTCCTTCGTGTCTCTTCTGGACGGCTATTATCGGTTGACAGAGAAGTGGACGGTGAATTTGTGCATCAACTTGCCAACACCATCACTGACCATGCTTCGAGCAATGAGGTGTCACGGTCCTGTGGGGTGAGAACTTGCCTTTTTTTTTCCTTTCATTTTTAAATTGAAAAGCAGATTTCAGAGTCTTGCTGGACGTGTGATTTGGGGACGACATAACTGGCACAACTACAGAAACCTACGTTTACCAATATTCTCTTTGCAGTAGTTCCACAGTATGCTCTCATTAAACGGAACCTGAAGGGACAGGCAAAATATGTTCCGTTTAACATAAGTTTCGTTGACTGAGAGATGAACAAAGAAGTAGCGTTCAGGTATGAGATCGATAATATCAGAGACAATTGTTCCATTTAACTAGCAGTTCCGTTTAACATATTTTCATTTTCTGAGAGTCTACAGTATTTTTGTGTCAGTACTAGCATATAGAAGAATTGTTTTCTGAAGGCAGCTTTGCGTACCACATATTTCTCTATAGCGCTCTTAGATCATGATCATTACAACACTTAGAAGCAGATTTTCTATTTTTGAACTGCCTCATACATTTGGACAGTTTGCGAAAAGAGAGCTTTTGTGAGTGGATATGTACTGTGCATCGTGTTTACAGCAACAACACCGATTTTTGTCCTAGAGCCAAGTTTGCCTATCAGAAGTTACAGGAGAAAGGTGGGCACGAAGCAGGCTGGTACCTGATTCGGCAGAGCTCATCCGTCTACGGGGAGTATCGGCTGGACTTTCTGGGAAGGAACGCAGTGCCAGAAACTCTCCGCATTGTGCAGCTGGAGGAGGGCCGCTTTGCACTGGACGAAGCGGCACCAGAAGAAGGCATTTATCCGACACTCGCCAAGCTGATCAGTGAGGCCATTCGACCGACCCTCGATGTAGAGCTTGGATACTGTGTGCCTCCATCTGAGTACGGTAAGAAAAGAGAGGGTCTTTTCATCGCCCACTGCTCAACATTTTGGCTTGGCTTACTTAACATTTGTTCTCTTAACCCTTTTCTTTGTGAACATGTTTCTTACAAGGCTTCTATTCATTTTATTCACTCACCACGATAGTGAAAGATTAAAAACAGTGTTGTAATTCTTAAAAACTATTGCCATTGACAGTGATGTGATTGCTGTGCCAATTTCGCCAAATTGTGTGAAACCTGCTACATGCTGCTACATTTTGGTATAAATACCGTATTTACTCAAATTTAAGCATACCCCGACTCTAAGTCGACCCCTTTAAGTCCGAAGCCCTGAAAAAAAAAAAAAAAAAATTTACCTCGAATGTAGGTCAAACTAAACAGTGAAGACAGCGTTCACAAAGAGAAAACACTTATTGAACATGGAGATGAAACAAAGCCATTGTTTCATGAACCGGCTGCTGAGCCACAGGTTGTTGGACTGAATCCCGGCTGCAACAGGCGCATTTCGATGGAGGTGAAACGCTAGAGGCCCATGTGCTCAGATTCGGTAGGTGCACGTTGAAGTACCCAGGTGACTGAAATTTCCAAAGCTCTTCACTACAGGATCTCTGATAGTCATATCATGGTTTTGGCACGTAAAACCCCGAAAATTAATTATAAGCCTGAAGTCCGCACTTATAGCAGCAATACTCCATTTTTTTCCCCTCTTTGTAGACAAGACGCAGCTTCTCTTATGCCGCCCACCATCTCTTGACGTGGAAAAGTCGGCTCTGAAGCGAGATCCTCGGGAGTGCATCCACTCTGGGGCACTTACGTTCACAGAGAATCGCAAGGATGAGCTGCCTGGGAAGTTCACTGTAGTGCGGCGGGCGTTTTTGCAACGAGAGCGAAATCAGTATCGAGAGGTTGCCGTGAAAGCCCTGAAGCCTCACCTGGAAGATAGCCATCTCAAGGTGGGTGGCTCTACCAGCTGCTTTATTTGTTAACTACTATACACTTCGATGTTTTGGTGAGCTAGATGGAAAATAACTCTTGATTACCATTTTAACTTATGGGGCATTCCAAAAATTATTAGGAATTTTGCCGGGTGTTTATGTGCTATTAACACCATCAGTGATGTTGATCCAAACAGCACCAATATGGTGGCATTTTGTCACAGGGTGTTTAATAAAACCATTGAATGGGGCTTGATAATTTGGCTTATTGTATCACCATCATTTTAGGGAAACAATGCAAGTATCTGTTGGAACAGACGCATGAATTAGACCCGACACTCACAGTAAGGACTTTCTTCATGCCTGTTTTTGTCCACTTCAGATTTCTTTTATTTTGCTACATTTGGCTGGTGGGGGGCGCTATCAACCTCTGTTAGGTCATTCTCGGCTCATGGTGCTGGCACATTATGATTAGCGCAGCTAGCTTTGCTGCCGTCGAGAGAGTGTTGGCGCTGTGCTCCTGAGGTGGCACCAGTCTGGTGGGAGCGAGGTTACAGAGAGTCATGAGAAAGGGAGCTCTTTCTTTTTTGGGGGCTTTTCATGTCAGCAAATCGTGGACTCTTGGGGAAGATCTGTGGGTACGAGAGTACAGCTTGTTCCCATGGACTTGTGCAGGGCTTTGAACTTCAGCGACTCCATGCTGCATTTGCGGTACATTGTATGACATGTAGGTTTTTTACAGGTATTAAATTGGATTAGTATTTGTCTTGTTACTGCAGGTACTTATAAGACTCAGCTGACGAGCTTGGCGTTAAGAAAAATACATTAATGAACGCCCATGTGCTTGTGTGGCATGTGTTTGTTCCCTAAGCACTGCTGTCTTTGTTGACCCAACAGGCTTATTGAACTCTGGTGGCCTATTGGAGCAGGCAACAGGTCATTGGCTGTGCCTTCAGCAAAAAGCAGCCAACTTCACACTTCGCTTTTATTTGTGCCCGCGGGTTGTATATACTATGCGACCTTGTCTGAACATAAAGAAAGTATGCAATTATTCTGGGCCACAAAGCTTGACAAGCTCTGGCTCCATACCTCGAAAGGCAACTTCACAGTGAGACGGCAGAACAGCCTGTTCTCTCTAAGTCAAGCCCCTTTGTGAGAGACACTGATGTAAAAAAGGAGGAGAATGTATGAGGTACCAGTGATAGGGGTTAATAAGAAAATGCAAACGGGTTACCTTGTTTTAAGAGAGACTTCATACAAAGAACAAGAAATCCTTCCCGGCGCATGTTTCTTGTAGAGGGGTGCAGCTGTAGCACAATCTATGAGTAAGAACTTTTACCTTTCTGGAAGCTACAATGTGATGCGTGGTCACGCCAGCACTTCGTTGCCCTCCTCTCTTAAAAATTTCACCATTGTCGCCACGTACGCACGCTGTTTGAGTCGCAGGCAAAATGGGGCCGCACTTTCACAATGCATGCCTGTCTATTTGCTGTCTGCTGCCTCGCACTCATCAAAACTGAGGAATAGAAAGTGTAGCTTTTATACGCTTCTGCTATTAAAATTGGCTTCAAGTAAGTGGGGAAAAAATAGTAATCCAGTACATCATAGGGACACCTTTGCTTTAGCCGATAAGTATGACAGGTTACCGACAGAAAAAAAAAGAGAGAGAGAGAGAGACAGAGCCATGGCACGTTTCAACGCAGCCTTACTATCAGCACTGGTATTGCCATTTGAATTTTCAGTATCCTGAAACCAGTATGTGTACTACCAGTGAAATTAAAAGCTCTCTGTTTACCACCCCTTCTGCTGCTTGCATTTGTTGGGAGGTGTAATTATTTGGCACTCCTTTCGTGGCAAGGTGTCCTTGTTTGCCGAAGCAAAGTTCATTTAACGGCATAGGAGATCAAAACATTCCCGCGGTCATTCTTCGTCCTCTATGCACAGGAGTTCATGGTGCAGTGTGACCGAATGCTGTTCTGGCAGTGTGAAGCCATTGTGAACTCTCTCGGCATGGTGCACTCGGGAAGTTTTGGCCTGGTGTGTGAGTTCTTGCCTCTGGGCTCCCTGGATGCCTATCTCCATCAGCACAGGTCACAGCTGCAAGCCGTTGACTTGGTTGAAGCGGCCAAGGGGCTGGCACGTGCTCTCTGGTACCTGGTGAGCTATTGATTTTCCACATTGGTGGAAGACTCTTGCCTGAAGTTGAACAGCTTACCCTCTACCCATTGTGCTGTTCCGCAAGTTCCTTTTTACATGGGGACCTTATCTAATTATTTATTATTAAACATCAGCATCATTTGTTGCAAGTCGCCCACAGTTTTAAAATTTGCTGTACTTAAAGCACATGAGCTGTTATAACACGCTTTTAATCTTAAAGAATGATGAATCCATGTCAATGTCATACTTGTTCGTTTAGCCTTGAAATGGGGTTTTGCAACAGTGCATTTTTTTTTTTTTTAATAGTCGTTTTCACGGCACAGCACCTTTTCACTGCAGTGAAACCACCGTAGCGAAAGATTACATGCGCGTCAATATACACCTATTTGTTCATGTCGAATACTTCACAATTTCTAATAATTTTAATTCAAATGGAAGCAAATTAAAATGCTGTAATATTCATTTGAATATTTGAAGCACCCAAATATTTGCACAAGCCTAATGTTTTGTATTCAGTGTTGCTGCTACTGATTAATATGTGGTACCTGGTGCACGCAGCTGTTTCTATCCTCTTTGCCAACTTCCCTCTTGATATGCTGCATGAACGAATCTCGGTCTAGCTCGGCTTTTTTTTTTTTTCTAGTCTGGGGAACTTTTGTCTTCCTTGCATTGTACGGTAAAGAAAACAACAGTCTTCTACCGATGTGGCCATTGGCCAGGCATGATGGGTGTAAAGGACACGACAATCGGAAAATAGTGTTTGGTTTGTGTGAAATCCTGTATACACATTGGCAATGCTATTTCATCCTGCAACTGGTTGTCCTTCTTCCTGTCATGAGGCACATGGCAAATAAAGTGCAGTTACCTACGTTGTAAACTTATAATGTACCTACAGAATAGGTTGGCAAACTCACTCGTGAGTGGATTCGCTCCGACTCGCTCGCACTTGGATTGAGCCATGAGTCTTGACTCTGAGTGAGTGTGGGTTAGTAATATTTTGGCGAGTGAGTCCGGCTTAGGAAAATTTTGGTGAATGTGAGGCTGAGTGAGTCCAAAATGCAAGATATATTTCTTGAGTGAGTCTGAGAGAGTTGCACATTTTTTTGTGAATACAAGGACTACAGTGAGGTCTTGCATACCATTTTTAAATTGATTTGTGATGTCCAAGAGAGGAATTGCGTAACAAATGACTGATAAAAGCTTGTTGATGGAGCTCTTTAATATGGTGATATTTTGTAGATAGTAATGGCACTAAAACGAAGGTATCCTATTCTTCATTGAAGATATTTAGTTGGCCTGTTTCTGCTGTTTGCCAAGCTATTCTAGGCTTTTTGCCTACACTAAACGTTTGCTTCATCTGCGAATGCCTGAAGTTGTATACTTGTAAGAGCATTTAGATTGGTCACGCGCTAACCCTAAATCACACACAACACATGGCGTCGTTTTGCCACTCTCCACAAACACACCGAACTCCCATTTTCCCACACACGCGACCTCCACCACTCCCTGTCCAGATGATGATAATGGTGGTGCTGTCACATAACGCCCTCTCTCGGCCACCCTCACAGGTTCTCCCCCCCTCCCTGAAATGTGAAGCCACCACTACACATTGCCTGCAGCTTCATGGTGAAGTGTCAGCTAATCTGCGTGTCTCACACCGTGGCGAGGACTTTTTTTGGGGTCCACTAGAACGAAGTCATTCTGTCCTATACGTCTCACTGCCCAAAAGCGATTGGAACGCCGGGGTGCGAGCTTCGAGGAGAAGCCCTTGGTGTCATCGCTGAGGGAGTGGCTTTCGAGCAGAACGAGATCACCCTCCTGTATTGTCAGTGGCCGCCTGTACCGGTCGCAGCCAGTCTTCTGGGCGCGCCACATGGGGTCCTGGTGTGGCCTGGAAAAGTCAAGCACCTCCTGCAGACACTTGGAGACCTCAGTAGCAAATGCATGGTACACTGTCGCAGGAGGCTCCGCATTGTCTTTGGCTTCAGCATGTGTCCAAGGTGTTCTCAGCTCCCGGCCATAACAGAGGAAGGCAGACGTTTAACCCATGAACACTCTTTCAGCCGTGCACATGGCCAGGGCAATTTCTGGGAAGTGCTGCTTGCAGTCTTTGTGGTTGGAACAGTAAGCCCTAAGGCACTGCTTGATAATGCCATTGTGGCGCTCCATCATTTTCCTGGTAGGGCGGTACAGAATTTTGTGTCCGTCTTGTATGCCCCAGTGTTCAAGGAGACCCTTCCACAATCTGCTAACAAAGGGCTTTCCATTACCACTTTAAATGGAGACAGCTGTGCCATGCCTGCAAAAAAGCTCGATCATGCAGACCAACACACTCTTGCTGGTTTCTGCCCGTAATGGGAAAAGTTCAATGAACTTGGTGAACTTGTCAATCACCACGAGAAGGTACTTGTTGCATCGAGGCGTCATAGGCAAGGCCTCAATTATGGTCACACTGAGCTGTTCCATGGGGGCAGTGGCCCATGGCTGTTCATCAGCCCTTCTGGCTTCTGGCAATGGGCGTTGGTGCGCTGACAAACCTGGCAGCATCGCACATACTTTGATATGTCTGAGCACATACCCAGCCACACGAAATTCTGAGAAATGCGTTTGAGAATCATAAAAAAGCCGGAGTGGCCGCTGATCGGGTGGTCATGGGACAGTCGCAGGACCAAGTTGCAGAAATGGTTTGGTAGCCAAAGTACTTTCCTGTTCCCTTGGTGCTGTACAAGCAACCCACTCTCTCCCATCTCGGTCGTCTCTGCTTGGTCTTTGATTAAAGGTTGATCACTGTCAGTAAGCGGAAGCTTCCCTCCCTTCATCACAGTTCGTAGTTTTGACAGTATGGGGTCCTGCTCTTGTTCCTGGGTGAGGAGCCGGGCATCATTCAAGACAGTAGTGTCGTCCACTTCAGATGCTACAGCAGCTGTCTCAAAGCTGATTTGTGGGCTGGGCTCTGGAACAGCCATAGGGAGCAGCGTCTTGTGTAGACTCGGGCCTGGAACTTCCTGGGGCTGAAGGGGAGCTCTGCTCAAATTGCGGCTGGCACATTTGCAAGACCCCGCCTGTGCTTAATCCTGCAGTTGAAACCTTGCAGCTGCAAAACCTAACACTTTACACGTGGTGAGGCCTGGTCTGTGGGGAACATCCAGGACACTGACGAGTGATCACAGTGGATCTCAAAATCTGTGAACTCAAGGAATGGCTGGGACTTGTCAACTGCCCACATCACAGCCAGACACTCCCATTCTTGCACTGTATAGCGCTGTTATGCCTCAGTGAGGACCCTGCTAATGAAGCTTATTGGACGCAGTGGAGCATCATTCCTGGCTGCCTGCAGAAGCACCGTTGTGATTCTGACTCCACTGGTGTCCTTTTTCACCACGAATGGTCTGTTGAGGTCCAGCAGGTTTACAACGACATCGTGGGCCAGGGACTGCTTAAGTGCTCTAAAGGCTTCCTCTTGCTGCAGCTCCCACCGCCAATGTTGGTTTTTCTTAAGAATTTCTGTGAGTGGACGCGTAGTGATAGAAAACTGAGGTATGAACCCTCTGTAATAGCCTGCTAGTCCCAGGAAGGCCTGCAGCTGTTTGAGCGTTGCTGGTTAAGGCTAGTCCAGCACCGCACGCACTTTTTCCTTGTCCGGCCTACACTGCCTGGGCGATATTTCATGGCTAAAGAACTTCAGGTATTGAGAGCACACGTGCACCGTCTTTGGGTTAATGGTGAACTGTGCCAAACTTATCCGCTTCAACACCTCCCGAACATGCTCGAGATGATCATATGGGGTCTCCGAATACACCAGGACATCATCGAGAAACGCCATGGCAAACGGGTGATTAATTCCCTCCAGTAGTCGGTCGATCAGGGTCTGGAACGTGGCAGGACCTCCTGCAACTCTAAAGGGCATTCTCATGAACTCGAAGGTTGCCCGATGGCAAATGAACACTGTCTTTGGATTATCCTGCTCTTGAACAGGGATTTGAAAAAAATCCTGTGAAAGATCAAAACTTGAGAACCACCTAGCTCGTCCGAGCTGTGCCAGCAACCAATCAGTCCTGGGCATGGGGTCGACCGGCACCTTAGTGCATGCATTCAGCTGGCGGTAATCCACAGCCACGTGGTAGCTACCAGACTTCTTCTCAACCAGGACTGGAACACTGGCATGCTGACTTTGGCTAGGGCCGATGAGGTTCTGGGCCAGCAGGTCGGGAATGCAGTTGTATATGATGGCCTGCTTCTTGGCATTCACTGGTCGCAGTTTGCATCGAACAGCTGGGTTGTCTCGCATGTCTATGCGATGCTCTGCCAGGATTGTGCAGCCCGGAGTGGTGGTGAAGATTTCACTAAACTCTTCTAAAACATGTTTCATGCGTGGGTCTAGGTCCGACGAGTGGCCGGGAATGACCACATTGCACGCTGCAGTCGCGTCTGGCCCACTGGCACACTCACTGGCATCGCCGTCAGCAAAAATGCAGCGCAGACTGTCTCCAAAATCATCCACTGCCTCTGGCTGCTCCTTAACGGCCTTGGCAAAGGGCACAATACTTTGTGGTTCTGTGCCGACAGTCCAGCCACCAAGTGACACGTGCAGAGAGATGCCACTCACCATCAGGAAATTCGTACCAAAGACAACGTTACGGCAAAGGTCAGGAACGCATAAAAACTGCTGTCTGCGGCAATTGGCAGCCCACTCGATCTGGCACTTTAGAGACGTAGTTGACTGTGACCAGCCTGATGCCAAACGCAGCACGCGCACATCCGCCTTGGGTATTGCTCCAGAAGCTTGGGCCGCCGCCGCAGCGTGCGGTCTAAAGAAGCTTATACTTGAGCCTGTGTCTAGCAGGGCCTTGAACGTCGACGACCCGATACGAACGTCCATAAGGAGCTCTTTGCCACCGGCTGTGGTCGCTACTTGGTGCGCACTGCGGTAGGTGCCTGCCGGGGCAGCACCTACCGCCACTGGTTTCCTGGGCACTGTGCTTGCAGGTGACCTGATTGCTGGCACCTGAAGCAAACGGGTGGCCCCATTCGCCGACCCGTGGCACAGTTACGAGAACTGTGGTTGAATCTACCACAGCGATGGCAGTGCACACGCATTGCTTCACTCGTGGGCTCCTGCCGCGGTGTCGGTCCCGGCCCGTAGGGTGAGAACGAAGGCGCTGTGTCGCACGAGTTCTGCCGGTCGCGGCAGTACGACGGTACAACGCAGCTGGATGCAGTGGCCAGTGATAAGTTGGCGGACCGGTGGAGCAGCAGCAAACGAAGCGAACGACGCCGTCGCCATAGTGTTCGGCTTCGGCAGTGAGCACATGTCGAGGGCCAGGTTAGGGCGGAACGCCAGATCTCTGGCTACTTGGTTGCTCGGAAGTGGCAGTGGTCTGTACTGGAGGCAACGCTAAGCCCGTCCATTAAGCCTAGGCTGCCTTCACCAACTCGGCGAGGTCGTTGTACGCATGCCCCTCCGCCAAATCTTGCAGCTGAGGGGGCATCTGCCTCAGTAGGTGCTGCACCTTCTCGGCTGCGGAGACCTCTTCCCCGATGTGGTCGTAAAACGTAGTGATCGCATAAATAAACTCCTTCAAATTCTCTTCCGGGTGCTGCGTGCGCTGTTCGAGCTCCGCCTTCAGGCGATGCTTCGCGTCAATCGACGAGAACTCTGAGCGAAAGGCGGCAGTGAATTGCTCCCACGAGTCGAACCCGCGCACGAACTGCCACCACAACTTCACGCCGCTCTCGAGGGCTGCCAATAACATGTGAGTCAGTCGCTTATCGGCGTCGACCCCCGTCACGAGGCAGAAGTTTTCCAGGCGTTCAAGAAACTCTTCCGGCGACTGCTAGTCTCTAACACCTGAATAACGGAGGAGGTGCGCAGCGGTGAGCCGAGGCACAGAGTCGTCGGTGGCCCGAGGGACCACGCCAGTGTTTGCGATCACAGTCCATGCTCCCATGTGCGGAGCTGTGGGCAGCAGCGTCACCATCACTCGTTCGTGTACGAACGCCTCGATTCGTTCGCGCTCCATGGCGGAGCCATCAGTGCCCAGCCACAACTCTTCAACGACACCTTGGAGCCTAGGCTAGTCGTGCGCTGCTGTTGTTGGGCCTGAAGCCATCCCGGACGAGCCCCTACTTGTCACGCGCTAGCCCTAAATTATGCACAACACACCGCCTCGTCTTGCCACTCTCCACAAACACACCGAACTCCCCTTTTCCTACACACGCAACCCCCACCACTCCCCGTCCCGATGATGATGGTGGTGCCGTCGCGTAACGCCCTCTCTCGGCCAGCCTCACAAGATACTATTTTTTTCTTTTTTTTTATACCACTGGGAACATTGCCACGTCATGTACATATACTAGATTCTAGAAGGTCCTAGAGCATTCATCTCTCATTTTGTGCAAAATGCACGTCTTTCCCTTCTTTTTCTTGGACACCTAGGAAGAGCAAGGCTGCGTCCATGGCAAGATCAGGTGCCGAAATATCCTCGTCTCTCAGCACGAGGCCAATTCATTCTATGTCAAGCTTTCAGACCCAGGACTTCTTGTCTACATGAATGAAGAGTAAGTCGAGTGAATTTTTGATCAGGCTTCTTGTTTTTCAGCTCTGGTTCTTCAGAGCACTTATCAAGAGCACATCTGTGGTTGCTGTTTCTGCAGCATACATTGGATCCCACCTGAGTTCTACTACAACCTCAACATGGCCAAATCATCCATCAAGGCTGACACTTGGGCCTTTGGAACGACACTGTGGGAGATATTCAGTTTTGGGGAGCCACCAATGGCGGGAGTCTCTATCACGGAGGTGAAATGCTTTTTTGTTGTTCTTTTTTATGATGCTGTTGAACATTGTTGCATATAATGCAGTTTGAAGCAGTAGCATTTAAGTTTGTGCAGCCACTTTTGAGTAAGTTATTTTATCTGAAATTCCTCGCAAGAGCAGCAAAGTTTCACCTGGCACTGTATTAATTAAGTGCAAGAGCATCAGTGAAGTGTTCGTTTTAGTTGTCACAAACTTTTTCCACTCAGCAATGACCATTTAGCACCTCCAACAGCTTCATTCCCTGCTTTAATTTACGCTCTTGGTTGCTCGTAAAGCCTTTCTTTTTTTTTCTACTTCAAAACGTACCTTTGGTAACTTCAAAAACCTTTTTTTCTTTTCTAAATTATGCCTTTTGTTGCTCTGTAAACCTGTTCCAAAATGGCCTCAGCCAATCACATTACTGGTATATGTATAACAGACCCTCTACTTCTAGCTTTTTTGTTGCTGAAAACCATGAATTGTTGAGTGACCATGTCATGGCCCCCTTTATGTCATGATTACATAATGGTGTTAGAAATGGTGATGATGCTCAATATAGTGATGATGCTTGAAATGTGTTGGTACATATATTTCAAATGTTGCGGCAGATTTACAACACCATTTCATCTTGCTAACCAGTCATATTTAGTACACTCGTGTGCTTATCCCTTCACTGTCCTACAGTATTCAGTGTGGAACTGGCTGAAATATTCTTGACGCTAATTATTGTTTGTGCTCATAATGATTGCTTTGCTTCCAGGCAACAAGGAGGTATAAGGAAGGGGAGAGATTGCCTATTCCTGCTGACATGCATGAGGGGATCCGCCTGCTGCTTCAAGAATGCTGGTCATTGGACCCGGACAGCCGGCCTCAGCCGCAAACTGTCATGCGAGACATCAACCAAATATTTTACGAGGGTGAGCACACCTTTTCAAAAGGCAAAGAGGGGACATTGGTCGAGGGCTTGTTTTCTCATTGGATACAGCCTAATAGAAACAATCGTCAGTGATGGCATTGAAGCTTCATGGTCTGTTGGTTTCATTGGGTTCTGTCAAACATAAGCCATAACATTTTACTGGCATCCATGTAAGGAAAAAGGCCATCACAAGGTAAAGGAAAGCACTGGGAGTTCAAAGCAATGGGAGTTCAAAGAATTTCTTCAATAACAAATGCATTTAAATTTTAGCCACCTAAAGAGCCCACTTTCAGGCAGTGTAGATATGAAGGAGCCTTCACGCAATTTGGCTATTGAAATGTGAGCAGAAGCATCTCGAAAAGTTTGTAAAACTCTTCTTTTTTTGTGTGTGTGTGTAGTCCGAAAGGGAAAAGAACACCACCATTACCGTTTTGGTGGGAGTGATAACACGTGGCTAGGATGTGACCCAGAATGTGTCTTTATTAGGCATGGATTCAGGGATGATAAAAAGCCTCCTAACATCTCGTAACTGCCACATTGGATCTTTTATCATAGTCACAGTACATATACGTTGCACAAGAAATGAAAGGGGGAATTTTTTAATGAGGGGGTTTTCTTGTTAGACAAAACCAAATTGATTCATCAAACAATGAAGTTTGTTTATAGGGGCCCCTAATTGTTGTCGGTAGACAACAATGGCCCCTCTGCTTTTTCTGGCCTGCCTGTGAGATTCACTTGCTTGTGTCATGCATCTCTCGCAAATTTTCGCACTCTACGGACAGACAGGAATTTTTTTAACACCCAAGGACTAGTGATAATTGAATACACAACAAAACACTCGAAACACCGTGAACCTCTATGCACATGCCAGAAGGCATAGATTAACATAAACCATTGAACAAAAGGGAAAACTGAGATGTCCTAACCGTCTGTTGTTCTACTCAGACTCACGGCTCGATCCTAGTCTGAGTGAGTTGACTCATGATTGAGTTCGTCAACCTATGCTACCACCCAAGCTTTTTTTCTCTTCTTTACATACAGCTGTCGTCCTTTACATGAGACAAGATCACGCATGTTTTATTTGCTTAGGCGCTGTCTTCTGAGAATAAAGCTAAGCAAGTACCAGCTTTTCAGTTTTGCAAGGTTGCTTCAACAATACTCACTCATAACATGTTTAGTGAAAGTGAAATTATCTTGAAGTTTTCTTGTTAGAGAAGGAGAGGTCATAGTAGATAGTACAAGACTGCACATCTTAGTGTGGAAACGGAAGTTAGGCAGGTCATGTAACTTATGTAACGAGCAGGTTGTATTGCTGGTTGTTTATTCGAGAACTAGTAAAAAGACCCACCATTCAAACCAACTATCTACAGTATGACATTGTTCTCTCTTGGTGCCTCTCTTTCTCCCAGTGTACAACTCCAGGCGGAGTCACTCGTATGCCTCAGTCTACCCTCGGTCCTCTTCGCCGACCGGGCTGTCTGCAGACTCTGCGAGTCCCATGTTGGGAAAAGCGGCGTCGCCGTCATTTGCATCCACAGAGGTGAATCGGAAGCCGGAAACAATCAGGCAGCATCATGCTCCCATTGGAATGTCTACAACCTCGGCGAATGAAGCCCTGTCACAGAGGCGTGGATTCAAGTGGGGAAAAAATCCTTTCCGCTTGCAGCCATCGGAAGTGAGTTATGACAACCTCTCAAGCTGCTCAACTTCGACCGTTCAGTCTGAGGCAACGCTCCAGTCCGACATAGGAACATGCATTGATGTAGAAAGCCTGGTCAGCTTGGAGGAGAAGTAAGTTTTCAGATATAAGTTGCCTTTGTTTTTGTTTTTTTTTTTGCTTTTGAGCTCTTTGATAAGCCGGCTACACCTATTGTTGCACAGTATTAACTGAGCAACTGTGCCCCACTCTGTTGAAGAAAAAGAAACTGAGGTGACATCGAGGGCATTCGCACGTGGGTGGTGCAGCAGTTCACCCCTGGGATTGGCAATAAACGGATGTGTTTCTTTCACGTCTGGGCAACCAGTCTTTTCGCTACATTGTTAGTGCTAAAGCCCAGTACCAGGGACCTTTAATGAATTTTATGGTTCAGGATATTATAGGGGCGATGGCAATACGAACTTGAAACTGAATTTCCTTTCGCGTTTTCCCTTCCCTTAGTATAGCAGGTACATGTTTTGAAGCATGAGATTACATTCATATGTGAGACACAGTGTTAATGAGAAATAATAGACAGTAATCTCTCAGGAAGTAGAGATGTTATCCATACGAATTGTTATATAATTGTAAGGGATGTTATCATATAATTGGGAAGAAAGTAATGTGCATGAAAAAATAACTTGCTGCTGGCAGTGGCCGAACCTAAATAACATTCCCTGTGCTTTTTTTGGCATTACTGTCCTCGAGTTTGCATTATTATTGTATCTAACGAAGCAAAACAAGCCCTTGAAATACCCCTTCTTTCCTTCATTCATGTGTAAGGTAGCCCACAAGGGTCGGTATTTTCAGTATAGACAGCTGAACGTAATGGATTGTCTATCTCCTAAACTTTTGTCTTTTCTATAATGCCTGCATAGCTTTAGACATAAGATATTATTCATGCCAGCTGTTTGACATGTGTTCAAGGTAATGATAGCTTTAATGTAAGTGTTGAAGTCAAAACTACACCGACATGACAACAATCGTGAATATTCGAAGCAAAAGTACGAGCATTAGTTAGCCTCCAGCTATCACATTTCAATCCATGAGTGCTGCACAGGTGAACTGTTTCTTTGTTGACTTTCCTTAAATTTTTGCTAATGCTACTTGTCTCAAAGGCCACGAGTACATGCTTGGAATAGTTGAAAAAAATCTGTTATAGTGAGACCACGTGAAAAAATACTTTATAAACAGTGAAAAAAAAAAAATGCATGGTTTTAATAAGGGCACCCAAGCTTGGCTCCTTCATGCAAATTTATCTACTTTTCTAGGCTGCTGGTGGTAAAAAAAAGTGTTGGCTTCTGGCTGCTTTCTGGCTATTTTCTTTTTTACTTGATTTGAAACAAATTATCAGTATCTGGTGACATTGCAGCCACCAGCGTTTTGAGTATGTAGTTTCAGAATATGCTGGCCAGGCCACCATGTTTTTGCTTCCAGAAATTGAATTCAGCCCTTGCATTACACTAAAGAAAACTCTCTTGGATACATGGATTGCACTTGGGAAAGCTGCTACATGGCACCTCTTTTTGTAGATTGTCCATTTCAGAACCCATCTTTAAATGGTATTTGGATGTGAACAGGGCAATCGAAAGTGCTCTGCGTCGGCAGAGCGATTGGCAGAGCTGTGCAAATAGCGATATTTTGGACACGGCTGAAGCGAAGATAAAGCTAGCCGGCTCATATCTGTTGCTGGGAAGGTACATGCAATAAGATTTCCCCACCTGTTAGCCCGGCTGTCTTGATGAATGCTCAAACAGAGAGGAAATGCCCCTGTTCAACGAACATGAAAAAACTCTAGATGGGGGAGTGGGGAATAGCTCGAGTAGCGACTTGCAAACTCTGATTTTACAGACACAGTCGCCATTGCTAGTGCACGTGTTACCCTGCTATCTCCGCAGCCATCAGCGGGCAGCTTGTATACCCTTCTACATGCTGCACTCTCGGCAGGAAGGGACTCTGCGAAAAGTGTTCCTGGAGTGGCTGTATTTTCTTACACTAGTGTTTTATAGAGTTGCATGAGATCGAATCTAGATGATTTATATGCCAGATTCACTTTGTATAACTTTTTAATTTGTTGCTATCACATTCATTGCACCTTCCTTGCGGTGAAACTGGGACTTTTTTCACAAGTACGATTACTTTGAATAGTCAATTTCTGGTGCGAATTGAATATAATAGCTTAACGTATTACGAAAATATTAGTTCGAATGCTTGCAGATCCCTAGAAATGGAATGTCTGACGAACTTCATGTGTCATTTGTTAGGTCTTGTGTCATCATTGCGGGAAATGAGTGCGATTCTACATTTTATGCTTCAGTCCGAGAAATTGGGTCTCAAGCATACTCATACCACACTCATTTTTATTGTCATGACTGCTGCTACTTCTAGTCCTTTTGAGAGTTATGCAAGACGTTTGTAGAGAATATCATTTTTTTTTTCAGGAGCACAAGAAACTTCCTTGTGTCCCATGAAATGATGGCTGAGTCAAAAATTTGTATTGTAATTTCTAAAGTTTTGATCTTGAAGGTCTTATATGCTCTACTTATGTATACTTTTTACTGGAATATTTCGTATTTATTAAGTTAATTAAAAAAATGTTTCAATGTTAGCACACATGTGACTTTTGACTACTTTTACAGCTCTTGGCTCAAGTTGGCTACATTATGGCTACTTTTTCTCATTTGCTGGCTAGTTTATGCCTTTTTGACCTGGTAATCATGCTTTCAATCCAATTTGTATAGGTTGGTTCAATTGAGGATTTTGTCGAAATGGAAGTTCGTTATATGGAGGTTTGACTGTAGGTGCACTGTGATCAAGCATACAGTGCAAAACACTTACTTGTGGTGCAGCTATTGCAGTATAAATTTACAGTGGAATCTTTTTGTTTGCTCTCTGACCCACCCTTCTTTTTGTTCATAACTTTCAGTGCAGACAACATTATTTCATTTGGCAACACATCACCCCTGGCTGAAGTGTCCGGCTCACCATGGGTTATTGACAGTCAACAGCTGATAAAAGGCAAACCACTTGGACAGGTAAGTGAGGCAGCAGCAGCAACATTCATAAACTTCAAGTCTTCCATAAATCGCATGGTCTTCATTGTATCGCTGATGCATAGTTATGTTCTTTTGGTGTTAGGCATGGTCAGGCCACAATTACTAGAAAGGTTTCAAATTCTGCTTAGTCAAGGTGCATAGCAGTGGAAATGACAGTTGCAGCATTCTTTTGCCACATGTAACCAACGTTGTGTATGTTGAGAATAGAGATTCACTCGCACCGACTTCAACTAAGTAATGCTGCCATTGGCAAGAATAATTTAATATACCTTCCTTGGAAAAGCACATGATCGTGTGGTGGGCTTATTCAGGTGATCTGTACCGGTTTTTTGTGCAAGGCTGAGTGCCACTGCCTGTATTCTTAGTTTTTCGATTATATGACGCCCGGATTGTAAGACAGTTCTGTGTGGTCCCCTGGAAGTCCTATAATCAGGGTTCCACTGTACGCAACGTTGCTTATGTCCAAGGTTACGTTACTGCTCAGGTGAAAAGGACTGGTCAGGCTCAGGAGAAAAGTGCGGGAATTGTTTTTTGAAATAGAATGTCATTGTGACACACAGCGCCGTGATATCCACGAAATGTGATCGTCGTGGATATCAGTTTGTAAGTTTGTGCAGAAGCACAAACTTACAAACTTTTTTGGGAGGTGTATAAAGAATTGTCTAAGCCTGTTTCTGGCCCTTCGAACAGTATATGAAGGGACAAGAAAAATATGTCCTGTTAAAACAAGAGTTCAGTTTACTGAGAGTTGAACAGGGGTGCAGAGTACATGTGTGGAAACAATCATATCATAGGCAGCTCTACTTGAGCAGCAATTCCATTTAAGAGATTGTTGTTCGCTAAGGGCCTGCTGTATCTGATACTCTTTTATTGCTTTCAATGTTTGTGCTGGCACCCGCCAATCTTTGTCATGTGTCTGTGTGCAGGGCTTTTTCGGGGAGGTGTATGCAGCCTCTCTCAAGAAATGGGCCGGCCTACAAGAGGAGACAGTGGCCGTCAAATGCATGCGCAAGACGTCCCTTCTGGAGTCTTTTCAGAGCGAGTCTGGGTTACGTGACCTGCAACGAGAAATAGAGATTATGAAGAGCCTCAGGCACCCCAATATTGTTGAAATAAAGGGCCTTGTTGAAGGTATGTGCAATGCGCTGTCTGGGAAAACTTGATATAAACCATTTTCTTTTAAATTCTTTTTAAAAAAACCACTTGTTGATGCCACTTTTCTCATGTGTTCTGCGCTTGTGGTGCACAACAGTGAGCTGCTGTGCCTTATTAACTTCACTATCTTTCGCATTATTTCATTGGATTTATAAGAACTGAATTGAGTTTATTGTAGTTCTAGTCATGATGTAAGCTTGCAAGCATTTTCCAATAATCTCAAGAGTATTGTTATGTTGGAGCATGTTTTTATGCATTTATTAACTCCTCTCTTATAGCATTATTTTACAATGTGATTTGGTAGATCAACTAAGTAATTTTATAATCTTTTTGCACCTGTCGGGCCTGAGCATTTACAGTTTTGTTATCTATGTATCTCACAGGTTTTTAAAGGCAAGAAAGCCTCCACTATTCCTTTGTGTTCAGTTTTTGGGAGGTGACAGGTGACCGAGTGCATTTATTATTATTTTTTCATGATATAAAAACGATGCGGTTGTCTATTCTTGCTTATATGTAAAAAAAAGAAAAAGAAGTTTACAAGCATAATGGGAAATGCACTGCTTTTTAAAGGGAAGCTGAAGTGTTCTTTGAATACACTAAAAACTCGTGGTTACATTAGAGATGTCGTAATTATTTTTGCAATTTTTGCAACAGGGGCTTTAGAAATTGCAAAAGAAATGTTTGTCTAGATACACCCATGCTATTGCGCTGAAATATTTGACAGGCAAATGAACAAACCGGAACCTAATCTTTGATTCTGTTGGCTACACTTCAACAAAAGTTTCTTGCCACTCACTGATCTAAACAAGCTGGGAGAGTGCTGTTTCTATACCATAGTAAGTATAGAGACGCTGAAAGTTCTGCAGCTGGATTACTATAACTGCCAGAATCACAAATAGCCGAGCACAATATAAAGAAGTGTCTATTGTATCTTCAACAGCGGCTTTCAATGACTTCACTACGTTTGCTTAGCATTTTCGAGAAGCCCTCCGACTGCAGCCGCCTTCTTTTGCCAACAAAGGCTATTCGGATTCACCTTTTCGAACTGTCACATCTATTTTCAAATTCAGTGGGTATGAAGTTACAATTGCACATTCCAAAGAATTTTTGTAAAAAGTGCTTCAGCTTCACTGTGAGCATTTAAAAATCTTTGAATGTTGGAAAGGGGATGCATCTCAATAAAGACAGTGGGCGACGAAAAAAGAAAATCCTTCGGCAAACACACAAGAGATGGCAATAGAGCATGAAAAGGCTGCCTTATGCTGCAGGATGATTTTTTGAAGGAAGAATTACTTGCACATGCGTGTCAGCTTCCGAACCATTCCTTTATCCTATCTGTAGGAACGCATGTGTTTCATGCAGTGTAGACGCACCTCCAAGCAGGCGCATTTCATGGCCAAAAGAAGAAACTAAGAGAAATGAGCAAACAACGGGAAACGAGCAAATATGTATGCTTCTAGAAAGATGCGACAAACGGATGGTGAAACCACCTCAGGGCTTGAAAGCTTGATGTTACTGTGCAGAAACTGCTGAAGAGAGTTGAAAATGTTGGGGTATGTTAGGTGCTCTAGGTGAAAAACGTGAGAGTTTACCAGGATGTCAGCAACACGGGAAAAGTTAGTGGTAGAATGCATAGAAGCGTGTGTTGATTAAAGTACTTGTAGCCAGTTCTGTTTGCCATCACGTTTTGAGTGTTCGGCTGCAGAGATGTGCCAAATGCTACCTATTGCACAGATTGAGACATGAAGCTATAGGTTGCTGTACTGTTGTGCAAATTAGTCTTCGAATTTTCCACTGCAGTTGATTTCATTGAAAATTGGTGGTCCTTATATTTTATTGGCTGGTTTCATTGGCGTGCTTGTTCATTTTTGTTCAGAGCCAGAGGTGATGCTAGTCATGGAGTTCCTCGAGATGGGCTCCCTGCTGACATACCTACAGACGTACCGTGACAAGGTCACTCATCCACAGCTCATCAAATACAGCGAAGACATCGCAAATGTGAGTCACTCCTTCGCACTAACCCTAATTTCATATACAGTCGAAACCCGCAATAACGAAATCACGCGAGTACGAACTCCCCGCGGCAACGAAATATTTCCGGATCCCCGGCGAACGTTCATTGAAGCCCATGTATTACGTATCTCGCGGTAACGAAATGTTTTTGAACAGCGATCCCGCATTAACGAATTTTCTACCACGGTGCAGGCCTTATTTTACCCTCCCGCGAAAGGTTAACTGTCGAAAATATGCTCGTATGCGTGTTATGCGCACTCAAAATTTGTAAATGTCTGCTTTTAATACACTGCTAGCCGCAGTGGTCTAATGGCTAAGGTACTCGGCTGTTGACCCGCAGGTTGCGGGTTCGAATCCGGGCTGCGCCGACTGCATTTTCGATGGAAGCGAAAATGCTGTAGGTCCATGTGGTCAGATTTGGGTGCACGTTAAAGAATCGCAGGTGGGCGAAATTTCCGGAGCCCTCCACCACGACGTCTCTCATAATAATAATATGGTGGTTTTGGGATGTTAAAGCTTACATATCAATCAATAAAAAAGTTATCAAAATCAAGCGTATTCATTAAAAGTTTAACATTTTGAAATTATGAACATTTCCTTTTAAATAGCAAGGCATCGTTCGTTTCATGGCCGATCCCCCATGGTGGGTTGTGCCAAGATAAAAGGGACTAACAAACAATATAGTAATATACCGGCCATCGTTTTGTTAGAGCTTGCATTTCTCCTACATCATATGCAGTATTGCACAATTGTAAAATCTCGACACAATGAATCTTAAGGGACTGATAATAATCATTTTTTATTTTCAAAAGTCGCTCTAGCAAAAATGTAAAAAATTTTTGCAAAAAACGGAAATGCAACCACGTGAGTTGCCCACTTAAGCTGGGTATGCATCCCCGATTGCTTTATGCTCTTACAAGCGGCAGAAAACAAATATAAAATATTTTAGAACGAGTTTACGTTTATTTGAGGAAGAGCGCTCTCTTTTCCTGATGGGTACAGCTCGACTGCTGCAAGACGCTCTGTAAGATTGAGCATCTTTCATACACACTTCAAATCATCAGCGTTGGTTCATGCAAACCATGTTATCGTTGTGCTTGCTCTCTTCGACCTTGTTTCAGTTTTTATATCATGACATATTGTCACGACGTCAAAACAGAGGTCTTGCCGCAGAGATTGAGACACCAGAAGCAGGTCGATCTTTTTAATTAGAACGCGCAAGCGAGTTCTTCTTCTTCGTACATTTCGTAGTCCTTCGTGGCACATGCACAACTGCCATCGCCTTTCTTGAGCAAGCACGTGACATTTTCCTCCCTCCGAAAGAAGCATCGTCCCGATGCGCAACTTAGGTACTATACCAGGCGTATGAAGTGGTCGTACAAAAACGGTAACCGGGAGCTAATTAACTCGATAAATACGGTTTTATACGCACGGCGTGCACGACTTCGGGCAAACACTTTTGGCGCTTAGAACTACAATCAGTGTCGGGAACGACTTCGTAGTTCACGTCGTTCAAGTGTCGCGTGACGCTGTATGGACCAAAGTACCGTCTTAGCAGTTTCTCAGACAGTCCACGTCGACGTATCAGAATCCCGATCCACACTTTGTCACCTGGTGAGTAGCTAACAAACTTGTGTCGGGTGTCGTAGCGTTGTGCACCTTGATGCTGCTGATGACAGATGCGCACGCGCGTGAGCTGTCTCGCTTCTTCGGCATGCTGAGTGAATTCTTCGGCGTCTACAAGGATGTCGTCACACTCATGCGGCAAAATGGCGTCCAATGTTGTCGTGACTTCGCGACCATAGATCAGACTGAATGGTGTCATTCCAGTGGTTTCTTGTCGAGCGGTGTTATAAGCGAAGGTCACGTAGGGCAATATCTGATTTCAGTTTTTATGTTCCGTTTCAACGTACATGCTGATCATGTCTGTGAGGGTCCTATTTAGGCGCTCCGTCAGTTCGTTTGTCTGCGGATGGTATGCAGTTGTTCTCCGGTGAGCTGTACCGCTGAGTCTGAGAACCGACCCCAAAAGCTCTGTGGTGAAGGCAGGTCCTCTGTCTGTGATCACTGTTGTCGGAGCGCCATGCCGAAGGACGATGTTTTTGATGAAAAATTGAGCGGCTTGTGCTGCTGTGCCGCGCTGCATAGCTTTAGTCTCCGCATAGCGGGACAGGTAATCAGTGACCACAATAATCCATCTGTTCCCTGTTGTGAAAGTTGGAAAGGGACCCAGGAAATCCATTCCAATCTTGGTGAACGGCTTTTCTGGTGCTTCGACTGGATGTAAAAGACTGGCTGGCTTGCTGGTAGGCGCTTTGCGTCTTTGGCAGTCGGTGCAAGTTCGCACGTGATGGTTAACAGCAGCAGGTAACTTTGGCCAGTAGTACTTGCATCGTAGTCGGCACATCGTGTTCGGGTGTAGCCTAGATGACCAGAAGTTGCTTCATCATGGCACGCTTCTATAATTTCTTTTCGAAGAGATGCACGCACGACGAGCAAGTGCGGGTTACCGGTTGGTGAGAAGTTTTCCTTATATAGATCATCATTTCGCAAGCAAAAAGATGGCAGTCTTCTAGCAAGTAACCGCGGCACGTCTTTACATCGTCCTTCTAAATATTCAATGAGTAATAACAGCTCAGGGTCACTGCGCTGCTCTCGTGCAATAGTGGCCATGTTGACAACTCCCAAGAATGCCGCATCGATGTTTTCGTCATCAGGAGCGACAGTTTCCACTGGCGACCATGAGAGACAGTCGGCGTCAATGTGCCTCTTCCCAGATCTGTAGACAACGGTCATGTCAAACTCTTGAAGTCTTAGGCTCCAGCACGCCAAACAACCAGATGGATCCTTAAGGTTGGTGAGCCAGCACAAAGAGTGATGGTCGCTAACAACCTTGAAGGAGCGGCCGTACAAATACGGACGAAATTTGATGACTGCCCACACCACGGTGAGACACTCCTTCTCAGTGCTCGAGTAGTTCTCCTCCGTGCGAGAGAGAGTTCTGCTGGCATAGGCTATTACTCTTTCACAGCCGTCTTGCCACTGCACCAGAACGGCACCTAGACGTACATTGCTGGCGTCAGTGTGAAGCACTGTAGGGGCGTCCTGGTTGAAGTGCGCAAGGACTGGAGGTGTTTGCAGGCGTTGTCGTAGTTCATTGAATGCGATTTTCTCCTGTTCACCCCAAAAGAAGGGGATGTCCTCACGTGTGAGTAGTGTCAATGGCGCCGCAGTAGACGAAAAGTCCTCGATAAATCACCGGTAATAGGCGCACAACCCTAAAAAGCGTCTCACAGCCTTTTTGTCACGGGGTGCAGGAAATTGCGCTACGGCGTCTATTTTGGCCGGGTCAGGTCGAACACCCTCGTGACTGACGACGTGGCCTAGGAAGCCGAGTTCGTTGAAACCAAAATGACATTTTTCTGGTTTTAAAGTCAGGCCGGCTGAGCGTATGGCTTGGAGTACGGTGAATAGACTGCTGAGATGTTCCTCGAATGATGCTGAGAATACAGCTACATCGTCCAGATAGACCTAGCATGTTTGCCACTTCAGGCCCGATAATACGGTGTCCATGCGACGCTGAAAAGTGGCTGGCGCCGAGCACAACCCAAAAGGAAGCACCTTAAATTCATAAAGGCGATCAGGCGTCACAAAAGCCGTTTTTTCACGATCTCTCTCGTCGACTTCTATCTGCCAGTAGCCGCTTCGGAGGTTCATTGAAGAGAAATAGCGCGCATGACGCAGCCGATCGAGTGAATCGTCTATGCGAGGCAGTGGATAGATGTCTTTCTTCGTGACTTGGTTCAACTTGCGATAATCAATACAGAAACGCAAGCTGCCGTCTTTTTTCTTGACCAAAACCACGGGGGATGCCCAAGAACTTTTCGAAGGTTGTATGACGTCATCCACGAGCATCTTCTGTACTTGCTTTTGAATCTTCTCGTGTTTTGTCGTAGCCACACGGGGGGGGGGAGGGGGGGGGCAGTTCTGCTGAATAGGTCGCGTGTTGTTTTCAGTAATGATGCGGTGCTTGGTCAATGGTGTCCGCTGGACCTTTGATGCACGGGAAAAGCAGTCTTCGAATTGGTGTATAAGTCCAAGCAGGCACTTCCTATCAGAGGGCGGTAGCGTGGAGCAGATGTCCACCAACAAAGTTGTCGAGGCAGGGACTGTTGCGTCATCTGGTTGCAAAGCACAGCAATCCCCAGCTTGGTCTATATTGTCGAAGTAGGCAATTGTGGTACCCTTCTGGATTTGACGGCGCTCGTTGCTGAAGTTTGTGAGGAGCACTTCTGCCTGTCCACCAGTAAGCGTTAGAATGCCTCTCGCGATGGAAATGCCTTCCTTGAGCAAAAGAGCGACTATGTGCTCCACTGTCACATCTTTATAGGAAGGCCACCCAATGGACACAGACACAAGGCAGCAGGATCTCGGTGGGAGCGTCACATCGTCGGCTATTCGCAAACGGCCGCGTAGTTCGTCGCTGCTGTCGTCGACATACGGATGTGCGCAAAACATCACCATACGTTGAGGGATGTTGATAACAGCGCCATGATCTCGAAGAAAATCTATGCCCAAAATTACCTCTTTATAGCAGTCTGGCAACAGGACGAAAGTGGCCACGAAGCTGGAATCCCCAATGCGAAGTCGAGTGGTGCATTTATCCGTGGGAATCATCAGCTCACCACCAGCACTCCTTATGTGCGGCCCTGTCCACTGTGTCTTGGCCTTCCTAATGCGGTCGGCGAGTTCTTGTCGCATGATTGAGAAGTCGGCGCCAGCGTCAACCAGTGCTGTAACGTTATGTCCGTCAATGAAAACGCCAAGATCAGCACGTACAACTTCATCGGCATTATTATTCGCCTTCGTATTCGTCGTCGTATTCGTCGTGGTTGTCGTCATATCTTCTTGCGATGATAGGGGGAACTTTTTGGTGTCTCGACGATTAGCAATCATGCCCCCAGAGGTCGCAGCAGTTAGTTTCCCCGGCGCAGGCTAGGCGAACGGCCTCTAGTGACGTCCGCGTAGCTCTGAGGAAAGTCACGGTGACGCGCAGGAGATGGAGATCGCCAGCGATGCGGTGTAGTTGCTTGGCCAGTCGACAGTTGATCGACATTGTGGGCACGACGGTCTTAAGAGCGGAAAGAAGCGGGACGAGAAAAGTTCTTGAAGCCAGAATCGCTATGACGGCAATAGCGGGCAATGTGACCTGGTTCTCTGCAGTGGAAGCAAATAGGTCGATGGTCGGCCATGCGCCACAAGTCAGTTCAGCGAACTGGTGGTCGTCTCATGGAATCCCGTTGCCACCAAGGTAGGGTCGTGGCTGGAAGGGTGTCACCATAAATGACGGTAAAGGACGACGGACCGCATCAGCGTAGCTCACTGGATGTGGCTCAGGACTTGGCGTGGGTGGTGTAGCGGCTTGCCTCAACTCCTGGCGGACGATTTCGGCAACAGATGCGACGGGCGGTTGGGTAGGAGGGACGCAGAGGGCCTGAAGTTCCTCATGCAGTATGTTTCTAATCATTTGTCGTAGGGAACTTTCACACACGGCAGTTCTCTGAGCTGCAGCACTTACTGCCGTGTGGTTCGGCAGGCGGTCAAAGTGTCGGTATCGTTGTCGCAATGCGCGCTCAATGACAGTCGCCTCTCTTATGAATTCATCTACTGTTGTAGGTGGATTTCGTACGAGGCCCGCAAACACTGGTTCTTTGACACCCTGCATTAGGTGACGCACCTTCTTCGCCTCGGGCATGTCAGGGTTAGCTCGTCGAAACAGACGGATCATACCCTCTGCTTACATGGCTGTTTCGTTGGGTTTTTTTAGGCGAGCCTCAATCAGTTGCTGTGCGCGATCCCGTCGGTCCGTGTTCGAAAATGTGACGAGGAGCTTTCGACGGAAATCTTCCCTAGATTGGAAATTAGCCTTGTGGTTCTCGTACCACGTGCGAGCGCTATCTTCCAGGGCAAAATATGCACGGCCAAGTTTGTGCTGTTCGTTCCAGTGGTTAGATACAGCGACCCGTTTGAACTGTTCGAGTCAGTTCTCGATATCCTCGTACTCTTCCCCATGGAAAACTTCAGGAACGCGAGGATGTTCAAGAGTCACCTGTGAGGGAAGAGTGGTATGCGATGGAAGGGTAGCCGTGTACGTGGTAGGAGCTGCCGTGCTGGTTAGAGGCGGAACAGGTGCGGACTCCGGACTTAGGCCTAGTAGGCGCTGACTGAATCGGTGCACCGGAGTCGTGATGAGGGGCTGGGTCTTTGGACTAGGTGAAAGGGTCCGAGCAAGACTGTCCTGCATCCGGTTGTAGGCTCCAGCACCTCCACCAGTGTCACGACGTCAAAACAGAGGTCTTGCCGCAGAGATTGAGACACCAGAAGCAGGTCGATCTTTTTAATTATAACGCGCAAGCGAGTTCTTCTTCTTCGTTCATTTCGTAGTCCTTCGTGGCACATGCACAACTGCCATTGTCTTTCTTGAGCAAGCAAGTGACAATATGATATACATCAATCGTCAGCTAACCCAACGTGTGTATTTCGTCGTCACATTGTGTGTAGTGTTCAAATGTTTGTGAAGCATGCACATGTAATCTTCGCTGACTTCATGCCATTGGTCCCTCACATTGCATTTTTCAATGTTGCCGCATGCCTTCCATGCTGCTTTTTGAGCTCGTATCCAAAGGCACGAAAACAGCCATGTAACAAGCATGCAGGCAGAGCTGCCTGGCGAAACAAACGAACGCGGCGAAGCTTGATGCAAAAGCTAGTACTGGTGATGGTGATGGCGATAGGGCTGTTGCACATTTGAAGGGGGCAAGCGCATAGCGTAATATAGTGAGGGCGTGCTGCTGATGATGACAGTGGCACATATGGAACTAGGCACAGTTTGTACAGTTGCTAATCACTTTTTTAAATTCCTATCCATAATTTTTTGAAGTGCTGTGGTGATATAGAGGTGATAAATTTCAATATGTTATTCTGAAACATTCGTTATTCTGAAATTAGTAGTAGTAAAATATTTTTACATTAAACCGATGGACATTTGGGGGGGAGGGGGGATTTTCGAAAATGTTGTTAATCTGAAAAAATCGTTAGCCTCAGTTGGCTATCACAAAATTTTATTGTATATCACTAAGTTAACATGCTTTCTCATGCGTAGCTCACATGAAGTACACACGCATACGGAAAATCCAAGAGCTAATGTTGGTTGGGTTATACACATGAGTTTCAGAGCGCAAGTGAGCTTTACGGCACTCTTCCCAGTACAGTCGAGTCGTGCTATAGCAAAGTTCGTTAGAACAAAACTTCTGCCACAATAAATAATTTTCTATCCCCTTTCATATGCCCATAGAAAAGCACTGCGAAAAATTTCTTGTTGCAATGTGTACTTTTCCTGCAAACTTTCACTTCAACAAAGTTTTCGTGAGTGTGCTGCATAAGAAAAAAAAAAAATTGCTGCTCGATTCCGCCACCAACTCTACAATTTATTGCCGGCTCGTGACTGTCATAGACGTGCAGCCGCACTGCTACACTTGCATCTTCACTGAAGACATGCTTTCTGCTATGACACGCAGATCCCAGTAAGTTTTTACAGCGAAAGGAGACCACAACAAGGGCCGAATTGGGTGCTGTAGTTGTCCACCCTTGGTGCCGCCGCCGATGTTCGTAGCCTTTGTTACACGAGATAAAACAAAAAAAACTGAATAAAGAAATACCGAGAATAGAATGATATTCGAACTCGTGTTCTCTCCGTGGCAGCCCAGTATACTGTCACTGGGCTACGGCTGTGCTTGAAACTCCGTTGCAAGCTGATTCTACGCAGGCTTCATCTCAGTTAAAGCATCATTGTTCATCTCAGTTAAGGCTTCATCAGTTAAGGCTTGTTGCTGAGGTTTTGCTAATTTTACAGCAGAGATGTTATGATCAAGGTTTGTTGTGTGTCATAGAGTGAAAAATATCATCATCATCATCATCCAGCACATGCTCAATACATGCCCACTAGCTCTGCTGTGACCCAACTTTGGGAGACTCAGTTGAGGCTGCGAAATTTTTTTCAATATTATCCTCTAAACAGAAAGTGCAGCTTTTTTTAAAAAAAAAGACAGCAGCACTTCTTTCAAGCTCTTGCTAGAAGCATGTTTTTCGCACCTTTTGGAACAGGGTATGCAGTACCTGGAGGAGAAGCGCATTGTGCATCGGGATTTAGCTGCACGGAACATACTGGTGGCCTCTAAAGATCAGGTCAAAATCAGCGACTTCGGCCTCGCTCAGTTCACGGACAGCCAATACTACTACTACATCCGTACCAAGAACCGCAAGCTGCCCATGAAATGGTATGAGCCCATCTTGGCAAACTCAGTGACCTGCCCCATGTTTGCAGTTTGTGGCAAAGCGACTATGCAAAAATCCGCAAGGTGGAGGAAGCTTTCTGTTTGTCAAAGATTGTTGCCTACATGGACTTCCTTTTCTTGAAATAAAGTGCTTTCGCGGGTAGTTCTGTGTTACTGCTATAGTCAAGCCTTGATATTATGAAGCCATACTTGCAGTGGAAAACTATTATATATCACAAATTTGTGAAAGTGGAGGTTCTTACATTTAAACAGCAAAAAATAAATTTATGGCTTTCTTTCTTGATAATTTCTTGGACCCTGCGATAAAACACTTTTGTTTTAATGAATGAGACAATTTTGCAATTTTGAATACTCATAGGTATGACAATATTTCCCGCTTGTTTTTAGCATACAGGTCCATCAACCACCGTAAAAAATGGAATATAGGTCGACCCTCCAAAGCTCAAAAAATAAATTAAAAAAAAAAATTGCAAAGTATCACAGTGCTCCCTTGCCTTAGTAAATATGCGACACAACCATCTGCACTGCGGTGACATTATTTTTTATTTGAACACTAATCTTGTGTAGTTCAATGCCAGAAGGCCACAAAGTGCTGTCACTCATCCGCACTTGAGTTCGACGACTTTTGTTTTTCAATAATAACATTTTATCCAAAGCATTACTGATACAGTATGTGCGGAAAGACGGAAGTACAGCACTTCAGTGCAAAGCCCTTCCACCTCATAAATCAGTGAAACCACAATGGTGATCCCTTGAATTGCACCCTCTTGAACGCAGAGTTGCGCGCTATCTCGAGAGCTTTCACACGAATGGGCTCCGCTGTTACGGGTGGCGACCTTGCACGCAGCTCTTGGACGAATTCGGGGAGTAGCGTTTCCAGTTCTGGGTCCACTGCAGTTCGTCCACAAATAATATATATATTTTTTTTGGTTGCTGCAGGATGTAATGCGCTGGTCTTGGCTCCTTCAGTCGGTATCGGACGCTTTTCTCCGAAGCAGCAAATTCCCGTTGTGCCGCCAGGTTGCCGTGCGCTTCGCATACTCGATAAGTTTTTTTTCTCAAAGCCTATCGTAAACTTCTGTCGACTACCACTCATTTCTGAAGGAAATAGAGAAGAGAAAACAGCAGACTGACAGCTTATGACCGAGGCAAAATGGCGTTGCTAAAACAATATAGGCCTTGCCAATCCTTGCCCAACGGCGCCGCTGCTGATGCTCACGATAGCGATGGACGCTTTCGACCTCAGCTGCCGATTGTTGTGATACTTCCACATTTTTTTCTGCCCGTGACCGGTATACAAGACGAGGATCGTCTTTTCATTGTGTTTTTTTTACATTCGGATCAATATTCAGGTCTTTACTGTATGTCTGGTTAGAAATGCAGCACTCGACATGCATTCAGGCGACTTGATGCATGAAGTGAGCGTAAATGTTCAAAACGTGCGACTTGTAAAATTGTTACTTTCAGCTAATCGAGGTGCTACTCATGTTAAGTGCCCACTGCCTCTACGACAATTTCAATGAACAGAACTCCAAACCTTGACTATGTCTAAAAGAAATTAAAGCCTCTTTGACAACGGTGAAATTTCAGTAAGTGAAGCTGGCGAGCAAGCACCACTACATCGCAAAGCCAGATGGAGTTCTTTCTTCATCTTGCTATACGATGCTGTTCATGGCTGTGTTAAGGTTACCCTCTAACTTCTTCCTTTCCTTCTTCCTCATCTCTACACCATTCCGCCTCCCCCTCACTTTCCTTTTCCACCCCCTTGCTATATGATATTATGCATGTACAGTAGGAGTTCTTGGCACATACTTGTTTGGTTTTCGTTAAGTAGTCTGGGGTGTTCTGCCAAGCTTTAAATAGCTCCATTGTAAAAATGCAGGTATGCCCCAGAGAGCATCCTCTACGGAAAGTTCTCGACCAAGTCGGACGTGTGGAGCTACGGTGTGACACTGTGGGAAATGTTCTCCTATGGTGAGGACCCTGTCATACAGGGTGTCACCCAGGAGAACTTGGGCAACGAGCTGCTCCAGGGTAAGCGACTGGCTTGTCCTGCAGACTGCCCGGCCAACCTCTACCAGCTGATGCTCCTCTGCTGGGCGAGTGACGCCCACAAACGGCCCGAGTTTCGCAAATTAAGGACATGGTACACAATCTGTGACCCTTCTTGTCCTTGTTGTCACAATACCTTGCTGCTCTGAAAGGACCAGGCTCGCTATTTTGTAATGATGCCCTCTGCTTAGTCTTATCATCTGCAGCATGCAGTTGGCTGATCTCATTGACACAGGGCCAGAACGTCGCTCTGGCTGTTGTTGTAAAGGCCAACTCCGGCAATTTTTCGAGGTCAATGGATCTCAATGATATTCACTGGGCATGTTCATTTGCACGTTTGCGCCATTCATGCCAATTGCAGGATTGAGAGTACTGTAGATTCTTTTCAAATTATTTATAGATAGCTTGCCTCCAAATGCTTACCTTGCTTGTCAAATGGCAACATTGTTTGTGTCATGTTGAGTTTTGCCTGGCGGAAGTGACGGCACTGATGTGCCACTGCAGCATCTGCTTGTCTGCTATGAATTGTGTAGGTTTGGCCGTCATTTTCTTGGTTGAGCATGCAATTTCCTTTTCCGTGTTGGTGGGCGTGCAGTAGATGGCAAGTAATGTTGCATTGTGGGCCACACATGATTTTCCGCATGTTAACCATAACAGCGTAAGCATTTTAGCCGATCGTCGCAGACGGCCTGGACAGCTTGTGCCATTTGGCGGGCATTATGTTCAATCAGGCAGGTTGCTGTGAAAGATTACGTCACACGTAGAAGCGCACCTGGTTGGGTTTCAGTTTCAGTATTGCGGTTTTTGACCAAGTAAAAATTATTTTCGAAATTTTTGAGCGTTTCAGCTATTGGATGTATGACAAAAGTACCCGGGAACATAAAAGCACCATTATTCTGTCATGGTAAAAAAATTACCAGAGCTGGCATTTATGTGAAAAGCACTACAGGCATTAGGATTGAAGAGTGGCATCACTACTAAATCGTGGCTCAGGTTGATGGACAAGGATGCTAAATGGGGCTGGTTATTGGTTCTGCCAGCATAAATTGAAATGTGAAGATCACAGAGAATGCCTTTGAATGCGGGACCGTCTGGGAATGCACCGGGGACTCATTCTGCTGTGTCACCAAGTCTCAGTGATCAAGAGGCGTAAGTTGCTAAGCCAAAGAAAGTTGATGTAATGAACGAGGTGAAAAGTCTGTGATCAGCATTATTTTTATGCTAGATTGTCATTCCAAGCATTCGATGTGACGTCTGTCACTCCAGCGAGAACTTACTCTGCATGTGATGTCGTGCAACTGCAAACGTATTCTTGAAGTTGACTGGACTTGGAGTACAGTGTCAGTTGCTAAGCATGCAATGGCATTGGCATAGCCAGAGGGTAGCACACCAAGCCCGTGCCCCCCCCCCCTCTCACTCTTCTGAATTTTTTTTTCTCCATTGCATACAGAGCACGAAATGACACTCAACTATATCTGCCTGCCCAGCCCCACTTCAAATAAACTGGTCCTTTCCCCCCTGAAAAAAAAAATTTCTGCTTACGCCCTTGTGCAATGGCTTTGAAGCATTGTCTCAAAACATGCATTTCTCATGCAGGTATCACAGATATGGGCTGGACGTAGATAAGTGAAGTCACATTAGGCTGTATCACAAGTAGTCCATATTTCATTGTACCTGTGTGTGTTGAAAGAATATGGTACAAACGCTGAATAGCTTTCCCTACAGTGTTCGGGTCAGTGCCTGCACTGCCTTGCGCTCTCCTTTCCATTCTCTCTCTGGAAGTGCCGTTCCTCTTTTGTGAAAAGGAGGGGTGAAACAGCGAACTCTCAATATTGATTGATGGGGTTTGGAAGCCAGTATTTTCACATTTTCTAATATTCACTTTCTTTACTCCATCAATTTTTTTTCTCTCTCAAGTTCTTTTTCACAGTGATGCTCAAGACATGCAGGGCAAGGTTCCCTTGCCTTGAAGACGTGTGTGGAAGTCTTATCCTCTGAAAGTCAGTGATCTCTTATAACTCTCATTGTTCTTCAGTCTGCCTGCTTTTGTTCCACATTGAGTGCCCTCGCCTGTTCTTTAGTACAAGATTTCAAGCAATCCATCACAGCTGTTGGGTTGCTGTGCATCTGACGGCTATGCACGTGCTGTTCGCTTATCGTATAAAATTCATCTTAATGCATGGTTAGGCACCGTGTTTTTTTATTGAGATCAATTATATGGACACTCTCAGCTGGATTTCGCTGCCGACGTCAGCATCATGCACCGTATATGCATACGTATCTATATATGAAAACATAAGAAAGAAAAATGCAGAAAAAAGACTCCAACGCTCGGAATCGAGCATGGGACCTCCGCGTCGTTAATGTGAGATGTTAACCACTGAGCCACCCAGGGGTACGTCCTTCAACGTTCAAACGGCAAGCTAGAGCACACGGCGGCTCTCATCTCTCACGCGTACTTCGGTCTGCGGAGAGGAGGGGAGTGGACGATTTGTTGTGCACCCTTATCTTCCGATGTGGAGGATCTTCTGTCTTGGCTGGCGTTGGGCTTGCACTGCAACAATTCTGTTGTAGTTGCGGGGCGCACAAAGGTCACTGCAATCGTTGCACTGCCTCCATTTGCGAAAAGGGCGCGTTTTTCTGACTAAGCGAAGTAGCAACTGAGAAGCTTACTCGCGTTCATCTGTACCTGTGAGTAAGTTTCGTGCGTCATTTGTGCTTGAGAAACGCGGGGCATGTTTCAATCTGCTTGCCATGCTGTGCGGGACCTCCCAATTTGTTGCTATTGTGTTCATTGCTTCGCCCTTGCGGCAAAGCTGTGACTTTTTTTTTTAAAGGGCAAACATTGCATGTATATCATTTGCACAGTTCGAGACATGTGGTTTTTGCTACATGGATACTGCTGTTTGTGACATTACCATGAAAGTCAATTTAAAAATATATACATTTGTGGGCAATCAACCTCCTGATAAGGGAAGTGAGTGTGCTCATACTCAGTGGTGCTTGCTATTGGAAAGAGTCATTGGGAGTTTGCAGTATAAATGAGACAAAGTAGTCATGCCAGTACTGTGGTGTTTTCATTTGCACCCCCATAAAGGATTTCTAAAACTATTACACCAGGCAGGAAATATTGATTAATGCTCTTTCCTCTTCTATTAAGACCTCTATAGTACTTACTTTTATTGTCACATCTCGGCTTTCAGCCATCTGGTTTTGCAGGGATCAGTCACTGCTGTGGTGGCCACATTTCAATTGGATTGAAACGCAAAGATACCTGTGTAGTTAGATTTAGGTGCATGCAAATGAATATAGGCGATCAAAATTATTTGGGAGCCCATTAATGCAATGTTTTTATTATTCAGATCACCGTTTGTACACATAATACCCCTGAATATAATTTTCTTTGACGCCCCCCCTTGCACTCGAGTAATTTTAGCTTGCGTCCACTGTTTCAATCTCTTGCTTCCTTTTTTCAGGTATACTTTCAGATAAAATACAGGGCGCTAATAGAACAGCTGCAAAGCCTGTAACAGGTATTACAAAGTGTCTGTTTTCGACTTTGATGCATGCTTCTAAATACAGTCATAGAAAACTTGGGAGTATTTACCAATGCATGGTGCAATGAGCAGCACTAAGGGGATCTGCCCGCGGCCCTGTGCAAAGCTGAGTTAGTTGGTGCTTTCATATGCAGTACAATGTGCTATTATGCCAAAGGTTACGTAAATTAGCACCAATGCTTTTGTCATTGAGGCTGCCTGTATGAATGGTTATACTACCACAAAATCCCGAGAAAGTGCCCCCTTCTCTTCTTTGCGAGGTTTCAAATACTATGCGGCCTCTTCGCCAACTCCCACCATTTCCACTGTTTTGTTCACTGTGCTTATTTTCCCAACCAGGGCGAATGAAAGCAGTGAGTGCATGCGTATTAAATGAAGCATTTAACTAAAAGCATGGATGTGCATTCTTTATTTTAGCGACTCTTCCACCACCATCTTCATTTTTGATCCATTCTCGTTCAAAGGCCCCCTCCAAACCTTGTCCTTCAACGTAAGGGGTGCACTTGCTCGAAATTTCATGTTACCTAAACTGCTGCCTCACTTGTAGGTGCTCTCCCCCAGAACTAGAATTCTTTAGTGCACTTTTAATACTCTGTTTTTATGTAGTACTCTCTTCCTTCAGCTGTTGTTAGATTCAGGAGTTGGCAGTGTGGTGATGTGATGTCAAAGAAAAAAGTTTTTTTTTTATTGGAAAGAATGGGAGGGGTAGCTTTGGCTCTACGGATGTTAAATGATACTGCCATATGCTTCATAAAGAAAAAATCGTTGCTCTTCATTTGGCATTGCCAGAGACAATTTGTATAGCCAAAATGGAACAGACAAATACAGCATTTAAGTGGGGCATATTATCTACAACATGACGGTGTTCACCTGTGTGCAGAATTCGAGTGCTGTTGAATTTATTAGCTTAGCTGAAAGAGCTGTTTAAACCTGTACTCGTTATTGAGGCAGCAATCTGTATATATCTGTATATGTTGCTTGAATTTGGGGTTGGTAAGAGGCCCAGTGTTTTTTGTATACTTTTCCACTTTATCTGTCGATTTCTTATGTTTTAGCCACACTCCATTCTTTATTATTCTTAACCTTGTATCTTACACGTCGCTCTATGAGTAGTCGCAGTAAAAATGGACACTTTTATTTGGGGTATGTGTAGATTTCTTGTGTTGATCACTTTTACAGTCTACGTATGTGGGCAGTTGTTTTAATGGCGAGTTTGATACGAAACATGTTTGTTTGTTTTGTGCATTTGCCAAATATAGATTTTATTGCAATGATGGTAACGAAACGTCATTTTACGCCAATATCCTTCTCTTGTCTGTCTTATTTACCTGTACTTTAGAAACTAGATATACTAGTACTTTCATATGATCACAACTTCTGTATATATGTCTCCTTGTTTTTTGTTTATTTTTTTCAGCTAAGTTGTTTGTCACTTACTTTGTGCAATATTTCTGGCTTTTGTTTAAGACAGCTTAGTCCTCATTAAAACACTGCACCTTGTGTATAGATATTTGAAGTAGTCGATTAAAAAAGGTATCTGTTGAGTACAATCATATGGAAGCCATTATGCTATAAGTCAGGTGCAAAAAAAGCATGTTAAATGTTGTTATGTGCCTCGAAAGTTGACTTTTATGGTCACAGTTGGCTTTGCTAAGTGTTATAGGCAGCTAGAAAGTTACCATGTTTCATGTCAATGCAGTAACATTTTTGTGCCACCAAGCTAGCTTGTTGTTGTTTGTGTGTGTTACGGGGGGGGGGTGGAAAGAAATGCCAACAGTGCGGCACGCTGTTTTCATCGCACTCGAACCTCAGTGGCAACAAAGAGGTGTGAGAATGATTATAACCACCCAGGCTACAACACGTTAAAAAATAAATGTGAAACAGCCAAGAATGTAGATTACACTCACACTGTGTTTTTCTGCATGCACATTGTACATACAGTGATTACATATATAAAAAAAGAGCACGTGCAGTCCCACATGCACAAGTGAGTAGAAGGTCAAGCAGTGAAGCAGGCTTTTATCTCAAAATATGCCATTTGACATTGTTCATCTGCCTCTCTATCCCTCTCTTGTTTTGCTAATTGTGCTAATTGTAACCGACTCTTCAATTGTTTACTGCACATATCTATGTACTGGGCAGTGCTCAACAATCTAATATAAGTAAGAATGGTGCTCCCTCCCACATTGCTTCTAATATATTTGCTAAGCATCATACGAACTTTTTACCAATTTTAGGCACTGATGGCATATTGTTAAAACAATTTCTATCGCATACATACATTTTGAAGTGTCAGCACTCCACTTAGTAATTTTGTATAATCAAGTTCATGTCATTTATGTGAAATTTATAGTCTGTGCCAGATGGATGCTTTGTGTTAAACTGTCTGCGTGCATTATTCCTTTGTGCTTAAGTGCAGTGGTCAAGACATCGGAGCTGTTTCTAATACGATCGTAACTTTCACTAGAGGTCGCTCCTTGCCTCATAATATTGAGGTATTGGTTTGTAGCATCCAGTTATTCGAGTTCTAGTTGCAATAGCATTTGTTCCCTTTAAAGATGCCTCATGTGTTCTATGATTTTGTATGGAGAATAAAAAGTTGTAATTGTAGCCAAGCATGGCTGCATATTAGGTTATCGGACGAGAACAGAAAACTTGCTGATATAGGAAGAAATTTCTCCCACAAAATAGGGTGGAGCCTAGGCTGCTGGGAAAAGTCCTTTCGTTTGTCAGCTAGCAATTTCACGTCGTGATGGCGATGACGTTCTTACTTTTTTTCACTGTCTGATTTATGCTTGGTAAACACTGTCTGATATCTTTTGGCGACGTCCTAAATGGTTGGTGCTGCACACATGAAACATTTCACATTCGTTGCTGAATCAAGATTGCAGCCTGCCCAAGTTTCTTGAATCATTCAGCTCCTTTGTGAATTTCTTGTGTTTTTCATGATTATTTGCCACACTTGTGATTACTAAATGCTAGTAGCTTTGTACCTAGACAGTAGCTCATGACATCACATGTCATCCGAATCTGGCTTCCTCATAACCATAACAAATTGTGAACTCGTAATTGAGAAGTCATGAAAATTCAGATTTGGGGCAGACAGAAGTTAAGGTGCACTTCTCTCTGTGCATGCATTTGGTGAAACGTCCACTGTACATAGACTTGTTGCACAAACCTTCCTGCTTAAGGCTCTCCAGACACTAAATAAATGTCTTGGCTTTCAGTGATGCCCAGAATTAGGTTGACAGATCTCTAGTATTGGGCATGTGATAATCTCTACTAAACTCGCCCGTGGAACAAGTATCTTGCTGCGCACCGGTATAAATTACGGTAATGTGAGTGTTCTACAACTACAAAATTATGTTGTATTAGTTTTATGAGATTAGATCTCTGTATGTTTGATATGGTTATCCATCTCTTGAAGTGCTTCTGAATAAAGGTTGCTCTTTAACCTGACACTATTCTACAGTTTCTCAAAAAACTTTACAAAGCATTTTTGCCATTGTATTAAAACGTAAAAAAATATGTCTCACTGCAAAACGACAGTGCTTTGTTATTTACATCTTTTATTTTTTGAAGCTTAACTTGAGCGAGAACATTTCGGTTACGACTCATTCAAGATACCATCAGTCTGTGTTCATGCCATATGTTCTAGAAATAGAGCGTCGCCTGTATTTTGTAGCATTGGCACAGATCAATTTCTGCCATGCAGGAAAGAAGTATAAATTCAAAGGCTCGTTTCTGTTGTTAGATGCAATTTTAATGAGAGCTTATTGACAACAATGCCAAGGACAGTATAGGGGATGTTATTAGAAGTAAACAGAAAAAAATAAGAGTGGACGAAAAGATATCTCAGTCATAAGATGTATGCGTTTGCAAGTTTTCACTGGAGCTTATGTTTTCTTCTAAAAAAAGTTTGTCTTGAGCATTTTTGGTATGGTGGTTTGAGATTGTTTCCAGCACGAAATAAATAAAAAACTGAGGGTAACTTAAATAGTTATTAACTTTTACTTAAAGATATCATGGGAGTACTATAAAACATTCATGTCTGCCTAGAAAATGTAGTACTGCAAGTGGTTTTTTGTTACTCGTCTTGCAGATCGGAAGTGTAACATCTTTTTATGCCTTCTTTAGGCATAATACTACTAATCATACTTGTGCAGTTATTTGTGTGAAAGGTGTTTTAGTCTCTTGTGTATGACATGCATTAATAAAAGAAAATGGAGTTGCATTAATAAATGCATTAATGCATTAATAAAAGAAAATGTTCATACCCTTCTATTTTACTTATGCAGAAATCTTTTGTGTCTTCATTTTTATGAATGAGTTGCCTACAATGTTGCTGGACTTGTGTCTAACTGTTTTGGAGTGTTTGAACCTGTGGATCTTTGTTATTCTTTGTTATATTCTCACCAAATGTTTTACACTTTACCTGTAAAACAAATAAGTGCTGACATTGAAACACATGTGTAGTACATTGAAAAGACTGTGTGTTTTGATTCATGTACATGAATATCTCTGTTTGTTTATCACATATAGATGAATTTAACACATATAGATAAATGTCTGTGTATATTGTAGAGGTTTATTGCATTTTTACCATTTCTAACTATGTTAATACTTAATGTGCTATTGTTTCTCATCTTGCCCAGCAATTTAGATTGATTTGAACATGTACCTGAGCAGATTAATTAAGGGTCTGATAGCTGCCTTTGATTTTGAGAATTTAAGCCTATTGAAGTATATTTTGGGCATTGTCAACCGTAAAATGAAAGCTTCGTGATCATTTATTTCTTGGCATGGTAATTTTGACATTGCTGCACTTGATGTCTTGGAACGTGTACCTATGCCCTTTTTGACAGGCGTTATTTCTCCATGCAAATCGTGACGTAAGTATTTTTACTGGCTTTTCTCTAAACTTTATTTATAGATTGGCACCAATGGGATTGGGAGGCCAGGCTGAGTTAGAAAAAAAAAGAACATGTAAAATCATGTGCTGACGTAACTTGAGTGAATGACATAATGAGCATCTTCATTGTTAAGTTTCTTGTGTCATGCATTCCCCGTTTTACCTTTGCCATATCTGTCAATTACCTCGGTGTGTTGTAATGCATGTTTGCTCAGAGTGCGATTGCATAATCATTTATTGGAAATTTACATTGCGAGAGATTGTAAACGATTTGCACTCGGCATAGGGAGGTGCGTACAATGTTCACTTGCTTGATATTTGCAAGAGGACATGCTGACGTGTAGCGGACAACCTCCTTGGTTTTTGCATTCCATTCACTGATGTTTAAGAATTACTGATGTTTGGATTCCTAATGCCCACTCTACTAACGTTCACCATCACAGTGTGGGGCAGAAAGTGTGCTCAGCATTAGTATTACTGCACTTTGTTACCTCTTGAATAGCTCAAAGCAACGTTTGAATAGAAGATCTCAACTGGGCATTCCCCTGGGTGTGAAATATGGTATCGGGATATCTACTTCTCAGAACTTATTGTGAGGTGATGAACAAATGCTCGCTATTATGCCGGCCAGCTTTCAGTCATAACTGGCTTTGTGTGTTTATGTTATACAACAGAAATAGGAACAGCTTACACAAAGAGAGTGTACTATTTTTATTTCTCGTAATTCCTGTAGATATGACTACACTGTTTCTTTCGCTAGTATAATGTATCTCTTTGTCTTAGCCCTCTTCATGGGTTACACAGATGATAGGTTGAGTTGGTAGGAACCATACCCAATGTACAGTTCAGTAGTGTGAAAAGTACAAACACAATGAGAGGCTGTCAAGAATGGTATACTCAGATAAATGTTGTGTTTTGAAGTACAAGTCGTATAACACAGAAGGAGGCAACGCTACCACTGCCAAAATCCAAGCAGAAAGGGAAAAAAGAGAAATAAAAAACAACCAGTAAGTGGAGAAATAAATATTGACACATTGATAGACGAAATGGCCACGGAACTCATAAGTTGGTATGAATTTGATATTTTAATTATAGTTTCTGGTGTTTAAATTTCTTGTAAATTTTATGTTTAATTGCTTGTTCTTTGAAATACTAAGTGTCTGCTGCGACGTGTCGTACTCCTTTCTGTTATGTTTTGTTTGCTGCGCAACGGCATCTCTTGAAACTGCATCTTTCGCCTAGTGCTCTTGAAAGGCTCGTTCTTTACTAATGTAGCCCTCTCACAGAGCTTATATATATATACTGACAAATGTTTCGTCTTTGACAGTTTCTAAAGCTTCAAGGAGCATAAGCTTTGGTATCGTGCTGCCAGTCATTGTGACACGATATATGGTTCAAGCGTGTGACTACAGTTGGCTGCGGGCACTGGTAGGTGATTCTGTGAAAAAGATTTGCGTAATTTCAAGTGCCTGCTGAGTGAGAGCTGTGCCTTTTGTAAAAGTAGATGCACGCATTTTGTGTATGTCATAATTATAATGATGACATGATTGGAGAGCATTTCTTTGAAATCTTATCACTATTTGTGCAGGGAAGTGCGAATAATCTTATTGCTTTCAGCTGTAACTATTCTACGTATATACAGCATTGACTCGTACTACCGAATCCAGGAACGAAGTGGGAGTGATTTCTTTTTTCATAGTTTGTAATAAAGAAAAGCTTAAAGTACTATCTGCAAATACTTGACCTTGCCTTGTGTGTTTCAGTAAGTCCATGGTGCTTCAGCTCTCACTGGTATAGGGAGAAAAAAAAAAAAGAATATTGTAACTTCTGAATACTCTTGCCAAGGTTAGCACAAAACTACAGGACACGCCAGCCTTAGTGTGCTTTCGCACGAATCAAATAAGCATCGCAGGCTTAAAGATTGCTACACATTGTGATTCCTAACAGCATCAGTGTCTTTCTAAATGGTAGTGGGATCTCGCGCTATTTTTGTACTGTAAGGAAAAATCACCTCGCCTTGTGGAAATATGTTCTTAAGCACTTGAGAAACTTGGGAACATATTTTTTGCTCATACCTCAATGGGAACACGGCTGATTTGTAAAGCATACTCTAAGCATACTTTCTTGTCTACAGAACTTGTCACACATTTTTCAAAAAAGTAGTAACTTGTAGCTGAGGCGAGGGTTGTTGCGTGTAGCTCAAAAAATTTACTGTAGCCTAAGCACTTACAAGCTGTAACTAATCTTGCAGGCTCGTTGTCAGAATTCATCAGTTGCAGATATTTTTAGAATGTCTTCACTGTTTCATGGTCTTATTACCTAGTTTCAGATGAGTCACTTGAAATTTACGATGCTTGGGAGGATTTTTCTGTACTGCTTTCACATTTGTGTCTTAGTATTCACACACAAGCCTAGCTTTCTTTGGAGAAACCGCAGCAGTTCCCTGTTATGAAGACTTTAGAGTTTCGTTGATAATGACGTGATAAGATGCCCATCAAGTGGGCTGCTCAAAACTTAAACACATTCTTCAGTGTTCTCAACTAAGTATATCTCTTAGCTCTATGCGTCACTACAACCTACCTTCATTGTGTGCGTAGCATATGGTGGCTCTCTGTGTGGCTTATTTCCCTCATTGTGCAATCCAAAATCGTAAAACAATAATTTTCTCTTATATGTCTAGCTACAAACACATAACAATTATCATTCCCATTGTCTCTGGTCATGCGTTACATATGTGATATACATGTATATTAAATAGTATGTAATTTCAGAGTAGTATCACCTCTGTATTTTCCTTCCTAGATGTGTGTGTCCTCAAATGAATCACTAATGAATGGAGCACATTGTTTGCTGAGCAAGCTTCAAAGTTGATTAGTTAATGAGATTCAATGAAATTTTGGTAATACCAAGTTTGAAAATATTGCATTTATTTTACACTAGGCTTTCTAGGGGCCAGGGAATTGTCATAAAGAAGCAAAGGCTGCTCAGGACAACATTGACAGTACTGAAATGACTTGGCCATTTTATCAACTTAGATGTATGAAAAAAAAAAGGGATGGGGTTTTGCTATCTAATGAGACTTAATGGCAATGAAGAAAGGTCCTGGTGTGGACTCGATAATTGTGACAACTTGTAATTTCTCTAATCAGCTAACATAAATTGAAGTAGAAAAACATTTTTACACTGTATCCTTATTGAGATACGTACTGTTCCAGTGGCTGGAAATTCAACCCACAACCTTGAGCTCATCGGTAGGAAGCCATGGCTATGAAGGCAAATTTTTAATTTGTTGCTGACATTGCACATTTTGTAGACGCTATTTTGCACATTTGTGCAAACACCATTGGTTGCATTTCAAAGATGGTGGAATAAGAGAAAATGTGCAAGACCTGTGAACTAACTAAAAGGATTAAATATAATTTGTGCATTTTTGCTGTGATGCCTTTTCTCAGCGCCCCGTCGCGGTGGTCTAGTGGCTAAGGTACTCGGCTGCTGACCCGCAGGGCGCGGGTTCAAATCCCAACTGCGGCGGCTGCATTTCCGATGGAGGCGGAAATGTTGTAGGCCCGTGTTCTCAGATTTGGGTGCACATTAAAGAACCCCAGGTGGTCGAAATTCCCGGAGCCCTCCACTACGGTGTCTCTCATAATCATATGGTGGTTTTGGGACTTTAAACCCTACGTGCCAACCAACCAACCTTTTCTCAGCCCAGGAGTGCTCTTATAATGTAAAACCCCATAAATTATTACCTTTATATTATTATCATAATTCATGGAATGACTTTCCAGCATAGCCTTGCCATGTACATATTGAAGTGACCAAATGTCGATATAAAAAAATATCTGCTAAGGTGGCACCTAAAGTTACATATGCCAACCATCCAACATTATTGTTTGACAAACGGTGCGGCCGTATAATACAACACCTGTTCAGCTTGTTACATGCTAGGGAGCAGGGTATGAGGCCTGCTTTTAATGCTTGGGATGGGTTCTTTTTGTTTGGTAGATTTATTGACTAGGCAATTTTGCACAAGGAAATCAGCTGGCATAGAACGGGTACATGATGCCTTTGGTATATGAGGCCAACACTCACTTTTTCTGCCAGGCACACATCAATTTTAAGGCGCTTGTTTTCTTTGGTTAGCCTTTTGCCAGCCGGCATGGGACAATGGGCCACCAACTGTGCACAGTCGTCAGCAGGCCTAACATGAACGCTTTGCAGCATGGCTAAAATGGTTTGACGCCAGAACGAGTACCTTTGAGTTCTGTTGCCGAAATCTTGCCAATACATGCTGACATAGTATCCAAGCATACTGTGGTATTTTCGCAGCAACAGCACCCAGCACTTCACTGCTGCTATCAGCCAAACCAGCTTAGACCATGCTGAAAAGTGTTAATGTAAAGTGTGCTGACAGAGGTACTTTAACTGTGCGAGAAAAGTTAGTGTATTGAATGTAGTTTAAGCGTATCAATGCCAGTGTATGTATTCTTTTATATACATAGTACTAGGGAACTGACACAAGCTTGGCTTCTTCCGTGGCTTCTTGGGATGCGTTCTTAAGAGAATACTGGTGATTCAGCAAAATTGACTAAAAGTCAAGACAATGTGAGGTTCTTTGTGGAGTGTGTATATTTATGAAGGTCAGCTCGTTGAGTGCAAAAACATTTTTCATCAGTTTAACAATTCTGAATGTGATTGACTGAAGGGGGATTCTAGGTAGGCATAGTCACACACTATTAAGTGGCTGTATCACAATAATTGTTAACAGTTTTTTATTGTTATTGTGCTGACGTGAACCATTCTGACCAGCAAGCATTTTGTGCTATGCTTACAGTCTCTGCTGGAGCCTTGGGGTTGACATCATACTCATTCTTTACAATTATGATTGTTACATTGTATTAGCTATGAGCGTTCCACTGAGTACTGACCAGATACGTATACAATGCTCTAGTGCGATACCATGAATTGGTCATTTTGTTAAGTGTTATGCGTGTGTGTACTGTAGTATAGTTATGCAGCTGTCAGGTATATTCAGTCATTTTTCACTTAGTGGGCACTGTTGCCAGCATTCAGTCATGGGCATCTTTCTTGTATGCTCTGCTTGGCATTGCCATGGATTCAGCCTGAATGTCATGAATGTACGCAAAATTTTGTCAGTTTGTCTTGTTCTGTAGACAGGTCGTTGGTGAACAGTGTGCCTTGAGAGTTTTTCTGCCAATTGGAAAAGACTGTTCATGATTCACGTGTTGATTTCTTGCGTTGGTGTAGTAACTTGGCATTGGGCTTAACATTGTGTGCCTTGGAAACGTTTTTATCTCGGGCCAATTGGTGTGTGCTGAGTGGATATGGGCACTTATTTTTGTGATTGATGCATATGTACCTTTACAAATTTGTCTGTGTGCCGCTTGTGGAATGTGCAAATGATGTAACACTGTAAACATTTATACGTGTAATGATGTTTGAATAAAATGGCTTTTTATTGGTGGTGTGCCACCAAATACAGAAAGTACCTCTTCTTTTTCTTATATGAATGAATTTAGTATCAGACTTATCTTAGGTCTACGTTACATTTAACTGGTTTTCAAGACTCTTGAGATTCTTCTGTGTTGCATAAGTATTGTTGCACTAATATGTCATTCTAAATTATGTAAAAAAATTGCAATAGACTAAGGAAAGAAGTCAAAATATAAGGGCTTTGGCTATTTTTTTGCTAGGCACAACATTAGCAATAGGGTAATAATTTATCTATCAGACTTATCTTCTTCCGTATAGGTGGAGACAGGAATCGCAAGAAATGCCGGGATTTTTTTCATAGAACTGGTGCCTTTGGTCTATGGGTCATGACGATTTCTTTGCCACATAAGAAAAGGAAGTGACGGTTTTCGACTATTGCAGTGCATTTCAATGTCTTGCATGTGAAGTACTTCGTTAAGACAAAAAGAGTAGCATCGTCAAATCGATCACAATGTTCAATTACAATTGGGCTGTGTACAGTAGGGTTCGCGCACCAAAACATGGCGAGTCGCCGGGGCCCCATACCTGTGTGTACTCAAATGTTGTCTCCATCTTGTTTTTGACAAGTAGCATACTCCTGCAATGAACCATGTGCAATTAACTTGTGGAGCTTCTATTACAACAATGAACTGTGGCTACCTGTCATAAGGACGCCACTCACCGATGGCGCTCACTGCGCTTGGGCGAAATGAAACCTTTTTCATTAGTAATGCTTCATTTTAAACATGTGCAGTATGGTAATTAACCAGAAAGCATTCAGTATTTTAACACTTTATTACGGACAAGTAGCTGTCACTCTTGGCTGCTATGTTGTCTCCACTAGAATGACTGAATAAGAACGACAACTTGATGAACTTTGGTTTTAAAGAAAATCCAAAAAGGAAAAGCACCATGCTAAAAGCTGGCGTCTAGTGGTTTTGACACGAGTTTGCATTCGTTGAGGTTCGTATTCTCTCACTGACGTCTTATTTGCTAAGAGAGGGCAGTCGGGAAGGCTTGATTCTTCTGTGCCATGCCACCCGATGAAGCTCATATTCTGATGTGAAAAGCGCTGCAAAATAACAGGAAAACGACTCAATTAATTCCCTTCTGCTAGGTAAACACGTAGTGCAACATCGCTGCATTGATTTGTGCAGAGAATCGCTATTTCATCACAGTTGCACATCAGTGAACACATTTATATTAATCCACTGGTATGTGGGCAACGTAGCTGCAATAGTATGTTACCACCTCCAAAGGTTGATGTTCGAGATTATTTAACCACGCGACAAGTACACGAAAGGCACATTGTGTACGTGGTTTTGTGCGAAGAAAAAAAAGCTGCATGTCGCAGCTTGACTGGCCCCTTCACCTACAAAATAAAATAATAAAAATCGGCAAGTAGCGAATGCAAAAAATTAAGTGCAGCGAAAAGCGACAATACAAAAAGAACGCGCATGTGACCCATGACAGGAAATAATAAAATAGCAACTCCGAAATACATAAAAGCCTTTCGAGGGCAGAAAAAAAGACGAAGAGGGGGGGGGGGGGGGGGGAGTGGAGGTTTCCTAGTGTTTTTCACTCTAATTATAGCATTGCTAAGGTTGTCTCGGCAACTGAGCCTCGTAGTTAGCGCGTGTGGTTCATATCGTGACCATCTTTTGCTAAAGCCAGGGTGTAGGACTGGCAAGGCATCAGTATAAACGCAGCGATCTGAAGTTCTCAGGTGTTTTCCCACTGTTAATTCAGCGTGTTTTCAGAGTATCCGTAGCTGTTCTCAAGTTGTCTCGCATTCTTCGAAGAATGGTTTCATTGTACAGAGAAAGAAAGCTTATGTGCAGTTCAATGACACTGGTTCTCGCTTGCTGTTACGACTGCGAACGATTAAACAAGCTGCTGAATAATTGTACATCTCGAGAAACTGCGCTGCAAGTTGCTATGCTTCATGACCTCCAAGTACATTGTTAAGCTTTTTGCGTACTTTATGAATGTATACGTTCAAAATTTCAGTGGGGTCTAGTTGGATGATCAACCGCCGTCTTTCGTCTCGTTGGTTGTTTTCTGTAAAGCGTGCCGCACTGCACGTACGCTCTTACTGAAGTGAAGCAACCTTTGCCGCAGTTGCAAGGTGGGATTATAGTTTTAAAGGAGGGAAGAAAGCTTCAGCGGCTTAAGTAAAATGGCTGAACTTTGCGTATTTTATGAATGTAAACGTTCAAAATTTTAGCGGGGTCTAGTTGGATGATCAAGCCTCGCCGCGGTGGTCTAGTGGATAAGGTACTCGGCTGCTGACCAGCAGGTCGCGGGTTCGAATCCCGGCTGCGGTGGCTGCATTTCCGATGGAGGCGGAAATGGTGTAGGCCCGTGTGCTCAGATTTGGGTGCACGTTAAAGAACCCCAGGTGGTCGAAATTTCCGGAGCCCTCCACTACTACGGCGTCTCTCATAATCATATGGTGGTTTTGAGACGTTAAACCCCACATATCAATCAAGTTGGATGATCAACCGCCATCTTTCGTCTCGTTGGTTGTTTTCTGTAAAGCGTGCCGCACTGCACGTACGCTCTTACTGAGGTGAAGCCACCTTTGCAGCAGTTTCAAGGTGGGATTATAGTTCTGAAGGAGGGAAGAAAGCTTCAGCGGCTTAAGTAAAATGGCTGAACTTGGTGCTTTTACTTATCTGCACATTACTTTAGCTTGCATTTCTAAAAAAAAACAGAGAGGAAACAAAGTGGCTGCTGCATTTGTCCAGATCGTGTTGACACCGCTCTCTCTGCCGCGGGAAATATAAAGTGCGTAGTGGGGTCACACTGACATTCGTTTCACGTACAGAAAGGCAGTTATTAGATAATGACCGTTAAACTGGTGGTTCAAATTCATTACAAATATTGAATTGGTTAATTCAAGAACGTAACTCGACGTTCTCTTGTTTTGGAAGTATGCGATAAGCCAGTTCATGGTATCGACTTGCCTTGACTCCTTTCTGACCTTACTCGTTGACGGCGTTACTCTACCTCATTTCGCATCCCAACCTGGCATTTTCCCGATGTTTGCAAACCAGCGGGTGTCGTTACGCGACGTAGTGCTTCACCTGATGAAATCTGGCGCACGTGTGATGACGTGTTCGAATTCGGTGAAGGAGATCTTTCCGTCGTCGTCCATGTCGGCCTCCTCCAGAACTTTCTCGACCACGATCTGAACCTCTTCGGGCGTCAGCTCGGAGCGCGTCAGCGCTATCGTCGCCTTCTCGATGTCTCCGGGACCCAGCATCTGGTCTTCGTCGTAATCTGCGGCGTAGCAAAAGTATACGCCGACAGGCGGGGTTTTCGTTGCGATTGAGAAAAAGCTCTAGTGCACCTGACGCAAAAAAAAAGTTTAGTGAGGGATCTCCTAATCTAACCAACGTAATCTGTAATGAAGCGAAAGCAGGCCCGAGTTTGATAAAACCCATTATTTCTAAAGCCTTCCAGCGGGTGAAGTGAGGCTGTTGAAGCAGAAAGTATGAAGTGCTACCTAAAGCTAGGGGTGCAGTCATAAATTGTTTTTGTGAGGGGGGAGAATCTGACCATGCTTTATATACGTTCGTGCGCGTGCTTTTATATACAAATGAATATATGTATACACACGAGCTACATTAAAAAAATTTCGGGCGGGGTTTGAACCCTACCTCCCAACTTTATCCTCAATCCGCCTTCCTCTAACTTCTCTGGCTACGCCAGTGCCCAAAGCGTCTTCTCAGTTGCAGAGCGTAAAGTCAGAATAATGTGGTTCACAAACAAAGTGGCATAGACGTGCATTGATGATTATAGTACGCAATTGCGATGTGGTGCGACTACTGTTATTTGGTAATTACTACTATTTCCGTTACTTTTTCTGGTGCCTTGTTGAAGAAAGTTTGGCTTGTGACCAGGGCATGTCACTACTGACCGATTGTTATGAACAATTATGCGCGATATGCTTTGAGTAATCTGCATCGCTATGCTGATGGAATGAGAAAAGGGGAATTGAAAGATCAGGTAGTGAGACAAGAGGGAAGAAAAGAAGGAAATGAACAAAAAGTGAGCCGACCTATGTGTATTTGTCGCATGCACTATACATTAGCCAGAGGCGTATACAACAGTCCCGTATTTCGCAAGAAGCAGAGAAATGCTTCAACCACCTTGTGGGCCGACGAGCAATGGAGATGGTGCTCCAGCAGCAGTATTGTTGAAGCGGGAATGGGCCAAAAGACATTCCAGAGCAAATATGTCACACATATTATAACACACAAAAGATTACGCAGATTGGTTAGACCACGCGATGCTCACCGTAGATGCGGAAGGCATAAAATACTTTGACGTCGCGTGGTGACGGTTCGCTGAAGACGGACAGCATGTCCAGGAAGTCATCAAAAGTCATATTACCGCTGCCGTCGTGCGAGAATACCTTGCAGATGCGTTCTTTGAACGGGTTTTCCTGCAACACACGTCGCAGGAAAGAGTTACTAACTCGCTTGCGTCAACACTTTTATGCATTTGTGGAATTCCGCGCCCAGGGCTTACTCGTAATATCTGGTCGTCATAGTTTAATCTCCGAAAATTGGATGTCAATGGTCGTTCTAGCCGTGCCAAAATTAAGAGGTATCGAGAATGAATGTACTTGGAGACTCATAAGACACCGATAAACTGCGACTTCCTAACTAATGCGAGGAATGTCAACGTGCCTTTAGATCATCTGCCACGGCCCTGTAAATCTGGTTTTAGTGCAGAATTTGACCTACCTTCAGTTCGGGCATCTTCTCAATCTTCTCCATAGGAACGACGATGGTGTGCGCCTCGTTCCCTGTCATGACAATGGGGACCCGCTGGCTGTCCAGCTCTCGGAACCGCTTCTGTATCCTGCAGGAATTGTTTGAAGCGCCCGCACGAAGTGTTCGATCGGCTTGCGTAACACATAGTTACTGCAGTCGGCTATAGTGGTAAGTTGCTTGTTTGTTCAGTTCATTCTGCCAGCCTGATTAAAGGCCCTGGGCAGGTAACGAAAAAAAGTACATACAAGATATTCAGGTGAAGTAAACAAGCTTGCCCGTGTTGTTGATCTACATTTTGCATTATCTTATCACAGTATCTAGAGTGACCACCGACCAGATGAGTCGAACACAGTCCTATAATATTACAGCGAGAGCTGTTTTGAGATCACAACTTGGGTCTCCCACAGCGCCGTAGTTGTCTGCTAGCGCCGCTGCCGGTGTCCGTACCCACATCGCGTGAAGTTAGAATGATGCAGTGAGCTCGAGCCCGGGTCTGCTTGATGCCAGCCCAGTACTCTAATACCACTGAGCTGCTTGTGAATTGTTGTCAAACTTGCCTTAGGCAGGCTTGATGTTGGGAAGGCATTCGCGTTAATACGACTTATAAAGCGTTTTGAAACAGCGAAAGAACAACCAGTCGTCGCACAATGCGAATAGCGTAACGAGTGGGTCGTACAATGCTCCAATCCATTACAAAAGCTTGGTCTTGTTCTCCTATTGCTGATGCTGATGCTGATGACGTCTGATGGATGGCGCTTACCCACAAAGGGGGATGGGCCAAGAACCGGGCGGCAGGATACTTAAATGAAACTAAACTGAAAATGAAGCCAATCTGAAAAAGTAGCTTAAAATAATACTACCAAAAAACAAAAATGTGTGCTGAGCAAGCGGTCAAACCATCTTTTGTTTTTGAAAGACATAACTACGAATTATAAACTAAAGATCTGAAAAGGTAGTGGTTCACTAGCATGGTAATCTTTTAGTTGCGCTGATGTAATCAAACACAGCGGAGCATTTACTGTAGTGCATACACACTTCAGGCATAATTCTTCGTCGTCGTCATCCACTGCATGAACTATTGGCACAAAATTTCTGGCATTAGTTTAGCGGATACCACGATTCTCAGAAGACTGACGAAAAATAGCATAGTGAATGCCGGCCTACTCTCCTAAAATTTTTATTATTAATGCCGTAGTGGGCATCGGGCAAGTGCGCTTGCAGCAGTTACCCAATGAGTGTTTGGAAAAGACTCTAAAAGGCCGCTCTTCTAGCTTTCGCTGTGACTGTGCTGCGCCTTCCGCGCAGGCCTGTCGTTTTTTTGTAAGGTAATCGTTCAGCAGTGAAGGGGCATCTCATATTTACCTTTCGACTGCGTTATGATCTGTAGCTCAACAACGTACTAAGTTGAGGATGTATAGTTCTTGCATAGCTGTTGAAGCGAACCGAGCAAAGTCTACGAAATAGTTACAGGGTGAAACAGAAGTCCAATTGGCGATAGTTTTGCTTGTTTTTCAATTTGTTCACCTGCTCCATTTTTTTTTGACATAGCGCTATGTCATAGTGTTATGGTCTTATGTTGTGAACAGTCGATCACTTGTGTTAATTCGAGATATCACAATTGCGGTTTCGCAGGTACTCTAAAGCATGAGTACTTATTGAATCCAATCATTTTGAGAAGTTCCCGTGTTTTTAGCCTGAAATAAAGGCCACTCATTTCTCCACATGTCTGGTGTGGTTAGCCGATCTGATTCTATATATATACAGTAACAGTAACCTCGTTGTTAGCGGAGCTAAAGAACCTTTTTCATGTCTTCCCACCATATTTATTCTTTTTGTTTTGTGACGCTGGCTAGGCTTTTTCTTTTGTTTGCTCTCATGTGACGTTATAATTCATACACGTACTACGCTATCTGCATTTACATGTAATTCATTGTGTTATTAATATTTTTAGCGTGTTCCATAACGTGTTTTCGCGGCATTTTTATGACGTGCGTAACTTACTGTGAAAATATGTTCAGTGGGGTACATTTATTTTTTTTACTCGCTCCTCCTTATGGCTTCATTATCAAGTCATCAGAAACTCTGTAAATAAAAATAAAAAAATCCGGCTCCTACCTGAGAATTTCTTTCCTCGTAAAGTAGGTGCAGTCCTTTACGGAGGCAATGGAAGAAGAAGTGTTGTCGAGTATGAGCAGCACACTTTATTTGATAAAAGTTGCCAGTAATTTCACACGAACACAGTCTGTAATGTACTTTGGATCTGTATCCCCTTTCTGCTTACTTCTAATAGATAGCAGTAGTAGTGTACACGCCCACCACATCGTTTGTGTAGGTATTAATGCATTTTATGCAATAGTAAACCAGCGATTGTACGTTGTAACACTGTGTTTTGGTCATATACTTCTCTTAAATTACCCGCTAAAGTCTGTTCCGACGTGCGCAGTCAATTATAACCGAATAATTTTAGGTTATGTGCACCCCGAGTTGGGACACGTTACGCGCCGGATTCGCGAAAGGACGTGAATAACCAAAAATAAACAATAATAACCATTAGTGACATAATGACCTAACATATTTGAACACGTTTTGGTACACCCTTTTCTAGAGGTTGCGCACCTTATACGTGCAGCGGTATTTTCGATTAGGAACCCAACCTAGAAAATTGTATGTTCTTTTCATTTGTGTATGGATTGTGTGTTTAGGAAAAAAAGTAATTAACGATTCAGAGTACTTGGTATGAGAGGGCTTTCATCCTGCGAGAGGATTAACGAAGGCATAAAGGCACAACATTTCGTAATAACAAGGTCTGTTCGTTCCCCGATCGTGTAATCACAGTTCGTTCAAGCACGCTTCGTAACGTATTCGTTTACCCCGTCACCTCAGCTGATCAATCGAAAGCCTCCCCATTAGACCGAGTGGTTCGAGAAGCAAATCTTTTTGTTTTTCTCCGCATTCTAAACATTCGCGCGCGCGCGCCAGCTGCCACACTTGCCTGATAATCCTCGAGTTGCTCATCCGTGAAAGTGACCACCTTGTTTCCCATGCCGCCGGGCAGCGCCGCGCAACGCGAGCTTGCGTTATACTGTAGCTGGTCGCAAGTATACGACGTGCTATTCGTGGACAACTGCGCAGATTCCTTCAAGAAGCCCAGGTGCGTGCAGCGAGGCCCCGCTCCTGAAGTGAGCCCGAGCCCCGGTCTGAACCCGTTTCGGCGCTAGCGGCGACTGCGTACCGGCGCGCCCATCAACCCTAGGCGTGGTCCCCGTCGTAGCAGCTGCTTCTCCTCTTCTCCTTTTTTTACCTCGTCCAGTGCGAAGGGAAGCGTGTTTTTTTTTCTTTCTCCTTTTACTTCCATATGCAAAGGCAAGGTCACTTATCGCTGCGCCGCCATATTGCCACTGTTGACGAGTAAATACGCAATTACTGCATTTCGGAAGCTATTTAGCGAGCTTTAAACCAGAGGGTCTGGTCTGGCGGTTATGGCGCTGAACTGCTAAACCAGAGGTCGCGGAATTGAATCCCTTTGGCGGAGGCAAGTGCTAGAGGCCCGTGAACCAGATGTTCTAAAGTGCAACTGCTCCTTTTTGATTGCGATTGACACCGTAGTGACAAGGCATTTGGTGGGAGATCTGATTGATCCGCGTACACACAAAATGTCATTTGACACTTACTGCAGCGTTTTGATTGTTAGACATTCAATAATCTTGTTTGTGAAGCGCTCATCAATGCCGAACTGCGATCTGTGCATTAGAAGTTTTCTTTCGTGGGAATGCTGTTTAGCTTTGTGTTGTATGCGCAATTCTTTTTATAATACAGTTAGAGAACAAAAAGTCTATCAATGAGCCTTTTGCTGAAGAAACTTGCAAATTTGGTCAACGCGGCTTTCGATCAGATATCACGCGTCATATCACGCCTATAAAAGACCGACGAATAACAAACATGCCCCAAAATTTGACTTTTGAGCTGATGACTTGTGGGCTGAGTCGTCAATATGACGCCCTGTCGCCTGTAGTTTTGCTGAATGCATATAGGATTTGACCTTTCCACCGATATTGATAATGTCGGCAATGTGTTGTCTATGTTCGTGTATTCAGGGCACAAGCGGAGCAGCGAGAACACTACACCTTCAATAAAAATGAGATTCAATTTAAGATCATTTGACCTTTTAGCTTCAGAGTTAAAAGAGTAATTCACTTGCATATTGCATATTACTCAAGGCTCAACTTCATAATGCGAGTCTCAGTTACGCATCATGAAATCAGAGTGCCACAAAGATTAGGAAACAGTCACCATAGACAAACACCAGCTCATTGTGACTTCACAGTCTTTAAAGGTCACATCAACGTTTCCTCTTGATCATCGTGCTAGCTGTTACAATGCACCATAACCAACATGAAGGTCATGAGCTCGAATTCCGGCCACAGAGGCTGCATTTTTATGGAGACAAAAATGCAAGCGTCCCGCGTGCTTAGATGTAAATGCACGTTAAATATTTCCAGGTGGTCTGAATTTCAGGAGCCCTCCACGTCTCCCATAATCACGTATGACGGCTTGTGGACGTAAAACCCTAAAAATCAATAATGAAGCATAACGACCGAATACAATCTACTGCGTTTTTACCGTCACCTGACAGTGGCCCATCTCTGTTCCGTACTGTAGTAACTGTCTTGCTGTGGAGACGTTGTGATTCACATTACCTCGGCTACTCCATTTCTATGGGATCTGCAGCGAAAAAAGAATGAAGAAAGGTCTTCCTCCCCCTCTCCAAATAAACAATGAGCAGCTAAAGAACACATATAGCACACTTGAAGTTCTCTGTCGCGCAACGCAGAATGTGTGGTATTCCGGTTGCACGAGTTCACAGTGACGCGTGGCAGTACTATCTGTGAGTGTCCCGCCGTGCCCACCGGCGACATGACACGCACGACCATTCTCGGGCCCCGCATCGAGTTTTTTAAAGACGATAGTCTTTATTGGGCGACCTTCGACGCAAAAATTGTGGTCTTTCTTTCTGTCGGTCTGTCTGTCTGTCTGTCTGTCTGTCTGTCTGTCTGTCTGTCTGTCTGTCTGTCCGTGCGTCCGTCCGTCCGTCCGTCTGTCTGTCTGTCTGTCTGTCCATCCATCCGTCTGTGTGTCTGTCTGTCTGTCTGTCTGTCTGTCTGTCTGTCTGTTTGTACATTTGTCTGCTTGTCCACTCTTAACGGCACCGGGTACTCGAAACGGCCGACTCCATCCGCAGCGGCCACCAATGTTACTCAAGTTTCAGCGTTCATACTTGTGCAATTGTCAATTAAAAAGCAATTATTGCGCATGTCTGGGTCACCAAAACAACACGAATATATTCTGCATGTGCGTCTTTTATTAGAAAAGGCATACTTACTTTTTTTTTCGTTTCGTCTTAATCTTAATGATACGTCTTTCCCGCAGGTCACGGGATCGAGTCCCGGCTGCGGCGGCTGCATTTTCGATGGAGGCGGAAATGTTGTAGGTCCGTGTGCTCAGCTTTGGGTGCACGTTAAAGAACCCCAGGTGGTCGAAATTTCCGGAGCCCTCCACTACGGCGTCTCTCATAATCATATGGTGGTTTTGGGACGTTAAACCCCACAAACCAATCAATGATACTTCTTTTCTATTTTCGCACGGACCGCATCGATCGGCGATGCGCAGAAAATCTGGCGAAAGAGGGGCGCGGTCCGGTGTCGGGCTGCACCACTACTGCGCTCGGCGGATGCGGGGGCGCTGGCGCAGCTGGGATTAGCGGCCGTCATTCTACAGAGAGCCTCGTCAATTCTGTTCAGTGCAGTGAAGGCTAAAGTCGGGGAACAGCTATGAATACAGTCACAAATACACAGTCGAGAGTTCGACGGAATACCGTCTGGCCAGCTGACGGCATTATTGAAAAAAATAAAAGTCACTGACTAATGTCAAACAAAACAAATGACGTTTCGGAATCCGCACGGATCCCTTGCTCACAATGGCTTTGTGAAAGGTGAAAGCTGTTATGAGATCACAACAGTGGCGTACATACGTTCGTTGCCGCTGCCAGTGGTCCGTCACCGCTATCGCACGAATTAAAAAATAAATAAAAACATAACTGAGATTAGGATGGCATTTGAACCCGGTGGTGTGCGAAGCATTGCAAGTATAAGTACCACAGCCGCTGGATAAAGACAACCTTGTCTTTTATCCAGTGGCCATGCAAAGTAATGTCCCATATAGCTACAAGCTTGTTATTTATTTGCAAAGAAAGACTCCATACGTGCTTCATAGCGGGGAAAAAATAGCGTTAGCATATGCATGCGTCGCGGAAGAATAAATTAACAAACAGGGCATCACACAATGCCGTATAACGAGTCGGTCGTAGAATGCTTCCAACTCATTAGAAAAGTTTCAATCATACTTCTTCATCGTCGTCAGTCACAGCCTGAACAACGTGCGCCTGACATGTCGTACAGGTCTTTAGCGGGTACCATTCATTCCCCGCAGAATGACGAGTGTTGGCATAATGAATACTTGCCGACTTCACCAAGAAATATGATGATCTATGTTGTATACGTGGGTGCCTAGTAATGTGTAATTTCATTAGTTGCCCCAAGAGAGTATACAAAGCTCTAGAAAGGCCGCTCTTCCAGTTATCGTGTGAGTGTTGCGCGTCTCGCGAAGATCTATCTATCTATCTATCTATCTATCTATCTATCATCTATCTATCTATCTATCTATCTATCTATCTATCTATCTATCTATCTATCTATCTATCTACTTATCTATCTATCTATCTATCTATCTATCTATCTATCTATCTATCTATTATCTATCTATTATCTATTATCTATCTATCTATCTATCTATCTATAATATATCGATAGATATAGAGAGAGATAGTTTAGATATAGAGATAGATAGATATAGATATAGATATATATAGAGATATAGATTAATAAAGAGATATATCTATCTATAGATGATATATATATATATCTATCCGCCAACGTCAGGGTGATCGCGATAACTTGGGTAACAAAAATTGGCCCCGTATCTGCATGTTACGTGCAAATGTCGTCGAAAGACGATAGTCTTGCGTCTGGACGAGAGCGAACAAACGTTTATTTAATGTTCTGCGCAAGAAAATTGGTGGATGGCATTCTGGAGGCACTGCGTTAGAGTGCCTCGAGCGTGCAGCGGAGGCGAACGAGCGCATCGAGTCACGTCACGCTTGAGACATCAGCGCTATCTGTAGTTATCTTGGAAACGAAGCGTGCGCGCCCGTCTGGAAGGTGATAGATGGACAACGCAAGGCGACGGGTAGGGTGCCACCGCCATGTCGTCTTAGCAAAGCGTTGGGAAACACTTGCATTTTCGTGCAAGCGTTGCATGGTCAGCGCAACGTGATAAACGCTACGGTCCTTAGAATTACTTATGTATGCCTTTCTAGTGAAACACACACATAGAGAATATTGACGTGTTGTTATGGTGCCTCATATATGCGCAATAGTTGCTTTTTAATCGACAATCACACAAGTATGAACGCTGATTCTTGAGCAATATTGGTGGGCGCTGCGGGTGGGGTTGGTCGTTTGGACTATCGTGTCACGGGGTCATGACGTTGCTGAAGACAGGGGACTTTGTGTTGAGATTTAACTGTTTATTTGGACGAACCTGTGCCCGGTAAACGGAAAGTCCGATTAGGGTAGCAGTCTTGCACAGATATAGAAAAGATTTATTTTCTGCTACACCGTAAAGACAATATTTCAGAGAGGTACATTTCAGCTGAAGAACCGAGAAACTTCCAAAGATAATACAACACCCATTGTCAAAACCGATCACAATCTATGCACCAAATGCTTTCTGATGGCTTATCCCAACCCAAGAACACAGATAGCAGTGAACGGAGCGTCGGCCGTCGATCAACAACTGACAAGCGGCGAAGTGCGCCGGCATTTATACTCTTGCCATCGAATGCGTTATCGTTGGCGGTGACGTAGGTTGCAGTATAATCTGTACAGTTTGGGCGTGATCTTATCGAAATGATCTACTGCAGTCCTG